AAATCATAAGCATGTAACTGTAACATCACTCACATGCAAGCACACCATATAACATTTTCGGTGAAATGTTCAAATTAAAGCTATAAATTACCACACTCATATTATAACCTACCAACCATACTCAAGCAGGCGTTACTTCCGCCAGACCCTGCATCTCAAACTCAAACCACTGTGTGAATACGCAGCTTTACCATAAGCCACAGTGTGGGGACAATCCAGAGAGGACTCAGAATATACATCAAGAGGAGTACTGCTCAGGCAAGATGAGGAAGAAGAGAACTCTGACTCAGTGGGGAAAAGGAATCAGATATACATGTATTTCAAGGTAAAATCTCATGGGGGCAGAGTTGAAGAGTAAGTTGAAAGCAGAGTAGCTCTTCCCAGTTACTGGAAAATACTGTCTTTGAGGATGCTCCCTCGCCCCCAGTTTGGGGTGATCCCAGTAGAATAAAACCAAAGGTGATGGGAATATTCCTGACCTGCTCTCAGTTCTCAGGACAAGTTTGTTGAGAGCCAGAGGACCCCACGGTAGAGGCAGAGGAGTGGAAGAATGAAGGATGCGTCTGAGGCTTCATGGACACCGTCGCATCATCACCCAGAAGATGAGAGACTCACTACATGTACCACATTAGACACCAATGCAACCGACCCAGGAGCAAGCATCAGACATCCTGAAGCAGTGATGGGTCAGCATACAGAAAACAAAGTTTGAGTGAGATCACTCTGTCCACCAATGTTCTGAAGGCACAAAAAACCTCTCCTACTATTATCATCATGAATCCGCTCTGTCGATTAAGTAGAATGAGAATGAGAACATCGGCAGGCTAGAGAATTTGTTGGAAAGAAACTTCACCAAAGGAGAAATGGGAGTAAAAATACTTGTCAAGATAAAGACTTTCCTTGTTACACATTGAGGTAGAGGCTCATGAAAAGGTTAAATTACAGGAAAAAAAAATTGTAACTACATGTTCTTTGTAAAATAGGCGTAAATCTGCCATCTGTCACTTTATCATAAAAGAAGCCAGTCTGATGCATGAATTAGAAAAAATGGAACACACAAGACCTGCCTGGTCTAAACTTGCAAGACACCTGCCGAACCTGTGTTCAGGAGCCACTCAACTTCTTTTGCTGTTCAGTCCCGCGTGTGTGAAATTCTCTGTTACTTAAGATCTTTAATAGGCTTATAGGTTGGCAATTTAAATCACGCATAAAATCACAGAGTTGAAGTTGAACATAGTCCGTGTAACATCCAAAGTGGGTCCCAGTCACTACAGTTGATTTCAAAGGTACTTCAAATGCCATTCCCTCTGTGGGGTTTGCTGAGTCTGAAATCACCTGCTACTCAAAGTATGGTCCAAGGGACAGGTTGGCATCACGTGGGAGATTGTTAGAAAAGCTGGTCTCAATCCCCAACCCTGCCCCCAAGTGACTGAATCAGAGGTTTTGACAAGAGTTCTGGGGGATTCATATGTAAAGTCTGAGAAACAGTGCTTTAAGCCATTCTTTTCTTAGAGTTCTCACAGCATGTTCCTTATTCATTGCTAGTTAAGTACTTACCTATCTCCTCACCAAACCTGTGATACCCTCAGGGGGGTACCCTCAAAGTCAGGAAATGTGTATTATTATTTTTTGTATTCTAACCATGTGCTAAAAATCCTGCCCATCAAAAATCATGTTGAGTCTTACTGGGTACATTGCTAAAATACATTTCCCAGCTTCCCTTGCAGTTAGGTGTGACCAGTGGATTAAGTTCTCTCCAATGCAACATAAGCGGAAACTTTGAGTGATATTTGTGGGCCCAGGTCTTAAAACTGGGCATACTCTCTTTTTCCCCTTGCCTTTGTCTGGAAGTCCTTGTGACCGTTTTGACTATGCCACAAGACACTGGAGAATGACAGAGGAAACGTCTTAAAAGAATCTGTATCCCTGAATGATTGTGCAGAGCACAGCGACTCCACCAAACCTTACCTTATAATAGTTACACAAGAGAGAAATAAGCATCTACGTTGTTTAGGCCACAGATGTATCAGAGGGTCTTTTTGATGCAGCAGTCTAGTCTAAATAATTCACCACTCCATCTTATCATAGATCTCAGCCTATAATGAGTCCCTGGTGGAGGAAGAGTGGACTCAGAAACACAGACAAGCCCTCAGCAGCCACTTCTGTACTCTGTGGTCCTAGCCATAGCTGATTGATCCAGGAGTGAATCTTGCCCAAACTGCATCACATGTGTGTTCCCTCCAAGAGAGCTGCGATTTTCAACTGAGGTAGAAGCTGAGAATAACTGCAGCTGAGCCATGTTAATGGGCAAAGCTTTGAAGCTGCATGGGGCAATGCAGGAACCACTAGCCACATGTGGCTATTTGAATTTCATAAAAATAAAATAAAAAACCCTCCGTGTCTCAGTTGCACTGGCTACATTTCCAGTGCTCAGTATCACTTGCAACTTGTGGCTCCCTCACCGGACAGAGCAGACAGAGACCATTTTCATCAGTACAGGTGTTTCCACTAGACAGTGCTGCTCTGGAGAGGACGCCCACCGCCTCTCCTGGTCCCCGTCTTTCCCAAAGACTGGTGGTTGAACCCACTCCTTAGATTCTGTGGGATCCACCAGAACCTCTACAATACATTCCCCCCCTTGTTCCGGCTAGTCAGATGTGATTTTATTAGCTGCTACCAAAGGTCCTCAGTTATTACATATCTGGCGCTGTAGCTACCAAACACCAAATCTGACGGGGAATCCTTAGGCCTGTTTTATTTGAGTGCACTCGGATTTGCACATGGTTCTCTTCCACCCCTTTCACATTCACATAAGAATTGATGTTTTCTACTAAACGCATCAGTATACGTGTGTATATTTTTTCTTTTCCTTTTTTCTTCCAATTTTATTTTATTATTTAATATACGCACGTTCCAACTGTACTTGAACAATGATTAAAATAAAATTGGAACGTGTGTATATTAAATAAAGGAGAGCTTTAAAAAGTGCAGGGAGGGCTGAAGGGGAGACGGATGCTTAAGTTCCACATCCTATTCCCTACAGTCCTCCCACTGGGTTTCTGAACCACATACCTAATTGTTCACTACGCAGTTCCACCTGGGAGTCCAAAGGCACCACCAGGTGCATGTACTTCACACTGAACTGCTCTCCACTTAAAACCTGGCTTAGAGGTTTCTGACCTGCCCATCTCTCATTCTGGTGGCAGCATGAAGAGTGCATTTTGCCACCATGGAATTCATCACTGCAGTGTAATTCACGTGCCTATAAGTGTTTTATAGGGGCAATATTATCTACCTTTCTTCATACGATGGAGGACCCCAAGAAAACCCTGGAATAATCTGCTGGAGCAGGGGGCCCTTGTAGTGTAGGCTTCTACTTCTAGGTGAGTGTTCTAGGAACCCTCAGTGAGCCAGCTGGCATTGTTGTGAGAGGCTGTGTTCAGCTTCAGTGAATTTTTTTTGAAGACTAAACGCGTTTGCCCATTTTATGATGGGTGATTTACAAGTGCACTTGCCCACACTGCACTGAGTGTTCAGTAGTTTTTGTCCCAAAACGACACAATCCCCATGCCCCACCTCCCTATCCACCCAATCTTGCCCCAGAGAGACAATTTTTTTGTTTTCCCAGATGAAAGAAAGTCCTCAGAGAAAAATGTTTTGCTGATGTGGAAGAGGTGAAACAAAAACCAAAAGAAGCACAAAAGGCATCAAAACTGACAAGCTCTAAAACTGTTTTGAGCAGTGAAAAAAGTGTCTCAATAGGTGTATTGCATCACATGGAGAGTACTTTGAAGGTGACTGAAGTTTCAACATGTAGGAATAAATACACAATTTTAATGGATTTCGTTTTCTGGGTACACCCTTGTACTCAGCATAGTGCCTCACACATTATAGACATTCAATTATTTTAGCATATTGTAGTTATTCCTGTAAAATCTAAAAAACAGGTAAAGGCATGGAACAGTTAATTCCAGAATAACACCAATAGCTCTAGGTCTTACAGCCATACAGCAAAGTCAGCCACAGTTATCCTATTAGTATCACATCCTGAAACCTAGAAATGAGAAGGAAAAAAACTGTGGGAATGTGTCAGGATTTCTTAGTTCCTGAAGGTTTCTGCTTGAGATGTTCTGTGCTCATTCTAGTAAGCTCTTCCTGACTTCGGGCGACCTTGAAGCATCTCGGTTCTCTAAGCTTTGAGATAAATAAATGGTGCGGAGTTGCCAGTATTCCAGCGGCCTGTGAACCCACACCCAAGCAGAGGGAGAGGGGTGGTTCAGGATGCTTCGGGGAGTTCTCCTGCCCTGTATATCTTGCTTACTAAGAGAAGCGAACCTAGTAGGTCTTCGCTTGGGAGGGCTGGGCGGTTTACTCAGCAGAATATGTTTATCCTAGCCAAGGGTAACAAGCCAAAGGCTTTCAAACCCCAGGCCAGTGACGTCAGCACGTGAAGAGGGGGCAAACCAGAGCAAGCTACTGCCTAAAGCCTGCACATTTAAGCTACAGAAAAATGCTTTTCCAGGCCAAACTCAGCCGCAGAGCTGCTGTTCGTGCCCGTTCCCAGTCGGTGGGCTGGACCCGGGCAGGGGCGAAAGAAGCGAACACAGTGCGGGGAATAAACAAGCCGCCAGGATTGCGAGGAAGGACACGGTTCTCGGAGCTTTTTCGGTGGCCGCGATCCGCGGAGGGCAGTGAACAACCCCTTTCCTTTGGGGTCTGTGGCGGTCTCCACTAGCGGGGTGACACCCCGTGACCTACAGTACTCAGAGGCCTGTTGTTAGACGGTTTCCTGGGGAGCGCCGCACAACTCCCAGGCACTCAGAAGCCGCGAGTCTGAAGCACGCCCAGGCGCAGAGAAGCCAGGACCTACCACAGCAAGGGAGGCACGAGCAGGTGGGCGGGGCGCCGGCTGAGTGGGCGGGGCTCCGGGGTGGGCGGGGCTCGGCGGGAATAAAAGCCGGCGAGCGCGGGCTGGAGACCGATACCAATGCTGTGGGAGCTGCAGCTGGGGTTGAGGAGGACTGAGGCGGGAGCCGAAGACTCCGGGCGGACAGGACTGGGGGGGGAGGAGGAGGAGAAGGAGGAGCAGTGCAGATCCCCGTCCGCGCTCCCGGCCTACTGCGAGCCGGCGCCCGGGCTGGTGCTCCCGTCTCCTCCCCGCCTCCCGCTGTCGCCTGGCCGCTGGCTCGCGTCTGGGCGGCCGGCTGGGCCCGCGGCTGCCGTCCTCCCGCTTCCCGGCCGCGCCGCCCGCTCGGCCCTCCGCAACGCCGCGCGGTTCCCGCCCAGGAGGGGCCCGGCCCTGGCGGAGGTAACTGCCCGCAGATTCCTGCCCCTCTAGAGTCCCACCGCCTCCTCCGGCCGAGGGGCCTCCCGCGTCCTGCGGCTCCTCGGTCCCCTCTCACCCATCTGCCTTGCTTGTCCGCGACCTCCCCAGCCCCCCTCGTCCTCTCCTTCCGCCCCACACTCGGCCTTCCCTCCTCCTAGGCCTCCGGCCTGGTCCTCCCGCCGCAGCATCCTCGGGCCAACAGAGGCGTGGGGCTCCCGGGGCCGATCCCCCAGCTCCTGTCCGGTCCCCCGCGGGCACCTCCAGCTGCCAAGCCTCCTCGGCAGGGTCGGGGTGGGGAAAGCCTCGGAGGAGCCCCTGGGGAGGACACGTGCGAGGTGGTCGTGCGGAGACTGCCCCCACGTCTCTGGCCTGTTCAACGTGTTTGACGATAGTTGGTGATGAGTTGGTTGAACCTTGCGGAACGGACGTGATTTCTTACGACTCGTGCGTGTGGTGGAAACCACAGAAGCGCTTTGAGTATTGCCCTTAAATTGCACTGGCCTGTGCATTTTAAATAAAGATACTTTTTTTTTGCGTAGACTTACTATTTTCCCTTCCCAACATTGTGTGCGTGTGTCGAGGTTATATTTATTTTTCTCTTTCATGAACGAATCTTGTTGGGTGATGTTTATTATTGTCAGGCGCGTTACTGTTTTGTTGAGTGACAGTAGCCGAAATCATCTTCGCCTAATAACAGGCGGTGGAAACATGAAATCGTCTAGGGCTCCATCCTCACATCTTGAGCTGTCTTTACCCTTTACCTTTTAGTTGGAAAACTTACTATCTCCGAGTGTACATCTGGAGTATTTAAAGGACATCCCTAGCATAAATACTTAAGTATATATTGCATTCTATATCTAAGAGAGGTAAGGACCCTTAAAAAACACACACACACCAAAATCTATAATAGAATTACCACATACCACCAAAAATAACATTAATTTCTTGATGTTATCAAGTACCTAGATTTTCCTGTTGTTTTTTTTTTTTTTGAATTTGAAATCGTTTCAAGTTTACAGAAAAGTTTCAGGAAAAATATAAAGGATTTCTATTTTGTTACCGAGATTGACCACTTCATGTTTTAATTAACGTAATTCCAAAAGTCAAAACTGTACAAAAAGCTATTTTAAGAAATATCACTCCCTTCCTAGCCTTTCCACTTTGTTTGCGCCACCCTTAGTACTTAACCTATTTTGTTCGTTTGTTCTATTTTCCGTTTCTTTTTGTAAAATTAAATGATATATTATTTTCCTCTTTTTACACTCTTTTGCACTTTACTTTTTTCAGACAAGATCAGGCAAGTTCAGGGTGGTATGGCCGTAGACTGTACTTCACTTTTTTCAGTTAACACAGTCCAGCAATCACAGTTCACAGAGATCTTCCTTCTTTAACTTTTAGCTGCTGCTGAATATCTTTTTCCAACTGGTTTATTTGAATTGAGGTCCAGAAAAGGTTTTCATGTATTGCATTTGGTTGTTACTCTTTCTATCTGTCTGTGCATTATTATATGTAAAATATATGTATAACAGTTTCCTTCCTCCTTTTTACAATGCCGTTTATTTGCTGAAGAAATTGCCTCATTTATCCATTATTTTCATCAAATGCTCAATTTTTCCACTTAGAGTTATATGAATTCATGGTTTCCTATTTTATTTCACTGATTTATTCTGTAGAATTTATTCCATTCTGAATTTGGTTGACTTTATTCTGGTGTTTTCAATATGTTCCTTTACTCTTTGTTTTTTATCAGCTGCTGGTTGGATTCAGACACAGATCTGTGTCCTTTAGGCTCAGTTTTTAATGTTTTTCTTTGTAAGAATATTTCATAGAGGTTCTGTGTACTGTCGATCTGTGTAGCAGCATATCAGGAATCTAATGTCTGTTTCACTGTTAACAATTCTAAGATTGATTAGGGGGCTTATGGCATATTCGTCCATCTCTTTTCGAGTTCTCTATCTATTCTACTTTGCCTTAATAGCTTTAGCAGCCACCGATACTATTTGACTACATCTGTTAGGTCCTTAGGAGCTGCAAATGATGCTTTTCTGATGCTAGAATTACTCTCACACTTGGTTAGCTCTTTTTAAAGAATTTCTTATTTATAATTGTTATATTAAAATGTAGAAACATAAATGCTGTCCAAGGAAGTAGTCATATAGAATATTAGTGTTCCGAGTAACTGAGAAACACTGTAATAATATAAAACAATGTATAGAATAAGGATGGCTAGCACCTTGATAGGTCATTCTGTACTATGCTTGAGAATAGTCTTTCTTTTAAAGCTAATTTTATTTTTATTTATTTTATTTATTTTTTAAGATTTAATTTATTTTTTAGAGAGGAGGAGGGAGACAGAAGGAGAGGGAGAGAAACATCAATGTGGGTTGCCTCTTGCACGCCCCCTACTGGAGAGCTGGCCTGCAACCCAGGTTTGTGCCCTAGACCGGTAATCAAACCGACAACGCTTTGATTCCCAGGCTGGCACTCAACCACTGAGCCACACCTGCCAGGGCAAGCTAAGTTTATTTTTAAAAATTAGCTATTTTCTTGACTATGGTATCAGTCATACAAAAGAAATTCCATTTTTTTGGATTCCATAAACTAAATAGAATTAGGAAGATAGAATTAAAAAAGGAAGGCAAAATAAAGCTATGAGTGAATACAGTCCAGGCCAATGACCGAATACCATCTTTTTTCAAGGTGTCACAACTGTAAAAAATAAAAAAAATTAATTTGAAATATTAATTTAGACTTAGAGGAAAACTGCAAACAGATTACAGAGAACTTTTTTTGATGAACTACTTGGGAGTGAGTGACAAGCTAATGTTCTCTTATCCTTGAATATTTTTATTTTTAAAAACACTTTACTTATTTATTTTCAGAGAGTGGGGGAAGGAGGGAGAAAAAGAGGGAGAGAAATATTGACGTGTGATAGAAATATCCATCAGTCACCTCCCTTATGCCCCAGCTGAGGGACCTACCCTGCAACCCAGGCATGTACCCCCACCAGAAATTGAACCGGTGACGTTTTGGTTCATAGGCTGGCATTCAATCCACTGTACCATACCAGCCAGGGCTATCCTTGAATGCTTTAGTGTGTATTTTCACAAACAAGGACATTCACTTCCATAACTGCATGACAAACATCTAGATCAGAAAATGAACATTAATACGTTACAGCCACCTATTTCTCTTCCTATTCATGCTATTCTGGTTGTTCAGTGTTATCCTTCATAATGAAAGGATAAAAGTGATAATTACTTATTGTGTTTAGTTATCAGCTTTTCTATTCTCAATCTTGTTTTTTTTCTTTTTGTCCTCACCCAAAGACATTTTCTCATTGCTTTTAAGGAGAGAGAGAAATATCAATGTGAGAGAGAAGCACCAATTGGTTGCATCTGGTATGTGTCTGGACCTGGGATCATATGTGCCCAGACCAGGAATCGAACCTACAGCCCAGGTATGTACCTGACCAGGAATCAAACCTGCATCTCTTTGGCTACCAGACAATGTTCCAACCAACTGAGCCATACTGGCCAGGGCTGTTTGCAGTCTTTTCCTGACTTTCATAACCTTAAAACTTTTGAAGGTTACATATCAGGTATTTTGTAGAATGTTCCTCCATTTGGGTTTGTCTGATATTTCCTTGTGATTCAGGTTATGTGTCTTTCACACACGTGGCACAGATATTTTTCTCATTTGTACAGTTAATCTTTTCTCCTTTGCAATTAATGAGTATTTTATAGGAGATACTTTGAAACAATATAAATGTACCATTTGTAATCAAATGTTCAATTTATTTACTTTTTAAAATGTATATGGAGTCAGTTTCCTCTTTTGTTAATTGGGTTTTAAATGTTACTGTAATTAGTTTTGATGCTCAGATTGTCCTCGGTTTGGTCAGTGGGATCCCTTTCTATCTGGCTCTGTGTCCTCACTCAGTTTAAGTTCCAAAGCTCTGTGGCAGGATGTCCCACAGTGCGACCATCCTCCTGAAAGTCTCCCAAGAAAGGACCATTTGTCCATGACGACGCTCTCTGCCCCTTGCCTGGGCTCTGACACACTGTTGTTCGCTTCACTGTAACTGCCCTCACAACCAGCACGGGGACTGGCCGGGCTTCTTCCCTTTGTATTCTGTCTGGGCCTCATTTCTACGTGGGCTCGTCGGGGCTTTCTTGCAGCTCAGTGAGTTGGGGCAGCTGGACTGCTGACTCGGTGACTGCAGGCTTCAAGAGCGGTGATTCCTGAAAGTAAGGTGGAAGCTGTGTCGCCTTTTGTGGTCCAGCCTTGGCAAGTGCACAGCATCATTTCCACTTTATTCTTGGTTAAAATAGCCCAGATCCCATCCTGTTCCAAGGGATAAAGTGTAGACCCGAGAAGTGACCTATGAGAGAAGTGCCAGGGTCACAGTGTGAGAGGAGCATGTGAGGTGGGAGGTACTTTTGTGGCCGTCGTTGGAAAATACAGCCTGCCACTCTGAGGAAGACAAATCATGCAGAAACTGCATTGTCCGGATCTTTTCCCGGTTCCCGTTTGCCTTCATAGTGTGAGAAATAACCTGTCAAAAAAGCCGATGCATCTGCCAGACCGTTGAAGATGTAAGATGCGATGCTGAGTACGTTGTCAGTATCTTACCTGAAAAAGAGAATCGGGCTGTTAAAGAAGTAAAACACACAATCTTTGTGTAAATTCTAAATTAAGATCCTCAGTGAATATTATGGGCTATCTTTATTATTATCATTACTTCTGCTTTTCGTAGCACCTTGTGACTGTTTTTACTTGACTGGTCACTGGCGTCCCAACAAGCATGGAGATAAGGTTAGAAGTTGTGACATCCACAAGCATCAAGCAGAAGAGACCCTGGCCGCGAGTCTCCTGGCTGGGACAGGTCGGTGTTCCTTTGTTCATACGGTACTAGTTGTACTGTGTGTTAAACGGGTGCTTTGCCTCTAAGATTGAAGAATGTGCGTTCAAACAATGAAATCCATCTTTAGAAGGATCACTTGCCCACTGTACAGGGTTTTGTTTTTATTACAGTAAATTAGCTTTCCCAGAAAGTTAAATAGTCTATTTAGAAGAAATGTTTTACTTGCAAATTTTTTTTTCATATTATGTTTAAGATGGTGGAAATGGCATTTGTCAACAGGGAATGTCTAATCTGCTGAACCTTTTCCTACTGGAACAATCAGTGGGTGTTCCCTCCATTGCGGTTTTCGTGACTGTGCAACAAAGCGCCCCTTAGACCTGGAAAAAAGATGGGTGACAACACTCAAGCAGTCCGGGAATGCTATTCACAATGTATGGAATAGGTTCCTCATCTCAGGGAAGGTGGGCAAACCTGTAAAAGCCTCTAAGACTCTATTATAATTATTACAATGAAGAAATTTGGTGTGGTGTCACTGCCTGTGAGAAGTTATACCATTAATTTACCTGCTCTAGAATCGTGTCTCATGAACTTTACAATGGTCAGAATCATGTGGCGATCTTGTTAACACAGTGCTGGGCCCTGTCCCAGAGTCTCTGACTCAGTGGGTCTGGGGTAGAAGAATATGCATTTCTGACTGGGTCTCAGGTGTTGCTGCTGATGTGGCTGGTCAGGCGGGACTTTGCAATCCACTGCCCTAGAACACACGAGGACAAAGTTAATTCAAACCAGCATACTTTTTCTAGGTAATAAAAAGTGATCAGAGCTGGGGAGTGCAGAAGCCGTATCTATTTTAAATAAATAATTTAAAAACTTGCACACACTACTGTTCAAATCGATGGCCCGGTTTTGGCTAGCAGTTACAAGACACTCCTGTAACTTTAAAATTCAGAGAAATCTAAATTGCAATCATTAGTTCATTTTACAAAGTGATTGTAATGAGGTATTTTAAAAGAATGAAAAAATCTTCAGGATGCCTAGTCAATCTTATTGTTCATTTTATGGTTTGTGATACAAATGTATAATCTTTTCAATGTATAGTACAAATGTGTAATCTTGTTAAAGTGTCACCTTGTTTTCCTTTTTAGGATATTATGGATAAGAGTTTGAATTAATTTCTGGCACCTCCTTATTCTCCCACATATTTATCCTCTTAGGAAAATGAAGCTGTTTTTCTTCTGGGTGATAAACTCATAAATGAAATTAATTTGCTCTCGGGGAGGACAAAGAAGAAAATTCCTCGTCTGCAGCCTTTCTTGAAGGATGTTATTGTCCTGACAACGTCCAGTAATGGTTAAGTAGTACTGATATTTTCAAAAGGATAGATTAACTGAATTTTTTAATAATTTGGGGCAATATTAGGGGAAGCATTTGCTTATAAGTATCACATTTTCTTTCTGGAAACAGATGCCTGGCTGGCTGGGCTACTTACCACAGGGGAGCTTTTCCTTTGGAACAAGGATCACGATTGTTTGAAAACCGTGCAAGCAACTGAAAAGCCTAAGGAAATGATTCAAGCTGCGATAGGTGAGGATTTATTGGTTTAAACTTGTTTAACTTGATAAATAGGAAAAGAAGGTGAAACATTTTTCTATTATTATTTTTAAAATCTGTGTGTGTGTACATATGTGCATATATATGTCATATGTATGTATTTTTTTGGTGGTGTTTATTCGTGATAGTACTTATTGGGTTGGACAAAAAGTTTGTTTAGTTTTTTTCCATACAGTGGCTCTAGTAGTACTTAGTTGTCCTTAACTTCGTTCAAAACAATTTTGTTAGATTGTGTTGTGACAGCTGTCATAGCAGCGTGCATTTAAAAAAGACTTATCAAAACTGGTGAATTTTTGTGTAGCTAATTTAATATTGAAGATGGATGAAGATCTTCTTTTGGCATATTATGCTTCATTATTTTAAGAAAGGGAAAAATGCAACTGAAACACAAAAAAAGATTTGTGTAGTGGATGGAGAAGGTGCTGTGATGATCAAACATGTCAAAAGTGGTTTGCGAACTTTCTTGGTACTTTTGACATTTTGGCCAAATAATTCTTTGCTGTGGGGCTGTCTGATGCATTGGAAGATGTGCAGTAGCACCCCTGGCCTCTACCCACTAGAAGTCATTAGCAGGAGATAGCCGACATACTCAAATTATCCAAGTCAATGAAGTTACTACTGGTGAGAATGAAAAAATGTGTCTTATTTTATGGAAAAAACAAAATGGACTTTTTGACCCACCCAATAGATTCATCTTGGAGTCTGATATGCCTGACATATCTGATAATAATGGGTGACTAATACCATATAAATATGTGATAAATGTTACTGTTTTGTACGTTTACTTTTCCATTTATTACTACTGCCTTAGTTGTGCATCCTTAATGGTGATATCATTTAGGTTTCTTTGTCAGAGTAGATCAATTATGTACTCTGTGGAGGGAATTCAGACTTCAAGTTTAATTACCGTTCTGTTTTGTTTTTAGCAAGCTCTTTGAGACTGTATTTGTATGTATCTGGAGATGGAAAAAGAGTTCTGATTATAACTCCTTCTGGATGCGTATTTCTTTGGGAATATTTGGAATTCAAGAATATCTTATCTTCCAAAAGCCCTTCACTGATGGGCCGGTGGTCCCAGATCCTCCCTGAAGAAGCAGTGTGTTTGCCTTCCACCGAAGATAGAGAAGCTGCAGTGCATGCTGTTTTTGTAAGAAATGAGGTAAAGTTCAGATCAGACCGGGTGTTAACAGAAGTTGAGGTGTCAGGCTCTGAGGACAGACGCTGTCTGAGAAGCCGTTGAGCAGCCTGGCCTACAGCGGGGCCGTAGACCCTGGTCATCAGCTGTCACAGTCACTGAGATCACTATGGAAAATACATTTTTAGATTACTTCGTCACATTTTAAGAAATGTTTATTAGAAATGGTTTGAAATTAGAGCTTCCTCTTTCCCTACTTATAATTTTCCCTAGTTTTAAAATATAACTAGTTAAGTGAGCTGTTTAATTCCCAGGAAATAATTCATTCATGAACTAAAAAACATTTTATGTAGTGGCATGGTGCTCTTTGTGTGCATGGATGAACATTCTATTACTCAATCCACTATTGTTAGAAGTTGCATTTTGAGGTTTTATTGTTTTCCTCTATCTCCCCCCACCTCCAAGGGTAGTGCCCTAATTAAATAATATGTAACTAGAAATGAAGAGAAAAATTACTACGTAAGAATCTTTGTAGTTATAGTCCCAGTTAATGGCAGTGTTTTCTTAAGAGAATAAATTGCACCTTGATTTCCCATTTGAGATATGCCCCGGCTCAGAAAGAAATTACTTAAGTCTTTAACTTAATGTTAAGAATAAAAATATAAGCAGGATCTAGATATATTTCATTTATTTATGAGGAGAAATATATATATGTTTTATATATCTTGATTTATTTTCAGATTAATTCTATATTAAAGTATATTAAATTTATCTACAGTTATTTGGAGACTGCTGCTTGTGTTCATTTACTTTTTATTCTGGGGAATGCCTGAAGTTGACATTTCTAGCAATGCGGTGGCATGAGAATGTACTTATACCTATAAGGTGAGGTAAATGTTTCCTTATTTTCTATCCCTTTTAAAACATTATTATCCTTTGGCTTATAAATGCCTAATAAGATTAGTAAATGAACTATGATTTCCAACTTCTGAGACTTTGCAAATCCTCTCTTCCTAAAAGTATTGCTTTATTTCTTTAGTTTTCATTTTTAAATTCATTATCTAGAAGGTTTTTATATTTTTAGTTTTATTTTTTTTTCTTTTGTTTCCCTTCTTGGAAGCGAGACCATGTAAAAGTTAAGGCAGACTACGGTTTACTTATTTTAAGACTAAAAAAGTCTATTTTGGAAAGTAATTCAATAGAATTTTAGAAGGCCCATAACTTACTTGCATTTACTATTGTATCAAATTTAAATGCTTTAGAATTTTTTACTTAAAATAGTTTTATTTTAAAAAGCCCAATAAAGTAGAAACAATGCATTAAAAACATGTGTTTAAATAAGATTTACTAAAAGAGTGTGTCTTTTGGTTGTTTTTGTATTTATTTTATTTGTTATGCTAACAATTGCATATTAAAATGTAATTTATACATAGTAAAATGAATGAAAAGTGGACTATAATGAATATGCGTGTATGTACCTGTTTTCACATCAAGTATAGAACACTGTCCTGAAACACCCCCTCTGCATTACTTATTTAATCCCTTTAACAATATTAGCAGTAATGTAGAAATATGTATGTCTAAACCGTAGTGGAAGCGGATGTACTGGGGTTGGCTATGAACTTGCTATTACTAACAAAACTCTGATACTGACTGAGTTTAACTGGTGACTGCCCTTTGGTTACCTGGGTGAAGCTTCTGAACGGCCGGTCGCTCAGAGGCCCCCTACCGTATGTGCACATGTAGGAATTTAGTTGGACTCTACTTTTTAGTAATGAACTATGTTTTAATTTAAAAGTTACTACACTTCCCATTCTCAATTATTTCATTACCTTCTTAGATCCTTGCCATACCGTGTTCACTGGGCACAGCAAGATTGCCTTCTGGGTAGTCTGATTCCTCCATGTGAACCAGTAAAATCCAGGGGAGCTCTGATTTCTGCCTTTTCAAGAGATGGCCTTACCCTGGCAGTAACTCTTAATCAGAAGGACCCGAAGGTCAGTGACGTGTAGTCTGTCTTGGCAGTAACCCATAGAGAGAGTTTGGTCCAGTGCTGAGATGTTTATTTCCCCGGAAGATAGTTCCTTATGTTCTTTGAATTGATGTTTTCTGATCCACCTTACCATTGCGAGTTGGTAAGATTATTTAAATCAGCTGCCATAGTTTTCAAACTTGGCCTTCAGAAGTGAAAAGAGATTACCAGAAAAGGAAGAAAGAAAGACAATATGGTAATTGATGTTCTTAAAATGTAGAATTAAAGAGAGAAGAGTTATATAAGTGGTCAGTATTTTTTTGCCACTTGGGAAAGACCCCTAGATATTTTACTGATATAACAATAGATCTCTAGGTCTCCAGAATTATAAGTGATGATTAAAGTAAAATAATTTTAGTGGTTTTGTTGTCATTTTTTTTCTAGGCAACTCAGGTATTATTTATAAACACACTGAATTTTGTTACTCTCTGTGGCAGCCTTAAAGGGTGTAGCAATAAGAATCCTGTGGTTCCAGCTACACTTGTCAGGTAAGAACATTTTTGTATATCTAAATAGTGTTTTTCTTTTCTTTTCCAAGAGTTTGATAAGATTAGGTCTCTGATGATTCAATTGGTGTCCCTATAGGTGTTTAGATAGATAACTCAACTTACTTTCAGCATTTATGCTTGATAGATTGTAAAAATTCCTTTATATAAGGAAACCCTTAAGTACTTTAAGGATGGGTCTGGTTGGGTAGAAGATACATGAACATATTCTTTTTTCCTTTTTAATTTCTTTCTACATTGTCCAAGGAGGAGTAGAATCACAACTGGTAGCAAAATATCGGGCTTAATTGGAGAGGCTGAAATGGAAAACCGTGGTTGGGAAGCCATTATGCACTCAGAGGCCAAGGTGCTTACGGCCTTTTAAACTAAGCCTGTGTTCTCTGCACACGGGTCAACAGCTGCACCAGTGCTGGGTTTGGATGGCCCGAGAGCTACCACCAGGACCCATGGGGGATCATAGTTTAGGAGGATTTCCTCTCGGATCTCCTGATTTCCCTTTTTGAGCACTTTTCCCTGCTATTCTCTGAATTTTCAAAGTTTTTAGGTCGATCCAGCCTTGTCTGTTCTTTCCCTCCCCAAAAGTTCTTGCTGAAAGTATGACTGGTCTCAGTTCAGTAGTCTGTTTGACTCAGGGCAGCCCTCATTCACATAAGGGGGAGCTGCTTTGTGTCTCCATGAACCACGAAGGTCACCAGACGGCTAGGGAGCAGGAGCGGTGGCGCTGTGAAGAGGGGGTCTGCAGGGGTGGGGGGGGGAGTGGGGCTCTAGCAGGCTGCAGAGACCCCCGCCTGGTGCAGACCTTCCCGTCTGTCAGTGGGTCTTCGTCGTGGCCCCCAGGAGGGTTAAAAATCGTTCTAAGTAAAATGTGAGCTACTTAGAAGCTTAACACTTTTAGAGAATGTTTTGATTTTATGATTTGCTTGTGAACCTAAATTTGTGATTGCTACATTGTAGGGAGTAAGTGTTTATGAGTTCACTCCTTTTTTCTGGGAAAAGAAATACACAAAATGTATGTGGCAGTTGCCCGCCAGCCATTCCTTTGCCCTTATTTTTGAGGGTTTCACCCCTGCTTGGCCATTATAAATTGTCGGAGAGACTGTATAGAACCTTTTCTAAACATACCGTCTTGCTTTTGCTAGGTCCTACTGGGTGGGCGATGTCAGCTGGACCCTGGATAGCCTTCTTCTGGCCTGCGTGTTGAAGCGCGGCTCCCTGCTTTTACTGACTTGCCAAGGGGAATTGCTGACACTCATCACTTCCGGGTGCTCTATAGAGTTCGGGCCAGCAGAGTTCATTCCTCTTCACCCACTCATAACGTATAGGTGAGACACTGGAATCGTTTTAATTTGTTTATAGAAGTCTTTCTCTTTTGGCATTACTTTACCATGTGTGTGTGTGTTGATAGTTTCATCTTTCAAATTGTCATGTTTTTTCTTTGACTCTGTCATGTCAATATCTGTTTATTTATAGTTTTTTTTCATTTCTTTTTGTGGCTTAATCCTGGTGAAAATTTGACATTGTGACTATGTAAGTATGTTATTTAAATACTCTATAATAGCACTAAAATTTTATTTTCTTTGATATAAAAGTTAATAAAAGTATGTTCTTTATTTTAAAATGAGAGTACTTAAATAAATTAGTAACTCCATATAACTTGGCACATGGGTTCATCTACTTTTTTCCCAAACGGAAAAACTTTGGGGAAATGGATAGAAGACTTTAGAAGTTAGTAAAATTTAAATTTTTAATTGTGAGATGGGGTAGCAATTGGCTTTGAAGTTAGATCAAAATTCAAATCATGGTTCTTCTATTTATTTGTTGTGTGGCTTTGGGTAAGTTCTTTGAGCTTCTTTCTTTTCCTGTGAAATGAAGAAAATAATAATTGGTTGAAGAAATAAAGGATGATGACAAAAAAATTGCAAAGGCCTTTGAAAATTGATTTATCCCCCTTGCTTTACAGAAGAGGTGTATGTCTTTGATTAATCTTTAGTAAAAATTGAAGCTTAATTTTTAGCAACAGAAAATTCTAATGGAAAAATTTGTCATTTCCTTTAGTGAGAGTATTTTTTCCTTAATTCTTATGGTCTGATTCATAATTGACTTTTCTCATATTCTTCTTTAAAATTAATACTTGGGGACTTTAAAATGTATTATAATTTTATTACAAAAATAATATTATTTTTTTAAAAACTTAAAAATCAATGTTACAAAACTAAGATAATTATTAACATTTTAGTGTTATCCCCAAATGAAAAATTATATAACTTTCTATTTAAAACAAAATAAATGATGTATGCTGTTTTCTGTTTTGCTTTTTTGGTTTAGCAGTATATCCTATATATCTTTCCATGAAGTCATTTTTAATGGTTCTGTAGATTTGTGGTGTAGTGTACATTTTATAATCAGCCAGTTTTCTGTTGTTGACCATTTAGCTAATAAAATCTATATTTGAATACTTCCCTAATCCCCCAAATCATAATATATTTTGATTGTCCTCTTTATATTTATAAAGCCCCAAAGTTCATAAGCAGCAATAGTGAATGATCAGAACCAAGCACACCATCATAACAATAAGTACGTTTATGTGGAAATTCAGTCAAATCAGTCTTAAACTGATAAAAGTTTACTCAGCCTTATCGTCTCCAATTGTTCTTCTCAGTTTTTCCCTTTCTCCTCCATAACACATGCGTGGCTCATAATTATATTCTTATAAGTATATTTCAATGTATGGTAAAGAGGAAAGTTAAACATTTAACTCTTTAATGGTAAAAATGGACTATATTGATTCTTTTCTGAAATAGTTTGTATAAAACTAGTTTAGAAATTAAATAGTACAATTTAGGGAAAATTTAAAAAACATATAAACCCATATGTTATATAATCACTTAAGTTTTCCTTATAGATATTACACATGTAATATTTTTGTGCTTCATTTGCTGTGTGTTCATTATTCTGTAACTCTGAATGGTGGTTTTGCTTTTTCTTTGGAGTAATACCATTGTTTTCTGTAAGATTTCTCTCTAATTCTTGAATTTCGATGTTTGTTTGCTAGACCGCAGCAGTTTATATTTAAAGATTCAGAAGGTTCTGTGGATTCATCGGCTTCAGAAGGTGACCCTATGCGACAGCGGTTCTCCGTGAAAGCACACTCGCGGCTGCCCTACCTCCTCGTTTCCGACGGGTACATGGTCACAGCGCTGCGCTTCCTGGATAACCTGTCTCCGTCAGTGCTCGTGAGGTCCCTGCTGCTGGATTCGACCCAGAGGCTGGAGAAGACATACCAAAGTGTGAAGTTGTCTAGGGTACAGAGACTTTAGATATCACTAGTAAAGACTGGCTTATTTTTTAAAAATGTGCCTACTCTTTTTTTAAAATATTTTATTTATTTTTAGAGAGAGGGGCAGGGAGAGAAACATCAATGTGTGGTTGCCTCTCATGTGGTTCCCACTGGGGACCTGGCCCACAATCAGGCATGTGCCCTGCCTGGGAATTGAACTGGCGACCCTTTGCCTCACAATCCAGAGCTCATCCACTAAGCTATATCAGCCAGGGCAAGATTGACTTATTTTTATCAAATTTAAAACTATACTTCCCTGGATGCTGTGGTTCAGTGGACTGAGAGCCAGGCTGGGGACCAAGAAAGGTCACCAGTTCAATTCCCAGTCAGGGCACATGCCTGGGTTGTGGGCCAGGTCCCCAGTTGGGGGCCTGTGACAGGCAACCTATGACGTGTCTCTTACACATTAATGTTCCTCTCTCTTTTTCCCTCCCTTCCCCTCTGTCTAAAAATAAATACATAAAATCTTAAAAAAGTTTTTCTTGGGTTGTATACAGTTGTCTATAGAATTTTAATTGCTTAGAATAGAAACTCTGATAAAATTTTGCTCCTGGAAATCTTCTGTAGCCGAAAGGCAAAGGGCTGAACTTGAGATCACTGGATTCCCTGAGGCTGAGCCTGTTAGAACACCAAGGAGCGGAGCGTTCGGCTGATCCTGCCGTCCCCAGGTTCTTGCAGGAAGAAGAAACAATGGAGTTACGTGGAAAACCAGCAGATTTGCAGGTACTTAGTGGCAGTGTTTCATTCGCTTTGAACAGTTACTTACTGATGTTATGCCAAGAAAAGATTTTTTGTTTTTCCCTTGTTAAAGGAAGAGAAATTTGAGAATACCAAATGATTATATTTGTAAGGTATTAAGTATAATTTTTTTCATTCATGTTTTAGGACTTTGAAGCAGAAGAAACTAATGACAGCACATACTTTCCAAACAACTTATCTTCTTTTTGGAACCAGAAAAACAATCCATTGTTCAGTAGTGTCGAGGAGGGAAGACTGGAATTTGCGTCTATGTTTGATACGATACATGCAAAGGATAGCACCGAGGAGTCAGACAGAACCATTACAGAACTGCATTCTGTCCAGAAAAATCTTCTTGCAGCGTGGACTATAGGAAATTCAAAAGATGTGAAGGAGAAACATTTAATGTTAAATTACACAGTAGTTTGCATTACTCATTTTTTCTACATTCTTCAATTTATAGAATGCCCTTTCCCCAAACCTGACCTTTTTTTAAGCAAAAGCCTAAGACAAAATGCATGGGTGCTTTGTGTCTTTCAACTCCTGCATCAGTGCTTATCGGCCCAGCACTGGGCCGTGGGGTCCGGACCGGCGGTGGGGCCCGTGCTGAAGCTGGCCGCCAGCGCTGTGCAGCTGCTGCTGTCTTGGCCGCGGCAGGGCCCACTGTCCTCGGAGCGGCTCTTAGCCTGTTTTCACTTACTCAGGATGGTCGCTGATCATTTAAACGGCACGTATTATCTGCAGCCCGAAGTTATTTCAGCATCGAATCAAGACTCGTTGGTGGTACCCATTTTTCAAATACTTCAAGATAGTCATTCTCAGGGAAAATGGTCTTGGTGCTCATCTTTAAAGACTCCTCCGCAAGCAGTGAATCTTGTTCAGCAGCCAGGCCACAGGTATAATTTCTTTAATATCGGGGTACCGTCAGCATTACAGATTTTTTCCTTTTTTTTAAAAAAATTGAGCTGTAATTCCCATACTATAAATGTCACTGTTTTAAAGTTTATAAATTCAGTGATTTTTAGTATAGTCACCAGGTTGCAAAACTATTAGCACTAATTACAGTATATTTTTATCATTCCCAAAAAGAAACCTTGTATCCATTAGCATTCAGCACCATAGATTTTATTTAATCTAAAAATATTTTAGGACTTATGTCAAATGTTGTTCAACACATATTTTATTAGCCTTGGGCAACCAGGATACTGTTGACAGATTTTGGTTTAGGTAAGTACTATAGAAAAATGACCACAGGTACATAAAGCATTTGTGAAAATTTTAAAAATATATTACATATAAGAAGTGTATATTTGATCAGTGGACTTTGTGTTATATTTAAGTCTGGTCAGTTTGTATACAAGTATACTTGTATGTCATGACATCGGCGAAGAATGCAGCAACAGCAAAGGCTAACTAAGCAGGAGGCTGTGCTGCTTCTGATATCCCTCGTCTGAAGTGTGGTTTTGATGACTGTCTACCTTTGTGTGCAGATTGCTGGTCCTCTGGAGAGCACTGTATAAAAAAACTCTGTGGTATCAAACACAGTTAAGTCACAGAGTTCCTACAGGTGACAGGCAGTTAACTGAAAAGATGGCACACGAAGCAGCTACTGTCCAGTCCCTGTTATGTCACATACAGGCTGCCCTGCAGGCCGCCGGAGTCTGCTTGGACCTGACCTTGGAGCTCAAGTCTATCGAGGGTCAGTATCTTTATGAACACTTCCTAACTACGTGAATAAGCAGTGCAGTGTATAGTTAACCTGGGCTTCGATTTTATCGATTGGTTACAATGATTTGTTTTTCAAAATTTCTGGCTGAGCTGTATCCACTGAGTTTTAAAACAAAAGTAAACTTTCATAAAGTAATGTAATTAACTATGGCTAATTGTTGATTAAAAACTTTGTAGGTGAAGAGTGTTTCCTGTTAGGATCCTATGAAAAGTCTGTCCAGCTGTGGAAGGAAGCTCTGCAAGAAACCCAAGAAAATGGTAGGGGTGGGGGATTGTTTTGAAATAATATTTGCTGTAACAGTGGTAGGAATGCAGTTTAGCACGCTCTAGAGCCTTGAAACTGATGGAAGCTTTCTGAGTGCCCGTGTTTTCTTAGTGCTCAAGTAGAATAATGTATTGTGGGAACCTGACTGTCCGATTTACTTACCTAAAGTTAGTCTTAGTCTTGGATTTGTAGAACCCAGAGTTTTTTGTTCTCTACAGATAAGGCATCTTCTGTCCTTTTTTATTGGTTAGTGATGGACCATGTGATTGATTGTTGATAGAAGGGAAATGAGATTTAGATCATAAATAAAATAATGTGGGTTTTGGGTTTGGGTTTTTTTTTTTTTTTTCATTTAGAGGGACTGCAAATACCTAAATGAGACACTGGGTCAAAGATTTTGTGACCTTTTACAGACTTAGGGAAATATGGAGCTCTGATTCTCTATCCTGAAATAACTCAAACATAACAGGTTCCTGTGCGTTAGACTCACCATTGGGTTAAGCATGGGCTGCATGGAGTTCCTGCTGAGTGCAGAGGGGTGTGGAGTCCAGGACCTGGCAACAGCTGCTGTGCTGCAGGGCCGAGGGTGTGACTGAGGCTCCGAGCTGGCGACCTTGGAGCTGGCCCTGACTGCAACCGCTGCGTGGTCAGGTTCATCCAGTTCTTGAGTACATTTTCTGACCTGTGCTTCATTCATCTACTGAGCCAGTCTTTGTTGAGGGCCCACCCTGCGCCTCGTACTGTATTAGGCCCTGGGAATCCGTGAAATAAGCAACTTTACCCACAGGTTGACCAAGGTCTGCAAGAGGGATTATGTAAACAAGGAGCGATTTTCTCACATCCTGTGGCAGGTGCTGGGCACTGGAGTCACAGTTGATGGATAGTTAACAGGTTTGAGCAATCGGACTTGTAAGAAGTCTCATGTAGCCGTTCTTAGGTCTGGGGATTGTCCAAGTGGATGAAGAAGAGTGGCCCCCAAGGAGTGAGGAGTCTGAGGAAGGGTTTTCACAGTGAATCCGTCGGGGACCTCTTCATTCCCACCATGTCCCTGAGGGTGGCTTCTAGTTCTGGGCACCGAAAGTAACAGTGCTGCACAAGCAGGGAGTTTGTTTCTCTCTCTGCTGAAAGCAGGACCGAGTTTCTCTGCCCCATCCTCCTCAGTGCCACCTGCAGGCAGTGACGCACACTACGGCAGGTGCTGCAGCTTGGCCATCGCCCCAGCCTTCCCGGCAGCAGACAGGAGGAAGGCAGGAGAAGGTGTTCCTTCTACCTGAGTTTTTCCTCTTTAAGCAGCTTTTCTGGAAAGTTCACAGTATTATCTCTTAGTTCAGAACATAGTCACATTTTCACAGGGTCACATCTGGTGAGAAGTTGTGACGGGGTACATTGAGACCCCCAAAGCAGCTGGAATTGTTTTACTCAGGAAGAGTGGGTAAGGGACCGGCAGCCAGCCGTCTCAGTCCCAACTGCCCTCCAGGTGTGGCCAGGACGCCTGTCTTACTGGTTAGTGTCTCCCTTCCTTTGGGGAGTCTCTGCGGCCATCTGTTTGATACTCGTGGGGTTTCTTGGGAGTTGGGGGTCACTGTGTTCCCCGTTGTTTCAGGCGATGTGTACTTGGGGTAGGTGTTAGTGAACCTTAGTGCTGAGATGAGCTCATCTCTCCTTGGGTACATCCTAGGGCCTGATGAGAGAAAATATGGCTGTTCAGGACTTAAAATGTGGACTAACAAAGTATTGCTCACCTAACTTTTAAAGAATCTTATACTGAAGTATGAAACAGATACAGAAAGGTTCATGTAATGCAAGTGTACAGCTTGATGAATTTTCACAAACGGAACATTCCCCGAGTGTCTACCTAGCACCCAGATCAAGAACACGACCTTGCAACAGGTTTTTAATGTACGCTTAATTCTTTCCGGTTTAAGGAGGAAGAAGGACCTGCTTTCTTCAGATACGCTATTACCTTTCTCTCTTGTACTGCCACCTGTACAGCTATAACTTAAACGATGCTCAAGGATTGTGTGATCAGCTAGTAAGAGCAGTACTGACATGGTCCCACCTACCCGTAAGAGAAAATGAAGATAGTTCAGGTATGTGTTTCAAAAATCAGTGTGTTTAATCTTACCGATTTGTATTTATAGGTTTAGGTCGGAAATTGCTTATACATAAAAGTTGGTGGTTCTGCCCTATTAGGTTTAATTTTGGACTGGCAGCCTCTCACCAGCAAGAATCTTCTTTTTTCTTTTTCAATTGTTGGATTTCCAGGACTTAGCAGCAGTTGCCTGCTGAACTAATTGTTTTCACACAGCCACGGTTGTTAGACATAGTAACCAAATATTTTTAAATAAATTTAGACTTAAATGTTGTTTAAGGTGCGTTAGTAAAGTGATGAAAATCACTTAGTGAAGTGTTCTGAGCCTTTTAAAAATCTGTTCAAGAGGCTGCAGAGTATTTCGATTGCCATCATAAAAAGACTCGCGTTTGATTGAGCAAACCCAGCGTGAAAGGACACACAAATGAACGCACTGTGTGAGTCAGTGCGTCTGAAAAGGCCCACGCAGCCCATGCCGGCTCAGTATCTTCTTTTTTTTTTTTTTAAGATTATTTTGTTTTAGAGAGAGGAGAAGGGAGGGAGAAAGAGAGGGTAAGAAACATCAATGTGCGAGAGATACATCAATTGGTTGATGTATCTAGGCACATACCCTGACTGGGGATCGAACCGGTGACCTGTCATCTCAACAGGCTGGCACTCAGTCCACTGAGCTACACCAGCCAGGGCCAGGGAAACTTAGTTTCATATGGTTTCAGTCACTATTTATAGATTTCTTACTCTTTGTGATTTTAATCTTTTTAAATTTTTGTTTGTTATAGGAGTAATGCATGTTTATTTTAGACAATTTTGAAGATATGGAAAAGTACAGAGACAAAAACCAGATCCCTTATAATTCTTTCATTCTTTGTCTATATACATTTATACATGTATACTTTTATACACGTATACTTTTATAGAGTTGTATATTGTTTTGTAACTTTTTAAAATTATTGATTTTTTAAAAGAGAGAAACATTGGTTTTGTTGTTTCACTTATTTATGCATTCATTTGTTGACTCTTGTATGTGCCTTGACTGGGGATAAAATCGTAACCTTGGCTTATTATAATAACACTCTAGCCAACCAAGCTGGAATGTTGAACAGAACAGCCAGGGTTCTGTTTTGTAATCTTTTAAAATTTCATATTATGATAAATACTCTCCAATTAAATAATATTTGTTGTATCAAATCCATTAACCCTTTTTTAAAAAGGGTTTTATTTATTTTTAAAGAGAGGGGAAGGAAGGAAAAAGAGAGGGAGAGAAACATCAATGTGTGGTTGCCTCTCGCATGCCCCCCTACTGGAGACCTGGCCTGCAACCCAGGCATGTGCCCTGACTGGGAATCGAACCGGTGACCCTTTGGTTCGTGGGCTGGCACTCAATCCACTGAGCCCCACCAGCCAGGGCAACCCTTTTTCTTGTTATTGCCCATTTAGGTAGTTGCCATGCCACCTGTTTGCTGTTTTAAATAATGCTGCATTGTCCACAGCTTCCTGTGAGCATTACTCATAATTTCTTTAGGATAAATTTCTAGAAATGAGGTTCCTGGATTAATGAGGATCCATGGTTTTAAGACTTTTGATGCCTAGTATCAAACAGAGTTCTTCTAGCTGTATATAAGCAAAAGGCTTCTTTAAACTTAGGGTGACCAAATGAAAAATACTACTTAAAGGCTAACAAAATTTTCTCAAGATTCCCTTTATATATATATACACACGTGTGTGTGTGTGTGTGTGTGTATATATATATATATATATATATGTAAAACAATTATTAACAATACTTTTGAGAGCCTACTACGTGCAAGGAGGAGTGGCGGGTGCGGGGGTATTGGATAGAAGTGGCCTCTACTCACATAGAACTTTGTGTTCTTGTGACTGACCGTGCACCAAGGGACTCACGGGAAGCAAAGGTATGTTACTGTTGTTGGGGCCATAAAATTCACAAAAATTGTAGTTAACTTAGTATTTTATATATTTAAGTTTTTAACTATTTCAAATTCCTGAATGCCAGTTTATATTTTTGAGTTTTGGTTCTCAAATAGGGACGATACGTGTTTGCTCCTGTTTGTTTATATATGAGAATCGCCCCAGGAATCCTGACAGAAGTCCCAGTCCCTCAGCCCCACCCTCGCCCTCCACCCAGTCGGTCCCAGTTGGGTGCATACACGCAACCCATCAATGTTTCCCACCTTGGTGTTTCTCTTCCTCTCTCTCCTCCCTCTCCTCTAAAAAATGTAAGCAAAATCTTTTTTAAAAACCCTAGTGATTTAAAGTCATAAAAAGTTCCTAAGTGTATGTGCTCATACTTATGAGCTAATTATTTTTGTTGTCTTCAAGAAGTACAGATACCTATCATAGATTAACTTGTACAGGCCATGGATGCTCATCTAAAAATTTAATTATAATTTTTTTCTTTTATAAAGTCGGGAATTTAAATATTACTGCTTTTGATAGTTCGATCATAATCTCCTTCGGTCACGTGCTACCTCCCTTAGCTCCCGAGCGGCCTCCCCGCGGGCTGGGGGTGGCCGCAGCGGCGCACCCGTCGGCGGCGGTGCGGGTGATCCAGTGCATGGCCCGGTTCATGGCCGCCTACTTCACCAACCGGCGGCTCTGCATTTTGCCACCTCACAGTGTGAACGTCCTTCCACCGCTTCATGTTGAAAGAGGTAATACGGCCAACTAATAATTTTCTTACCTTGAGTTTGCTTATACCATTCAAAATAATAATATACAGGATACCAGTTTAGAATTATTTTCATTTGGATTGTTTGCTTTTATAATTTTATTTGGATCATTCACTTGGCTCTGTTTAATCATTTCATTAATAGGGTAAAAAATGGACCTAATCTGTCTATGCCGGGTAGCTGCCCTGCCCCCACGGAGATAAACACGTGCACAGATTCCCGAGATAGCCATCCATTCTGCTAACTCCCCTTAAGGGCCCGCTCTGTGCTGAACAGTGTCCTAGGTGCTGGCGACATGTTAGCTTGCACCATATGAAATTAATAATATGAAAACATCTGTAACTTTTGCTTGGACATTCAAAGCAGACTTATTCTAACTGCCACGAACAAAACAAAGAAAGTATGTGTTCTTCTATGGAGTTCCTACCTGATAGGTTGGGACAGAAAGTTCCGTAAGTGACTATATAAGTAAGATAGATCAAATAGTAACAACAGTTGTGCAGAGAATTGAAGTGGAGTAATGCATTGTGACTGAGAGGCTGTTTCAGTTGGTGAATTTAGGGGCGAGCTATTTGAAGGGGGGCCTTGAAGCTGAACTCTTAGTGATGAGGAAGAGCCAGCCATGGGCGCATCAGTACTTGCAGCATTGTAACGGGAGCTGGTGTGAAAGCCCCAGAGGAAGAAGAGACTTGACGTGTCTGGGAGACTGAGAGAGAGACGCGGGTGGCCGGAGCGCAGAGGATGAGGTGGGGCGTGATGTGAGACGCAGTCAGAGGTAGACGGGCCAGGGGATGTCAGCCAGGAGGAGGAATCTGAATCTTAGGTACAGCAGGGAGTTACTGGAGTGCTTTAAGCAGGAAACAGCAGGAGCCGATAAATCAGTATAAGCAATGCGTGGAGGGGTTAGAGTGGGACAAGACGCAATGTGATTAGAAGCTTAGCAGAACTCAGTGCAAGCGGTCATCAGATTTAACCAATCATAGACCCGTGGATGGTGGCACGTTGTGTTCAGTTCTTCTGTTCTGTGATTGTCTCAGGGTGTGGGCAGGAGCAGGGGGCGACCCTCGCCCGCTGGGACGCTTCAACAGGAGTGTCAGTCCCGAGTCTCCCTGGGGTTCTCCGGGAGGTTCTGGCCCCTAGAGTGTCGTGTGTGAGGCAGGATCAGAAGGGAAATTTCCTGGTGGTTTAGTGGCTCCTTGTCTAGTAGGTCCCTGCTTCCCTGGGACCACCTTGAGCTGGTCCTGACTTGCTCGTGGCTGTTCTTAGGGAGCTGGTGTGAGCAGAGAAGCTGGCCCTGGGTTTCTTCCAGGACCAGCCGCTTGCTACCCGGCGCCCTCCCCCCGGGTCCTAACTCGGACTCGGAAGCTGGAGAACAGCCTGGGCTGTGTTTGCTCACCGCTCACCGTCACGCTGTGTCTTCTGAGGCTCTCAGAAGTGGGTTCCTCGTTCCCTTGTACCTTTGACATTTGTTGTTCTCGGAGTGGTTTATATTTAAGTCCTCTTTTTTGTCACAACCTGGGTATTGATCACCCATTGCCCATTTGTGGTATTAATGTTTCTGACAACAAATTATATCCTTAATCCACATTATTGTCCTGAAAAGGAGAGGTAGTACTCCATTTTAGAAAAATCTAGGGGTGGGGGGACAGTAAAATCCTGGTACTTAGAAAATTTGTATGTCAATTTTTTTTTTGTCTTTCCTGCCCTGCAATGTTTATAGGACTTGCTGTTTGCTCCTGACCTTTATCTTGTCTTTAAAAAAAAGATTTTATTCCTTTTTAGAGAAAGGGGAACGGAGGGAGAGAAACATCGATGTCTGAGAAACCATTTGGTTGCCTCTCATACACCCCCAGGATGGAACCTCACCCACAACCCAGGCTTGTGCCCTGACTGGGAATTGAATCAGCAACCTTTCAGTTTACAGGCCACTGCTCAACCCACTGAGCCACACCAGCCAGGGCTCCTGATCTTTCCCTGTACAGATCACTTCACGTACTTAAGGAAGACTGATCTTTATCACACTCTAGGAAGACAGGGATAGAATTGCTGAATTGTTTTTGGACAGATTCATACACATTCATAAAAGCTGAGGGGCACTTTTTTATACCCTGTATACCTGAGATATACACATACACTGAGATACCTTCTCAGTGAGAGAGAGGGCAGGAGGCAAAGCCTTTTCTTCCTATGCTTGAGACTGTGATTACTGAAAATTTAAATATCTGAAACTTTGTACATATCCATTAGTTTATTTGATCTTCTTGTATCTTAAAAATGATATCAGCAGGCTTGACTTAGAATACATTTCATGGTAATCTTTCTAAGCAGAACTAGTGAGTGAATGTATTGGGGATTTATTTGAGTTGCTTATTTGGTGTGATGTTTGCTGTGTGAAAGTCACATTTTCAGAAAATTAGGTCATTCAGATTCTTTAATAGTACAATGCCTTGCTCAGTGAATAAAAACATAGGGACAATCTAGTCAACCTCCTGGCCGTCCGCCTATGCAGAATCAAACATTCCAGTGCTGGACTGAATGTTTTATTTCTCTCCAAATGTGTCAGAAGCTAATAAAAAGTTAGTTCCTGGTGTGGGCAGAGCCGATGTAGGTCTGTGAGAAACCAACCACTTCACTTCAAGGAGCAGAAACCCACATCTACCAATTTTGTTTTGTTGGAGGGAATGAAAATGTTAGTGATATGTGTTTTTACAAAAATAATAGTTCTGTTGTCATATTTTCAAGGTGCTTATTTAAGTTGCTTTAATTAGAGAAAAGTACAGAAGGCTGGGGAGAAGAACGTTGCCCTTATTTAATTCTAGGCCAGATTTGTGGTTTAGTCAGGAATGCTGAAAACCACACATTCCAACTTTCTTAAAAGCACTAATATACTGAACACTTCATATGCTTGGGCATTACCTCCAAGAAGTTTTTTACTATGTGACATTCCGAGGAAAATTCAGTCTCTGCTCTCCAAAGTTCATAATAGTTGGAGAAATAGACATGTATTTCAGAGCAGCCCAAACGAATCAATTGTACACTGTGACCCAGTGTATTTAAACGTGCCTACCTTTGTTTGTATGATCTGACACAAGAGTGTTGTTACACTGTATTTGCCTTTATTTTGTGTAATATACTCTGACGTTGTCTCTCCTGTCGCTACTCTGTTCTGTTCCATTTTTTAAGAATGCTGGGACTTGCTTCGTGACCTACTAACAAGGCACTTTCCTCCGTGTTAACATATTCGAGAATAGCTTTTTAAAAAACTATTATTTTAGCCCATTTTGTGTCTTCCCTGTTGTGGTTTTGTGTAGAACATACTGATTGAAGAGTTATGTGTATCCAAGTAAGGAGGTGTGAGCTCTGATATTTGTAACTGTGATATCCATTCTCTTTAACTTACAGAGTGGCCCCTGCGGCTTATCCCTCTGCAGCACTCGAAGGTGGCCAGTGTTGTCAGAGACCAGAATCTTTCCAGCGTGTGGACAGTGGAATATGCCCTCGAGTTACTGTTTATCGGGGGCCTGGTTCCGGAGGCCGTGTGGTTGGCACATGAGCTTGGCGACTGGAAGACATCTGTTTCGATTGGCGTGGCCTTCCAGCTGTTCCGCAAACTAGACGGCAGTTTCACCAGGTGTGTATGTTCAGGCAAACTTGAGGAATAGTGTGACAGTATCATCTAAAGTATTTTTTACTACTTTTACACATTCTGTGGAATTCTTAGTTCAGCATTGTCTGGTAGAACTTCTTCAGGGGTAGAAATGTTCTGTGCATGCTGTCCAGTGTGGTACTAGCCATGCGTAGCTATTGAGCACTTGAGCTGTGGCTAGTAAGACCAAGGAACTGGATTTTTAATCTAGTTTTAATTCATTTCATTTTACATAGCGACATGCAACCAGTGGGCACTGTGTTGGACAGCTCAGTGGCTTACTTATTTACATTAAAATGTTTATTTACAACATGTATTTGTTAGTAGTGCTCTTGAACAGCTTATAGTCAGTGGGAGAGTTTGTCCCAAATAGGATTTAAGGGTTTTTTAAAAAAGATTTTATTTACTTTTAGAGAGAGGGTAAGAAAGGGAGAAAGAGAGGGAGAGAAACATCAGTGTGGGAGAGATCCATCAATTGCTTGCCTCTCAAATGCCCCTAAGTGGGGAACTGGCCCACAACCGGGCATGTGCCCCGACTGGGAATCAAACCAGCAACCTTTTGGTTCACTGGCCGGAACTCAGTCCACTGAGCCACACCAGCCAGTAGGGCAGGATTTGAGTTTTAAGCTAATTGAACTAGTCCCTTTATTTTAACTTTTCTGAATATTATGGAATTCCTGTGTCTTTTATATTTTTCAATTCAATAATTACACATACATTTACTTATTAAGTAACTTTTCTATGCCAAGCTGTATACCAGATATCACAGTGGGTATAAGGTAGTCCATAATTTGTATGCTTAAGGTGTTTATAGTTTAATAGAGAAAACAGAACACACCATTATTATAGTTCATGGGCCGCAGCAAGGAGCAGCCAGTGGTACTGTGTGTGGGGAGAGCAGGAGTCCCGGGAGCGGGGCAGTGAGGACGGACACACTTTACGTAGAAGGCGTTATCTGAGGTGGGTGTTGAAAGGAAGTAGGATTTTGACGGAGTGAATAGTTGCAGGGAGAGAGGACATACCAGACACAAGCAAAGGCATATGGGGAACCCCAAGGTGGGTTCTGTTTGGCTGGAGTACACGCATGTAGGGCAGCAGGGGAAGCCAGGGCGGGAGGCCCGTGAGCGCCGTGACGGTGCAGAGCCGCAGTCCTCGCCTCTGAGCGGCACTTCCCGATTGTCTCGTTCTCAAATACAGGATGGATACTGACCGTGAATTTCACTGTTTCTCAAACTTTATGTTTAGTTCCGATGTGTGAACGGTGCTTTTTTCAAAATTTGGAATTCTTTCTCCTAACTCGATGTGACTTTCAGGTGCAAGAAAAAAGGCCAGAATCTACCATTAAACATGACTCCAGCACAGATTTTCCAGGAAAAGCTCCAGTGTTTTTTAGGTCAGCCGGCCTCTTTGGGAGCGAAAAATGAAGCGGGCTCAAAATACAAACAATTTACAGGTGCGTTACCTTCATGTGGTCTGATACATGTATCAGGTTAATTAACGTAAACCTGTGGACCCTGGCTGGGGTGGCGCAGTGGATTGAGCCCCAGCCTGTAAACCAAAGGGTTGCCGGTTCAATTCCCAGTCAGGGCACATGCCTGGGTTGCCGGACAGGGCCCAAGTAGGGGGCATGTGATAGGCAACCACACATTGATGTTTCCCTCTCTTTCTTCCTCCCTTCCCCTCTCTGAAAATAAGTAAAATCTTTATATAAAAAAAGAGTAAAGAAATTAAGTGAAATCCAGGGGTTAGAAAAAAAAGTAAAAACTCAATGTTTTCCATCCCTGGATGTTTACCCAAGAAAAATGAAAGCATAGGTCCACCCAAAGACCTGTATCTGAATTTTCTTAGCAGCTTTTCATGCTAGCCAAAAACCTGAGCAACTCAAGTGCCCATCAGCTTGTGAATGGACAAATATATATATATATATATCTATGCAATGGAACACTAAATAAGAAAGAGGAGCAACCTGTGGATAACACACCACAGCATGGGTGAATCACAGGCCTTTTATGCTGAATGGAAGAAGTCAGCAATGAAGGCTACTTACTGTACGATTCCGTTTCTGTGACATCTTATGAAAAGCAACACTAGGGATGGGACACAGATCGGCGGTTGCCTGGGAGTAAGAAGGGACTCGACAGAACTGGGGTGTAAGGCAACTTTCTGAGTGATGGAGATGTTCCTTCAGGGTTGTGTAGATTTGTGGAAACTCATTGAACTGTGTACTTAAAAAGGGTGAATTTGAGTGTATGTAAACTCAGTTATCCAATTTAAAAAAAAAACAATTTCAGCAGATGGTTAATGAACTGGAAAATGAATTTGAACTGTCTGTACAAACACCGAGGATATGTAGAGAGATAAAATAAATGCATACAAAATAGATGCGAAGAAAAGGACTGGAAAATACGACAGAGGAGTTAGGCCTCAGAGGGTATAAACAGGAAAACGCAACCCATGAGTGATGGGAGTTTCAGGACATCCTCACGGAGTTCTGGCGCGTGGCTGCCTTCTGAGAAAGGGAGCGGAGTATGATTCATACGTAGAAGTGTCAGCTATATCGGTAACATTTTATTTTTAAAAAATGTAATTTGGCCCTGGCTGGCGTAGCTCAGTGGATTGAGCGTGGGCTGTGAACCAAAGCATCGTAGGTTCGATTCCCAGTCAGGGCACATGCCTGGGTTGCAGGCCACGGCTCCCAGCAACCACACATTGATGTTTCTCTCTCTCTCTCTATCTCCCTCTCTTCCCTCTTTAAAGATAAATAAATAAAGCCTTTTTAAAAATCTTAAAAAAATATATATATAATTTGAATATAGCAAAAATGTAAATATTAGACAAGGATGAAAAGTCAGTATCTGAGTGTTTTCATATTACATTCTGTGCTTAAAAGTATGTTTAAAATATTCTAAGTCATTGTTACTAACTTCTGTAATAAAAGTACTATGATGAACTAACAAGAGAAATTAAAAAATCACTATTACTCTCCCACTGCCCTTACACAATGTTGTCTACTTTGGTGTCTTCCTTGACATTCTTTTTTGTACTAATTTTTTAATTTATTATTTTTGACTCAGGACTGTATTTCAAAAATATTTTTGTTATATAGTTGTTTTTACAATGTCATATAATTTTTGAAAAACTATTTGTGCTATTACTGCCTATAATCTTAAAGTAACAGAATGATCATTAAGTTTCTGTCTAGAAGTTGGATGTGTGCATGTCAACCATAGGTTCATGTCTGACAGTCAGCTTCTTCAGAATGAGAAGTACCATGTTAATTGTTGTTATTTTGCCTAATTCTGTGTCGGGCAGACCCCATCGAAGAGGAAGATGTGAATCTGCTGTTGGGCGCGTTGCAAGAAGTGCTGAAAGCAGCAGTCATGGCCGACGCAGACGTCCTGTCGGAGACGTTTCAGCTCCTGGTGACCTCGGCCAAGGACTTCAGCAAGAGGCTCTGGGGCTTGGTGCCGGGCGGCCTGTACCTGCCAGCTCCCCCGCTGTACTGTCCTCAGCCGGCTGTTCTTAGTGAAGTAAGCTGCCCTTTTCATTTAAAGGGGATGTCGTCCAGTTTTTAAAACAATGAACTCGGTAATAAAAAATCAAGCTCCGAAGACAAACTTCTGGATCCCAGCCTTGCTGTTTATTAATTCTGTAATTTTACACAGTGTACTTAAACGGTTTAAGTAAAATGCAAATGATGGTAAGGCTTCCAGTGAAGCGAGGATTAGGTGTGAAAGCCTTTCACCTTAGGCCCTAGGATGTAGTGGGTATTCAATAAATGTTACAATTATTGCAATAATAAAACTGAGACACATTTCTCTAGATCCAGATTTTAAAACCATAGACATTTGTTTAGGGTAACAAAGTAACAAATGTTGGGATTTGGAAACCATACACTGTTTCAGTCTTGTATTTTCCTCATTGTCTTTGCCTCTTCTGAAAGACTTACTTTGATTTTCCTTTGATTTGAAAGGCCTTTTTTTTCTCCCACACTATTCAACCTGGTAGTTCTGTTTTATAAATAGCAATACTGTATTCTTCTCAGTAATTTTTCATCTGCTCTTACTGAAAATTATAACATTACAATTAGCTGGTTTTAAGGTTTAAAGTATTAATGTAAATTATTTACATTTAAATTATTTTAACATTTGGTTAATATTTTGAAGTGGTTCTGGTGTTGTTTCTTTACTACTCATTGCTGCAGTATTAGCAACTTTTATCTGTGTCTCCTTTTTTCCCTTTTTAGAGTTATCGTCTCAATTGCTGTATTTAGTTATGTTTCAATAGGTTAAAATATTTCAAATGTAATATATTACAAAGAGAAGGAATGAATGGTTCATGGTATTTCTCAGTGATTCTTCTTTCCTCTCATATCTGAGGCTTCAGCATTTGGTGTGGAAATTGGAATCGCATTAAAGATATTTTTGGATATGTTATACTGATACTAGTTGGAGTGGTTACTATCCTTAGTAGTGTTTCATTCTATCATTTTTGTTAAAATAAGTCTCAGTGGTAGGATTCCTACTCTTTGTCCCTCTATATCTGTCAGAGTCCCTTGGGTTGGGAGTATGTAGTAAAAAACTTAGTCAAAATCGACCGGCCTCACTGAGGAGCCCAGTGCGGGGGCAGCCCTCTGACTCAGTCATGCCACCAAAGACAGAGGTTCTTTCTAGTTTGCTTTCTAAGGTGCCAGCTCCCAAGGCTGGCTCCCTTTGTGGGAGCAAGATGGCTGCCAGCACCTCCCAAGGACACCTTGCCCATGGCCGTGGAGAGGGGAGGGGTAAAAGAAAAGCTGTGAAAGAATTTCTCTCCCAGCATTCCAGGCAGCAGTCCTGAGAGTCACTCTTCTGGGACTGACTGAGGTCACTTGCCTGTCCTTGAGCCAGTGACCTTGGCTAGGGACAGTGCAGGGCCTGCTGAGCCTCCCCTGGAAGCTGGGGATCACACGGGCTGTGTAGGGGAGGGGCAGATACCCGATTAAAAACAGAACGCTTGCACAGTGGCAGCAGTGGGAAGCAGATGTTTATAATACATCATCTCATTTTCGGGAAGACTAGTCTTTAGCTGCTGACTTGAATGGTGTATTTCAACAAGCGTTTGTTGGACCCTTCTCCTACATGCTGGGCTTCATTCTGTGTACTGCGGTGACACGAAGACCCAGGAGAAGGCCTTTGCTCCAGGGCAGTGCTCAGTGTTGTGGGAAACAGGCGTACAACATGCAGAGTGAGTTAGTGAAAGCTGTAAGGGAGACAGACGTCTGAGCAAAGTGCCCGAGTGGCACAGTGGGAGGGCTTCACGGAGGAGGTGATGCTGAAACACGAGAACGATTTTTCCAGGCAGAGGGAGGAAAGGGCATTCTCCTCGGAAGGAGCTCTCCCTGTAACTTTCTACCCGTGGAGTCAGGGGTGGTGGCCTTTCACTGTTGTGGGGGAGGGACTGGGGTCGGGGTCGATTAGCCCCTCACATTGTTTGAGGGGAGAGAACTGTGTTCTTGGCACTAGGAAGAGCCGTAGTTGAAATCTCAGGCTGTGCCTCAACATCGTTTATATAAATCTCCAGGAATGTTCTGGTTTGAGAAGCACCCTCTTATTTTCACTTTAATGCTTTCCATTCTCATATGGCTGGCTGTACAATCTGGTGGTTTCATTTTCTTCAGGAAGATGGGGATGATCTCCTTCTAAAAGCCGAAAAAGGGAATCGCCAGAAGCTGTCCGGCGTCCTCCAGCGCCTCCTCCTGCTCTTCCGCGCAGCGCAATGCTCCTTCCCCGCCGCGCAGTGGTACATCCTGCGGCTGCGGCGGGCCCGTAAGGTCATGCAGAAGGTACGCGGCCTCGCTCAGCTTACTTAAATAATCCGCTACTATCTATTAATATCGGTGAGAGTGGCGTTTCCCCAAGGGGGCCTGCGCTGTAGATCGATGTTGAGATTTATCAGCAGTGAGCACTGCAGGCAGACCAGGTTCCTTCTGCTGAAAGGTGCGGACTCGGAGCAGGGTCTCTGTTAGTCCCATCCTGCCTGCCTGTGGGAAGTCTAAGCCATTCCGCTAATTTCAGGTAGTGTCGGTCACATTTCTCCTCCCACTCCAGTCACTGAGGATAAAACTCAGTTCATGGTTTTCTCTGACTTCTCCCCGAGGGATTGCCTGTGTTCTGTGGTGCTTGCGTGAGGTCAGACCGTGGAGGCTTCGAGTTAGCTCCTGGCTCTGTCTCCCCTCAGCGGTCTCCACCTGCCAGTCTCCCCGGCTGTCTGCTGAGCCAAGTGGTTCCCTGGGACTCAGGGGCCGTCGGCTCCCACGCTGACCGCCACCCGGCTGGAGCTGCGTTCTTCTCTGCTCTGCAGCCAGACGGGACATCTGCGCTGTGCCCCTCATCCAGCCGCAGGTCCTTTGTAGGCCTGGGGCCTGTCTCTCCGTGAAGGTGGAAGTAAATATGAGCCCCAAGGATCCTTAATTTGGCCCTTGATTATTACCTTTAAGACAAGAATCTATGACTTTTTTAGTAGGACAGACCACTTAGAGAGGCTCTGAGAAGTTGTTTATCAAGTTGGTTTTGAAATTAGTCTTTCTTTGGAGAGAAATGTTTGTATTCATCCTATAACTTATCATCCCCCCAAATTTTTAAGTATGTTTACTAAGGAGAACAAAGAGTTTTCCTCTATTATTGAAAGAATTGGTTTTAATAGTTTCAATATATTGAACCTGAATGTTTGTTATAGGAAACTTCATTTTAGAATTGTGTATAGATTCTAAGTTGTTATAGAATACTATTTTTAAAATTATTTATTTATTTATTTTTAGGCAGAGGGGAAGGAAGGGAGAAAGAGAGGGAGAGAAACATCAGTGTGTGGTTGCCTCTCACACAGCCCCTGCTGGGGATCTGGCCTGAAACCCAAGCATGTGCCTTGACTGGGGATCAAACTGATGACCCTTTGGTTCACAGGCTGGTACTCAAATCCACTGAGCCACACCAGCCAGGGCTATTGTAGAAAACATTTTTTTAAATTATAAATTATATTTGCATTGAAGGTTGATCTTACCAACAACTCCTGACAATAATCTCAATCTAGTTTCAGTTAATTCAACCAGCATGTAAAGACTGTGGACTCTGTTAAAATTGGCACCACAGCTAAAGACATTCCTCCTTGTAAAATTTTTTTTTACAAGTACTAAATTGCTTGTTAAAGCATGGTGCAAGTGGTAGTCAGAATGCTATTAATGCCTTAATGTGGTATGATGGACCTTTGCAGATGGAGTTAATGTTACTAATTGGCTGACCTTAAAATAGGGAGATTACCCTGGTTAATGTTGGTGGGCCCCGTGCAACCACAAAAGCACTGAAAGAAAGAAGGGAGGCAGAAGAGACATCTAGTGAGACCAGTGCAAAGGGAAGACCAGGGAAAGGAGGCAAACAGGGAGACTAGAGGAGTGAAGGACTTGCTCGGCCCACCTGCTGGCTTAAGAGGGTGGAAGGCCCAGCAGTGAAGGCAGCTTTTAGAAACAGAGAATGCTCCCAGCCTGTAGCCAGCGAGGAAGCAGGGGACCTCAGTCTTACAACCACATGGAACGCAATTCTGCCAACAGCCTGCATAAGCCTGCTGCGTGTCCTAGTGTAATTTAAAAGAGCTAGTGAAGGTGCAGGGAAAATGATGAGTAAGGTCATCGAAAACACTGCTCTTCTCCCAAAACAATGGGAATATTGGCACAAATTGTCAGGATTAAATTTTTCAGGACTCTAGATATTAATTGAAGACTTGGAAGCATCCAGAGAACATTTATTCAAGAACTTGAAAGTACAGCTCATACCTGTGGGAAAAAAGCAACCAGTAGAAACTGCCCCGGAGGAAGCTCGGATGTCGGACTGCCCGGACAAAGATTTTCACCAGCTGTCTTAAATATGTTTAATAAAGAAACCATTTTTAAAGAATTAAAGGGATGAATGAGAATGATGTCTCACTAAAAAGAGGATAGCAATAAAGACATGGAAGTTCTTTTTTAAAGAAGACCAGGTAGACATTCTGGAGTTGAGAAGTAGAATATTTGACCTGAAAAGTTCACGAGAGCAGCCCCACGGCAGACCAGAGCATGCAGGAGACTCCGCCCACTGGAAGCCGGTCCGCTGAGACCACGCTGTGTGAGGAGCAGATGGGAACAAGGATGACGAGGAAGGAACGGAGGCTGGTGACTTGTGGGACACTCTCAGATGTGCCACAGTACACAGATGGGATTCCCGGAAGGAGAGGAGAGAAAGGGACAGAAAGAAACTTCAGAGAAATGATGGCCAAAAATGTCCCAAATTTGATGAAAAACATCAGTCCACACTTCCAAGAGGCGCAAACAACGCTAACTAAGTAGGATGACCTTGGAGACCCATTCTTAGACATGTCACAGTCAAACTGTCAACAGCCAAAAACCAAAAGGAAATCTGGAAAGCAACAAGAGAAGCCATTCACCACGTACACGGGATAAGATCAATGGCTTATTTCTCGTCAGAAATCATGGAGGCCAGTGGTAATCAGGAGTTAGGGAAAAGTGAGTTTCCCTCTCATCCTGGGCTCCTAGTCCACAGAGGCAACCACTATACTAAAGTATCCTTCCTGAAATGTTTTATACGTATAAACATGAGCAATTTCACCAGCTCTCCCCAGGTCATAGATTCTCATTTGACATAATATTAGTATAAAAAAATTAATGATGTATTTATATACATTTAAAAGCTTTTATTTACCAAAAGTACCTGGCTAAGTTTACTTAGGAAGTAGACTGAGAAGTAGAAACTAAAATAAAAAAACAAAACCAAACAAGAAGAGTCTGAGAACTGTCAGAGCCAGAAGTTCCTACGGAGGCATAATGTCTGAATGGAATGTGGTATCCTGGTTGGGACTGTAGAACACCAAAAAGACAGTGAGTGAAACTGGAAATCTGAATAATGTGTGGTTGACAGTTAATAATGTATCAGTGTATCAGTCCATTAATTATAACAAAGGCACTGTACTAATGCATCGTGCTGTCGATGATAGAGGAAAGTGGATGGAAACACCCTGTACTACGATCTTTTCACTTTTTCTATAGATCTAAAGCTCTTTAAAAATATCTTTGTTTAAAAGCTATATAGAACAACTACTTCCCTGGTAGCATAAAAAATAAGGCATGAAAATGTGGGACAAATGTTTTGTAAAACTTTTTGTTATGGAAACCTAAAAATTGGAAAGTAAAAAGAATCTATCACCAGATTTTAAGTTTCTTAGATATTGTTCCTTGGATATTGTTTCATCTTTCCCCAGTTTGCTTTCTTTCCATGTGTATGTGTGTGAATGCATGCATATGTGTGTGTGTTTTCAGTGTTTTATTTTTTTTTAATATATTTTTTCAATTACAATATACATGTGATATTTTGCATTAGTTTCAAGCGTACAGCACAGTGGCTGGACGATCACATACTTTACAAAGTGGTCCCCCGATATTCCTGGTCCCCACCTGGCACCACATGTAGTTGTGACCGTATCTCCTGTGCTGGACTTTGTATCCCTGGGACTGTTTTGTAACAGCCAGCTAGTGCTTCTCCACCCTTCCCCTTACATCACTGTCGGTGGTTGTGAGACGGGTTAGTGAGTTCGGGTCAGCCCTACCCGCTGTCACGGCTCCGTCAACCACCACCTTTTCCCTTAATTTAGCATTTGCTGATGGTCCTCGCTAGAGTCCTTATTTTATTAGGGGTTGCCAAAAGATGACTTTCTAATTCTGTCATTTATGGATTAGTTTTTCAAAAGTTATGCATGTAGATCTACCTTTCTTTTTCTGTATTTGATTTAGGTACTACACATAGTTTTATTTTAGATGAAAGTTTGTGAAATTTATTTTCCTTATCATTTTTTTGGAGAAAGGAAAAAATATTAAATTAATCTTATACAATCATAACTGAGTGACAAGTAGGTAATTTGATTAAATCTTTTTTTTCTCTCTTGAGATTGAACCTGGTGAATTTCAGAATTAAAATTGTGGGCCCTGGCTGGTGTGGCTCAGTGGGTTGAGTGCCGGCCTGTGAACCAAAAGATCGCTGGTTTGATTCCCAGTCAGGGCACATGCCTGGGTCGCAGGCAGGTCCCCAGTTGGGGGCATGTGAGAGGCAACAGACATCTTTCACGCATTGATGTTTCTCTCCCTCTTTTTCTCTCCCTTCCCCTTTCTCTGAAAATCAATAAATAAAATCTTAAAAAATTAAAATTGTGAGCTGCATTTCTGAAAGTGCAGCCGATCAATTCCAGGGCTGTTTTCTTACATAGGGTAGGAACTGCGCTGTGCATCCCAACTCTGTGGTGTGTCTTTGCCTGCTGTTGGTTGCTTTAGTTTCCTTCAAAACTGATTTATACTGACGCTGTATTCTGTCATTCTTCACTTTCAGATTCGGATGAAAGGGTCCCTTCCTTCACTGAGTCCTTTTCCTCAGTCATTACTTAATTACTGTGTAGGAGGCGTAGCATTCTTTCGACCCGGAGCAGCCGGAGACAAGAAGCTTGATGAAGTTTCCATTAAAGCAATAGGTTTGTCCAAAACAAACTGCTTGCTTAGAAATCAGGCCCTGATATTAGTAATGATATGTTTTACATGTGATTTGGGAAAGTTTCCATACTCTACTGGCAATGAAAAGACTGTGTAATATTACCACCATGGAAAGATATCCAAGATATATTAGGTGAAGAAAAAAGAAAACAGCATAATATGGTATTATGTATCTTTATGTACGTGTATTGCTTTCAATAAAGAAAATGGTTCGATATTGGAAATTGTTTTAGTATTAAATTTTTAACCTTAAATGCTTATCTGTACATGATTTTCCAAAAAAATGAACTGTACAGTATTAAGTACAGCTGTTCGTATTGGCTTGAGAAGTATCCACAACATACTATAAAGTTTAAAGCAAGTGAACTACTAGTAAACACATTTATTTACTTGTTAACTGTTTTCAGCATTTGTATGAAACTGACATGCATGAAATATTCTAGAATAATATATTGTATGTAAAAATTCTGGAAGGTTCTCCATAACTTTTACATAAGGTGTTGATAATGACCATACACTTCTTTTACGATCAACGAAACACATTCATTTTGGAACAGTCCCGAGCAGAGAGAGGCAGGGCCGTTCCAGCGGTGCGTGCGCTTATGCAGCCTTCTCTTGTATTTGCACTCCTGGTCCAGGCTGCTTCCGGGAGCTCTGTGCCTTGTGTTGGATGCTGCACGTCCGGGACGAGTTATCCTACAGTTGCAGACAGTATCAGAAGGCAAGAGAAGACGCGGTAGGAAGGAAGGTAATTTAATTTGCCCTCGTAAAAGAATCAGGGAACGTGAACAAGAACGACTCGTGAAATTATCGCTTGGTAGATTTTACTGTTTGCAGCAAGTTTTTTTTTTTTAATTTATTCTGGTCTGCCTGTCTAAAGTGAACGGGAAATGAATTCGCTCCATGCCCATTTAGGGTCTCCAGGTGGAGTTTGACTCCCGTGTGGTGGAGTGCTGCCTCAGGGCCGTGGAGTGGGCCTGCCGGATGCTGCCCTTCTCCCGGTTCGCCAACACCGAGGAGCTCACTCAGGACCTGATTCTGAGCCTCGTCGCAGAACTGCCCCCGACCCGGCAGGTGAGGGGGGGTGGTGGAGGCGGGCGCTCACTGAGTCAGAATCAGAGACTTCAAAGGGCTTTATCTTGATGAAGAATGTTGTTGCTCATACAACTCACTTTTGAATTTTCCTAAAGGTAGCAGAGATTTTTGTGAGAGCATTTCCCAATCCTGAGGACATCAGGGTTCCTTTAAGAGAAAAATACCACTCTCTTCAACAGAGACTCAGGCAGTGTGTTGTGAAAGGTACTGTTGTTTCTTTAATATCTGATAGAAAAACTGCTGAAGATTCTCATATTTTTGATTGATTGATTTTTAGGGAGAGAGGGAGAAACATTTGTTCCACTTATTTACGCACTCATTGGTTGCTTTTTGGATGGGCCCCGACTGGGGACCAACCCTGCAGCCTTGGTGCGTGGGGATGAGGCTCTACCTGATGGAGCTACCTGGCCAGGGGTCGCTGTGTTTTGAAAGCACCGCTTTCCTAGTGCCTGTGCATTTCTCCTCCCCTCCGAGACAGGGGTGTGAGAAGGCAGGGCACTTTCCCATCACGGGGCGCCAGACAAAAGACCTGGCTGCATGTCAGGGCTCTGCCATTGAGTAACTAAATTGCTCAGTCTCTCTGGGCCTCGTTTCCTTATTTGTAAATGACTGTATTAACAGTGGCTTTACAAATGTGTACTGAAAGGATTAAATAAGATAAAATATATAAAATGAGCATATAGTGCTTTGCATGATGTAGGTATTTTATTGAAAACTAGTATTCTCCCTTTCTCTTAATAGTTATTTATGCTTCTAATTTTATCCTATGCATTCTAGATATCCTTGTGGAAATTATTTGTTATTGTGGTAAAATATACATAATATAAAATTTACCATTTTAAGTGTAGAGTTCAGTAGCATTAAGTACATTGACCGTGTTGTGGAAATTTTTAAAGAATTGAAATCACCCACATCTTTAGAACTATAATCTAGCATTTAAGTCTACTTATGTCCTATAGTTGCACATTATTTCATTAATATACTTATATTTGTGATTTATATTTTTCTTAAGACTTTTTTTGACATTGTCTAAACTGTCTTGTTTATGTATTGATGTTTAAGATTTAATAGTCAGCCTTGAAAACTTTCCTCCCTATTGTTTCCCATTAGTTGAAGATGGAAAGGTGTCCTTGTTTCTTCGGCTAAAATTATACTCGTTTTTCTCTTATTTATCACTGTGGAACTAGAAAACATATTAGTGATTCTTTTTACAATCATTCTTCTGGTTTTTGAGGTGGCTAAATTACTTCTTAATTGTTTTCTAGGGTACACTTTTTATAGTCTGGGTTGTGTCCATTTTATTTATTTTTTTTAATTTTTAAAAGTTGATTTTAAGAGGAAGCGGGGAGAGACACACAGAGACAGACACAGGAGCATCCATCTCTCGTCCCACCCATCCGCGCATTCATTGGCTGACTCCTGCCTGTGCTCTGACTGGGGATCGAACCATCGGGATGTAGCCCCAACAAATCAGCTGAGCCACCCGACCAGGGCTGCCCTTTTTGTTCTTTAACGGACCTTCTCTAGCCTCTGCAGTTCTACCTTAAAGCATGGACGGTGGCTTTCCAACGAACACTGAAAGCATGACCCATGAGAATGGGGAAATAAAGGCTCCGCTGTCAGATTTTATGTCCCCGGGAGGGACCAGAATTGGGTCCCCTTGTGGCTTGCGTTGGGGCCTTTCAGTGAACTGTGAAGCCTCTTGTTCTTTTCCTTCTAGGTCCCCACGCTGAGGAAGCGATGTCGGTCCTCATGCACTCCATCGACAAAGCGAGGGTCAAGGCCCTGAGGCGTGTGCAGAGAAACATAGGAGCTTTTGAGACGCACGTATGGGAGCCGGCCGGAGAAGAGCCGCCGGCCGAGGGCGCAGGTTTCGACAGGTTTTCCCTGGGGACTAGTTTGAGCAGGAGCACGCTCACCGACCTGGGCAGCTCTCTGGTGCCCAGCGACGCAGATACTGTCTCTGAAGCTCTGTCGGTGGAAGAAAGAAGGAGGACACATTTCTCTGAAAGGTACAGTGGAGATCTCTTCATAGCAGGCATTCACTTCCTTTGGGAAAAAAAGTGTTTTCAATATTTTTGTGCACCTGATGAGCTGATTTCTAGTCCCAGCAACCTCACTGATTGTACTAGCAATGGGGAGAAGTGCCCCTCCTCCCCAGGACATTAGGAACTCGAAATGAGACTGTGCACTTGAAAACCTACTAAAACCATTATTGAGAGATGAAATAGTTTTGTCACCTGAAAGTATAAAATCAGATGACTAGATTAAATCCTAGAGTTCACTGGAAGACTTTTAATTCTTTAGTAATCTTGAGACTTAAATAATTTAGGATTATTGGGTTAGCTATGTCATTTTTTTTTTAAGTTTCCAGGGAAGGAAATTACACATTCATTTTTGGAACTTGCCCATAAATTGAGAGAGTATTGTTATTTAAACCCCTATTACTGTGAATTAAACAGATTTTTTTCTTTATAACTCCAGTATCTGAAATGTAATTTATCCTTCTCACGACTGAAAGACTATATAATTGACCATAATCTTGCTTAAGTGGGGTAATTCCATCCACTTCAAACATCTGCTTAAACCATATAAGTGGTGTGCTCGTTTTTACCAAACAGCTTCTGTTTGGAATACCCTGGAGGCTGCCGTTGCGCATTTGTAATAAGGAGAGACAAAGAGGTGGCGACTTCAGCCCAGTGCCTAAGGAACCTTTTATTTCTCTTTTGGGGAACTAGGGGTCTGTGTTCTGCCCCAAGGAACATGTTGAGAGAAAACAGATTTAAAAATAATTATGGTTAGCAGTTAATGTGCTTGCCCAACAGGTTTAATAGCAGTAGAAAGTGTTTAACGCCCCCTCCCCACGCTGTTGGTGGTAAGGGATCCGCGGCAGTCCTGCTGGCTCAAGCACATGGTACAGGTGCTGGGAAGGGCGGACGCGAGAGGGGACTGAGAACCGTGCACTGAGTTGGTGCCGTGTGGTTTTTATTGTATTTGACTTCTAGCCAATTAGGACTTCCCCCCCCAGAATAACGTTCTTCTTTTTTTTTAAATCCTCATCTGAGGACATTTTTTCATTGCTTTTAGAGAGACAGGAAGGGGGGAGGGGGTGAGAAAGAGAGAGGGAGAGAGGGAAAGAGAGACAAAGCACGATGTGAGAGAAAAACACTGATCCGCTGTCTCTGTGTGAGGCCTCTCGGGGGTTGAATCCACAACCTAGGGATGAGCCCTGACTGGGGATCGAACCCGCAGACTTTCAGTTCATGGGACAAGGCTCCCACCAGCTGAGCCACGCCGGCCAGGGCAGCGTTTTTTCAATAGGGAAATTTCTGTGAGCACATTTTAATCTCTTGTAACACAAACTTTCACTTTTATTATGAATGTGTGATATTTTTTAGATTCAGGATATTCAGCTCTAGAGAACACTTAGAGATATATCCTTTAGTCCAACCCCCTGATTTGAAAGATAGGTCATCGAGGCATGAAAAAAAAGATATGACTTAATCAGTGGAGAGAATTTTTATTGTCCAGAATTTTAGTGATTAAGTGATTTTCAATATTGTCCTTTCTAATTTTGTTTTGTTGTAGAGATGCCCCAAATCACATGGAATTTGCATTGATTGCTAAGCCCAATGATAAAAAGAAAATAGGTAATCAGAAAGAAAATCTTAACAGACAAGAAGATCATGAAAACTTACTACAAAGTGAACTTCCCGTAATAGGCGTTTGGGAGTTTGAACGTGATGATGATGAATATGTGAAGTTCCTTGATCTCTTCTTGAGCTATGTTCTTGAAAGAGACATGGGTGGTTCCCAGGACCCTGGCATTCCATTTCTAACCAGTTTTTCTGCACACCTTAGAGAGCACGAACTTAACCCTTTGCTTTTTGATATACGCACAACACTGAAAGGACGTCAGGGCACACCCGGAAGCCGGAACGTGTTCAGAGCCGGCTCCTGCTTTGCTGCTGCTCCGGAGCCAGAGCCGCATGAGCCTGCACAGCCTGAGAGCCAGGCGCTTTCAGCTCCCGCAGAGGGTAGTCAGGGGGTCAGACCCTGTCTAGCGAACCCCTGGAATGAGGATAATAGGAGTGAAGGGAACTGTGGATTGTTTGGTTTAAAACAAAGGTCAGTTTACAGAGCACACGACGGCAACACAGAGAAACCTGTGATCCAGAGACTGATGGACTCTGCTCTCTGGACTCCCAAGTCCGTCAAGAGGAGAAGGTGTGTTTTCGAGGTGATTCGGTGCAGCGATACTAACCCTGCAGAGGAGCTTCCGCCAGCGCTGAGCAGCACCCCAGGCAGCCTGCGGAGGCTGCTGGAGTGGATGGTGCGCTGGGCCGACCGCAGGCTGCCCTGCGCCCCGCGACCCCCCGCGGCACCCTGCGGGCGCAGCCCCGTCCTCCGCGTGCGGACCTCCACGGCCGCCATCCTCGCAGCGCTGTGGCTTTCGCAACAACCCTATCTTGCGACCTACAAGGCGAATAATGTCGTTATTAAGGTAAGTCCTTGCGTTGTTTATTACATACAAAGGAGAATTCTCTTTTTAGATTAACACTATGTTTATATTTCCCCATCTTTGGAGGGATTACTAAGAAATGAAGTTAATGACAAGATTGATTATAATTTGTATTACACCTATTTTTTTTGCTTCCAGTGGCTCCTATAATTTCTTAAAAAGATTTTTATCTATTTATTTTTAGAGAGAGGGGAAAGGAGGGAGAAAGAGAAAGAGAAACATCAATGTGTGGTTGCCTCTCACACGCCCCGTACCGGGGACCTGGCCCTCAACCCAGGTCCCTGACTGGGAATCGAATCAGTGACCCTTTGGTTTCAGGTCTGCACTCAATCCACTAAGCCACACCAGCCAGGGCAAATTTTTAAAAGTAATTCATTAGAGTAAAAGTACTTCCATAGAGGCTTTTAGGGTTTGTGGTTTTGTGACTGTAAAATGAAGGGGAAAGAAGATTATTTTAAGTGCTATTACAAGATCTGTTTCTGGAGATTGGTCTCGTTCATTTGTGTGCAACGTGGTCCTTAGGTGCCTCACCTCCTTGACCCCGTGTTGGCGCCCGCATGTTAGATGGAACAGCACCTCCCCCGGGCCGGCCAGGGCGGCCTTGTGTAGGAGAGGCAGTGTGTCAGTGTGCCTGCCAGGGCTTTCGGTTGTCCCCAAAACCTCAGTGATTGTCCAGGCCTCCTCCTCTGTGCCTAGCGGCTCCAAGGGGCTCTCAGTGTCCCGGGGTGGATCACCTTTACCACCTGGATGCAGGCCAGTGGGAAGCCGGACCCTCAGTCAGCATGAGTCAAAGTCTGTCGTGAAGGCCCTGCCGTGGAGGAACAGAAGGTGGGTGCCTGCTGGCTGTAGACACTGGGCCCGGTTCTGTAGCCACAGGGGGTGCCCTTGCTCCCAGTAAGAACTGCTGCTTGGTTTGCTGCCGCCCTGCGGGACTCCTGAAGGCGATCCCCACTGGCTTCAGAGACAGGTGACCTGGGAACCTGTCCCTCGGTCAGCAGCTGCAGAAGTGGGTGCCAGATGTGTATGCAAACTCACTCTAGGGGGATCCCGGCCATGTAGGGTGGGGTGGTGAAGGCGGGGTAGGAGGTGGCCATCAGCTTTCCTGGTCCTGGGAAGGGTGCGAGCCAGCCCCTAGGCGTGTGCTAAATCAGAAGCCTGGCTCTCAGGCAGCAGTGTGCGTAGTGTGCAGGCGGACCCCTTCCAGGAGAAGCCGGGGGTTGGTGTCCCTGCCTGCCTCTCCGGGCTGAGCCCGGTGGGGAGAGCTGCGGCGATGCTCACGCACCTGCTGACCTGGCTTCTTGGTTTGCGGTGGTCTCATGGGACTCGTGGACACAAGCCTCCCTGAGTTGCACAGCAAGGTGTTTTGGGGGTCCTGTCCCTTAGGTGGGCGTCTTAAAAGTTTGGGTGCTGCATGTGGGGTCCAAACCTTAACAAAGGTTTGGGAGAGAAGCAGGGAGTAGGCCCTGTGCCTGGGGTGGGCTGCGTGGTGCGTGCAGCTCAGCCTTTCCTTCCCGTTTCAGTGAGGGTGTTCGCTCAGTCGCCCGAGGCGTAGGAGAGCACTGCTCTGTGGGTTTCTTCCAGCGGCAATTGCTGTGCATGTGGTTACACATTTAGTGTGTCTGCAGGAGGAGGGGAGCTCAGCAGCCTCTCTGTCACCTTGGTTAACCTCCCCTCCATATTCTCCTCCTGCATTTGTTCTAGTTTAAAGTACTCTCATTCAAGAATAGTTTATTCTAGCCCTGGCTAGCGTAGCTCAGTGGATTGAGCGTGGGCTGCAAACCAAAGCATCACAGGTTCGATTCCCAGTCAGAGCATATGCCTGGGTTGCAGGCCACGGCCCCCAGCAACTGCACATTGATGTTTCTCTCTCTCTCTCTCCCTCCCTTCCCTCTCTAAAAATAAGTAAAATCTTTTAAAAAATGCATCTGCTAATTAAAAAAAAAAGAATAGTTTATTCTAGGGTGAAGGGTGTGTGGGGGGGTGTTTTATTTTTTGAGAGTTTTTTTATTTGCAGGTTTTTTAAAAAGATCAGTTTTTGTTATCCTAAGGTAGTTTTTAAAATACTGTGATATCTGTTGTTGCTGAAATTTGTGTTTCTGGGTAGTGCATACCTAAATATGTAAAAAAGAGATAAAAGATCTACATCCATTGTATTTTTAGCTCTCTCTGTATTTGCCTACTATGTCATTTTGAAATGATTATTTAATGTCTTTATTATACAGTAAAGAGAAGTCAGTGAAAGCCACATTGCATTTTTCCACATTGCATTTTTACTGCTGTTTTTTCTGAGGCCTGAGAACACTGCTGATCACCTTACAAATGTGTCAGGCTGGTCTCTTTCGGGTTCTGTGTAGGTGGTCAGGTTCGTGTTCTCCAGGTGGAATGAAGACTCGACCGTTGCTTCCACTTGGACGTCAGGTGTGAGCTGCAGGTGTGCGCTCTGTGCTTGACAAAGGAATAAGAAACTCAATCAGGAGAAACTCTATAGAAAGTATTAGTAATGTAGACACAAAATGAAAGTATGGGGTTCAATAATGAACTCTCCTACAAATGGCTCGTGTTAGGTGCCAGAGAGCCCTCCCACGGGGTGTCAGAGTGGACCCAGAGCTGAGAGTGGCCCCAAGACCGACGCTGGCTGCGCAGCGGCAGGGCCCACGCACACTGGGCCCGAGGAGGGACACGGTCACGATGGAGCTGGTCGAAGCATCTGGAGGTAAGTTGCTGATCACAGGCTTCTGTTCCCGTGGATGACACCTTTCTTGATGGAGTTTGGGCTTGAAGGGAAGAATGAAACCCTTGGACTTTAAAGGAGTAAGTGTTTCTTTGAACCGGGAAGCCAGGAAGTGAGTCCGTTCGGAAGTGCTTTAACAGGTCCTTGCAAAGTGTGTGTCTGCCCTGCTGGCCTGCCTCCCACCTTCTGAGAGAGGCGCAGACTCACCCTGAGAGAGCCCTGTATCGCACTGAGTGATTGCCCCGCCGGAGGACGTGGAGCTGACCGGCCCGTCCATTCCTACACTGAAGCAAGGCTCGAGTGAGGCCTTTGAATCCCGAGGCTGGGAGAGTCCTTGTACGAATGGCAGATTTAGATAAATTGACCTTATTCTAATATTTGGAGTAAATAACGATGGGGACGTGCAGCCATTCATTGTGCAGCCTTTCATTGAGCTTCTGCTGTGGCCCAGACAAGGGTAGAAACACAAAAGACTGTGTAAATATAAAAACGAAGTCTGTTCTTTTTCAATGAATGGAATCAATTGAAAGCAAGCTCTTCGTTTCCAAGAATGACTTACGATTTTAGCCACTGCATTTTTGTCCATAGGATGCCTGCTGAAGCCGAAACTCCTGAAATAAAAGAATGCAACAATATTACTTCTGTCACCGATGACACTGAAAAAGAATTTGTAGATATTGATGGGGATCTTTTAGGAATAGAAACGTTTGCACAGGAGGAAATGAATACATACCCATCAGACGATGAAGGTTAGTTCGCGTGGCTAATCGTTTTGTTTGGCTTTATTAATTTGAAATCAGTGAACAATTATCCTCAATAACTTATCTAGTCTTATCTAAATCAGTACATTTATAATAGCCTAAAACCAAAAATTAAAACACTTTAATACTTATGAAATGAAATGTTGAACACGTTAACTCCTAACCTGAATTTGAATGATTAGGCCCTGGGCCCTGCCTCTGTGATTGCTGTGGGCCTCTGTTCTCCTGAGAGCCGGCTCTGCGAACTTTCCCCGGGCAGTCTCCCTGAGACAGGAGTTCTTGGGGCTTTACGAGTTGCACACGCGCATCTCAGGCCTCTCAAGGCTTATCTCAGAACCGCTGGATGAAGAGGGGTTATTTCTAGGAGTTCTCAAAGAGTGTTTCTGTGGGGAGAATATACAATATTTCTGCCATTAAATATTTTCCTGTAATTGCCCTGACTGGTGTAGCTCAGTGGATTGAGCACCAGACTGTGAAGCAAAGGGTCACCAGTTCGATTCCCAGTCAGGGCACAGGCCTGGGTTGCTGGCCAGGTCCCCAGTGGGGGCCACGTGACAGGCAACCACACATTGATGTTTCTCTCTCTCTTTCTCCCTCCCTTCCTTCTAAAAATAAATAAAAATATTTAAAATTTTTTCCTGTAATATCCCTGAACTACCTAAAAAATCAAATGGTTATTTTTCACATGGTCAGTTTCCCTTCCTCCTCGCTCCCCTCCAGAAGATGCCAAAGAACCTGTGGAACGTCTCCGAAGTCCCGCTGCCAGCACCGGCGTGCAGACCTCCCCACAGCTCTTAGAGGAAGTAAGTCCGGGACTGGCGGGCGAGCTGCTGCAGCGGCACAGCAGTGTTCCCGCTCAGAACGCCCAGCCGCAGCCCCCCCCCCCCGCCCCCCCGCCCTCCCCCCGCCCCAGGAACGGTGGTGGAGCACGGCTGTGCGGCAGCGAGCGCTCGTCTTTCACCGCGGGTCTGCGGTTGGTAGGCTGTCTTCTCACTTCAGGCAGCCAAACTCCCGCCTCCTAAGGTGCTGTAGCAAATCAATATACCCAAGAGTGTGAAGGTATTCTTTATTCAGAACATGTAATTCAACTGTGACGTGCAGGTTTTGCACATAAATGCACTTTTATGTACTGTTTGTTTTCTCAAAACCGAAGACGCTGGGTTTCCAGGTAGAACACAGACATTTCCATTTACTGACACAATTCCTTTGTAGGTGTTCTCACAGCGCCCCCACTTAGGCAGTGATGGCTGCATGTAACGTATTTGTAAATACACCGTACTTGAACGTGCTCGGTGGCCCCGGGTGAGGGCCAGGAGCAAGTCACACAGTATGAAGACCTGGTCAGGGCAGGACCGGGCCTGTGTTTTGATGCTTTGGTCTCTCACTCGTTTTGAAACTGCTGTCTCACTGAGTGAGTGGCTTAACCGAAACTCAAGATACCTACGACAGTAACACCGATTCGTTTCCCCTCTTTTCCTTTGGGCACCGTCAGTTTTACCAGCACTCCCCCGGAGAGGGCCGGTGTCCGAGGGAGGAGCCCCTGGAGACGCATGCGGAGGAAGGACCAACTGGACAGAAAGGGTGAGTGGGGAGGGTGTGGGTGGCTTCACTGGACGGGCAGACGGTTTTCTTGTGGCCTACAGCACAGTTGTCTCGGCGGTGCTGTGCTCCCAGGGACGTGGTAACTTCAGTGTAGAGCGGTGGAGGTGCTCATTTTAGTGAATGTTACACTCCCAAACCTCCGCAGAGCGCAGTGAACAGCTGTCTAACGGGCCTCCGGTTCTCCCGTCACCATCAGCCTTGGTAAAGTGAAGTGTAGCCGTGAGTAGACCCGGGTTTGCTCAGCAGCTGGGCCGGGAGCCACCCTCGCCCGCTGATTCCACCTCTGTTGGATCGAATGAAGAGCCATTATGGGCCCCTTTGTGTGTGTGATCTCCCACTGTTGTGGCATGATTGCTGGACGCCATCCGTGAGGCTCCGATGTTCATGCACTCTCCTCTGCCGGCTGGCTGGCTGGTGGTTTCCAGGATCGGAGACTTTTAGAATTACCTTGTGTAAGAGAGGCAACAATTAGATTTTGTCTTCATATACAAATTTTGTCCAGTTATTCTGTGGATAATTAACAAAAAGAATATATTTAGTGTCGCGTGCCTTTACAAGGAATGTAGGTATTTCTCTTAATCAAACATTCGTCCCTATGGTTTTGGACGCGATGCCGGGCTCTGTCGTGTTCTGAGCAGGGGGCCTGTGTCTCCCCGGGGGCATCTGACGTCCCAGCCAACCTGGCCTCTCCAGCCTCCCCTACAGTGTTGCCATCTCTGTGGCTGAGCGGCCAGGCCAGCCGTGCGCAGGTCGATACGTTACACTGTCCGGACACAGCCTTTGCTTTGGTTTGAATCTGTGACTAATTGCTATGGAAACAAATGTCAATAGATTGTAATTGTGAGCTAAACATCACAGAATTAGAGGATGTTTAGATTCTTAGATGGCTGAGCATTAAATCAATTGTACCTTAGATAATGTGAAGAATATCTTAGTTCCTGAGCGATTATTAATCCTTAATAATAGTATGATTGAAGACTTTTCAAATCCTGAACACACCATTCCGGATTTATTTTGTGTAGACACAAATTCAGAAATTTCTAGGTAAGGATTTTTGCATACTGTACCATTTTATCCTGTTTTATAAATGGATAAGAGAATGAACTGATGCCTACTGTACCATTTTGAAATAATTACTAAATGTTTTCACCAAAAACTATGAGAATAAAATGAAAACAACATATGAAGCATTGAAAAAGCAACGTAGGTACACATGTATGACACCTTTAAGTTTATTATTGAAAGATGTTCCTCTAAACAGGTATGTTTTAAAAACATACAGGAATTGTTTTAGAACAGTCTTTTCTGAAAAAAAGTAGTGGCTGTATTATTGAAAGGTGTGGTTGTTGCTCACTTTTAGCCTCTAAAAGATTTTCATATAAAATGCATTTTTTCCCCCCTGGCTGGTGTAGCTCAATGGATTGAGTGCTGGCCTACAAATCAGAGGATTATGGGTTTGATTCCCAGTCAGGGCACACACCTGGGTTGCAGGCCAGGTCCCCAGTAAGGGGTGCGTGAGAGGCAACCACACACTGATGTTTCTCTCTTTTTCTCCTTCCCTTCATGTCTCTCTAAAAATAAATAAACAAAATCTTTTAAAAAAATAAAAATAAAATCTTTAAAGAAAATACTTTTTTTATTTTTATTTTTTATAATTATCACCTGAGGATATGTTTATTGATTTTAGAGAGAGAGAAACATTGACTGGTTGCTTCCCATACGCCCCCTGACCTGGGGTTGAACCCAAAACCTAGGTATGTGCCTTGACCAAGGGTTGAACGTGCAACCTTTTGGTTGCACGGAACAATGCTCCAACCAACAGAGGCCCTTGGTCAGGGCTCAAATGCTGTTAATTCTCATAGAACAGACTCATCCAGGTCTGTCTTTTGAATTTCGTTTACAGAGGTTGAGTAGTGTGCTTAGTGCATAGAAATAGTGCTGAAAAAGGAAGATGGTGTAACACAGCTTTCCTTTGAAATTACCCGTAATTAGAATTTATCGTTTTGCTACTTGATGAAAGCAAGGGCTAACATAAAGTCATCTTAAAACAGGCAAGTCAGTTGTAATGCCTCTTTTTCGTGGATTTTCCAAGTAAAGTTTTGTTATTGATGACATTAGATGTTTGGTAAAAGGCAAATATTGCTGAAAGGAAATGAGAGTAAGCCCAACTAAATGTAAATGCAGTTTAATAGGTTCTTTTCTTTTTAGAGAGAGTGGTGATTTTCTCGTGATGAGATGATGCCCACTCCCTGACTTAGTTTGTGAAACTTACTTGCTCAGAAAACACAGGCACCTGCTGTGTGTAGGCGACCGTCTCCAAAAAGTCATTCTATTGCAAAGGTGAGAAGCGGCCCTGACCAACGTAGCTCAGGTGGTTGGGCGTCTCCAGCAAAAAAGTAAAATACACACTTGATTTCTTTTGTCGGCTAGGGTTTAGTTATAATTACAGACTCAAATTTGCTGGGAAACGACATGTTCACAAACTGTTGTTTTACCTCTAGTGACAATTACCAGGGCTTCCTGTCCCTGTCTTAGAATTACACGTCTTTTTTTTTTTTTAAGATTTTATTTATTTATTTATTTTTAGAGAGGGAAGGGAGGGAGGGGGATAGAGAGAGAGAAACATCAATGTGCGATTGCTGGGGTCTGTGGCCCGCAACCCAGGCATGTGCCCTGACCGGGAATCGAACCTGCGACACTTTGGTTCGCAGGCTGCGCTCAATCCATTGAGCTACGCCAGCCAGGAGAATTACACACCTTTTTAACCCATACGTTTCCTATTTTCTTCACTCCATTCTGGGTCACTCAGTTTAGTCAAAGAAAATATTCTCAGACCAAACTACACAGTCTATGCAGCTAATTTGAGTGACTGCACAGGTTTCAAACTCAGATCCTCCGGGGGCCAGGCGAGTAAAACCCAAGTGTGGCCTGTTCTGGGCTGCAACCCCGGGGGTGGGGGGTGTCCGTGCAGGCTGGACGGCACCGTCTCTCAGTGGAGGCACTGCCATGCGTCACTGCTGACCACAGGTGTTTGGTGGGCGACAGATGTGAGGGGCACGGAGAGATGGGCTTCAGGGCCTAAATCTCCCAAAAACTCCCAGAAAGCCTTGAAAGTAGAAGACAAAGGGAGGATCACAGTGTTGGGATCATAGACTTCTAGTTTTTTACTGATTAACGTGGTTTTTGTTTATATGCTCCCCTGTGCAGTGCTCGGCTCTCCGCGTGTAAAGAGACGCCTCCTGCAGACCCACCTTTGGTGTCCGATGGAGCCAGTGCCGCTTCATGCACGCCTGTGCCCGCAGCACCCGGGCCCCCGAGAGACGGGCCCAGGGCTCCAGATTCTTCCGGTTCTGTCAGGCAGATGCTCCAAGACCAGATGTTTATGTTAGTTCAGGTATGCACACCTAACATAAATGCATAAATACGTGCAGTAAGTCTACATGCAGCATCTATGTAAGAGTTTTAAATGGAAACAGACGTCCAGAACGGATGCGTTGATGTTAAATCAATTGCCTGGTGTCTGCGCTCGGTGCACCCTGTGTCAGCCAGGAGTTTGGAGCTCCATGGCCCGGAGCCCGGGCTGGGCCGCCTGCTTCCCACGAGCACCTCTGCCACTGCGCACGCAGGTGGAGATGCGGAGGGGCGCGAAGGGGAGGTGGGGGGTGGTCAGAGCAGCAGACCGGGGGGCTCCTGCCCGAGAGTGCCCAGAGTGGTTTCTGGCGCAGCCCCTCACGCCACGGTGCTTCCCTTCAGACCCGGCACTGGCTTGGGTTGAACTACCGGCCGCACCTGCAGGTGCCTCTCACTGGGACTCCCATCCCCTTGTTCGCACCGGGCTCTCCTCTTCCCTGTCCCCCGAACCTTTGCCATGACTGTCCTCCTGCTTTGCTCCCCTAAACATTCATTTCCCTCTCATCTAAGCCTCCACCCACGCGATGTAATGTGTCACCTTTATGGGTGAGTCTTGATTTCTTTGAACTGTGGGCCCTGATGAGAGTACTTTTTCCACACGTTCCACTGTCCTGTGAAACTTACTGAAACTGACTTTCTTCTTCTCCCCAGTCTTTTTGCTTTTCCATTTAATAACACTACCTGTTTTAACAGCTTCAGGTTTCAGATACATTTCTCAAACTTGTGTTTTAGATTACCTGGGGACTTTGCTGGTCCCTGGCCTGTGTATTTAACAAAATCTGTAAAGAATTCGGAAGACACACAAGATTTTACGGATCGCGTCTCAGAGTCATCCCTGCCTGCCTTCCCCGCCCGTGTCCAGTGTGTTGGGGGGCGGCGCCCCTGCCCACATGTCAGCACCGCACTTGCTGTTTCTATCGCTGTGGCCAACCTTACGTAGAGTCTGAGGACTTCACACTTCCATGGTCTTCTCTTCTGATGTCTAGGACATTCTTCTTCAGATGTTGTTTTAATACTGTATTCTTCTGCTTAAATGTCAGGTACAAATTTGTATACAATTTGATATATTTTTTAAAAATACAAATAGTGAAATACAGAAAAAATACCAGCTATCTTTTGAGATAGGATTATGAATGGTTTTCATTTTTACTTTTTTCTGTAATAAGCATGCATTTCTTTTATAATTGAAGGGAACCTAACCTGTTTTTAACCTGCAGTGTTTCTCTATTGGCTTGTTTTACGAGATGCAAGTTCTTCTGTTGGCGTAAAAGACCCCTCAACCAGCTTTTACCTCCCCTCTTTTCCCGTCACACCCTCTCACGTCCATGGGTCTCATAGTGTGGTCCTGGAGCAGTGATGTCACCATCGTCACCATCGCCCAGGTGTCAGAAGTACAGACCCTTAGGCCCCCCCACCAGACTTACCGACTTTAGCAGCTCTGGGAGGGGGTCGCTCAGTGGAGCGTGCGGCGACAAGCCCTCCTGGTGGTTCTGACAAGCGCCAGGGTCTGAGGACTGACCGTGCACTGACCTGCCCCCTCATTACAGCTGCTGTGGCTTTCCCGTTCCGTTGGAGCCAGTGGCTGATAGGGGTTCCCAGGCTCTTCTGTACATTTCAAGCACATGGTTATGCTTTTTTCCTCTAATTTTATCACTGTTCGACAATCAGCAGCGAGTTCTCATCCACAGTAACTGTCTGTAGCTTTTTGAAAGTGGTGACAGGTACGCAGGTGACCAACGTGTAGAGCCTGTTTGGTGAATCTCCATCTGCACTGTGTTTTCTGGATAACTGCACCTGGTCACGGTCCTGGGCGTTCCTAATTCCTCTGGCCCAGATGGCCGTGCTGAGCCTGGTGTTGGTGCGCACATCCGGAGCCCCATCTCCTTCCTTCACGGCAAATTTCCGGGTCTCCTTGCGTGCCCGAGGGTCACGCTTCTTGAAGCCCACTCCATGGATGTGCCTGTGGATGCTGACGGCGTGTTCACCGCTCACTACCTCGCTGGTGGCAGAACGGCCCTTTCTCTCGCCTCTCTTCTTGGTGGGAGGCATTGTGTTGGACCCAGGTTGGGAAAAGCTACCTGGTCACCTTAAAACACAGGAACCCTGGCTCGCATTCCCAGACGTCCTGAGTTTGCTGGTGTGGGTGTGACCCGGCCCCTGGGATTTAATGCTGCTCGGGTGATCCGGTGGCGCGCGGCAGAGTTTGTCCACCGTGGTGCATGCTTTCGGCCCTTCCGCAGCGTCTTCCTCTCCCTCTCCCTGAGTTCTCGTCTCTGCTGGTTTGCTTCCTGAACACCTGTTCACACACACACGCCATTTCAGGAATTCTCCAGTTACCCTCACCCCGCTCCATCCGTCACTCCTCCACGATCCCTGGGACGTTTGGGTAAACTGCTTCACAGGTCGTCCCAACCAAGTCTCACTCGTGAGTGCATGTTCCCAGCTGACAGCTCCTTGAAGGCAGGAGGCTGCTCTTTTCCTCCTCATTTTTAAAAAAAATCTCTCCCAGCTCTGCTTCCTGCTCAGCATTCGTGGATCCTACAGGTGCCGAGACAGCGATCTGACTGTTGTGGAGTACTCAGCCGATGGTTTTTGATTCTTTAGGTTTTTTTCTTCATTAGAGTTTCAGACGTGTCTTTAATTTTTATCTCACTGTAGCTGCAACAAATCAACTTCCTGAGTCTGATGCAGATAGTAGGGCCGTCCTTTCCTAACCTCCCTGGCGGACACCGGTGTGCTCAGCAGTCTCCGTCCGCGCCGCTGGCGGGAAGCCAGGCGTCGCACCCGACCGGAGGGAGTGGCGATGCTGAAGACCCCGGTGGGAGTCTGAAGGAGAGGCCGTTCGCTAAACCGCCGTCGGTGGGAGCGCTCACGGGAGAGCCTGGCGGGAAGAGCCCACCCTCTCTGAAAGGAATCGTGCAGTCTGATCAGAGTGGCAAGGCAGAGTCACAGGTAACGCGCCCCAGAATGCCACTGGAGGCGTCCTCGTTGGGTGGTGCTTTTTTGTTGTTGGAGTCAACATTTTTGGCAGTTATTACATCCCAACTCCTCCAAGACGTATGGAACATCATTTATAAAATAAGGGGTCTGTGATATATAATAGCTTTCATTTTCTTCCAGAATGTTCCACATGGGAGTATTCCTGGTCCATTGGAAGGCCAACCCCAGGACAGCGGACTGCCTGCAGCATCTGGAAGCTTACCAATGACTTCCTTTCCCCCAGCGCCTGCTGCAAATGCTCACCTCCAGCTTTTGCTCACATCTGCCATTACGAACACGCATAGATTTCTCCCAGCTGCGAATGCTTTCAGACCGGATGGTGGTTTTCCTTTGCTTCAGTTTCAGCCTAAACACAAATTTAAGCCCCTTCTCCTCCCGGCAGGAAGAGCTCTGCAAGTTCCCTGCGGGCCTCTGCCACAGCCTAGAGAGGCCTGGGGGCCGCCCGCTTCCTCCCAGCCGCCTCTGCCGCACGGAGCAGTGCACACTCCTGCAGTGCCCCATCTGGATCTGAGCCAGCGTAACGTGGGAGCTGTGCCAAAGGCCGCCGACCAGAAGAGAGGGGCAGAAACGACTGTTACAGAAGCCCCTAAGCATGTGACCCTGGACCAGCATGTTGGACAAGAACACTTCACACCCCAGCAGGACTCTTCGGTGTTTGTAAAGCCCGAGAAAGTATTTGACGTGACGCCAGGGCCCCTGGAGACGTCTGCTCAGAACGCCTGTGGATTTCCGTTATTGCACCTGCAACTTAGACCTCCTTGTGCATTCCCCTCCGTCTCCGGAGCACCAGTCCCAGTGCCCTCCGCGCCTCTCAGAGCCGCAGCAGAAGGCAGCAGACACCCGGGGCTGCCATTACTTCCCTCCCGCCTCCCGCCGGAGGACCCGGTGAGCGCTTCTGGGGGGGGCGGTGCGGGAGCGCGGTCCTGTGTGTGTCGCACATGCACGCCGCACACCCAGGGAAACGCTGCTGCACGTTTCTTTGTAAAAAGGCTGCTGCTCTGATGGGTGACGCTTAAACATCCAGTTTAAGATAACAGTTGGGCGTTTTAAAGGTTTTAGGTCTTGTACATCAGTACCAGAGTTTTCTGAGCTCTTTCACACGTGTGTCTTCCACGCACAGAAGAAATAAGCAGTAAAATAAATGACCAGCGCATTTCTCCATGCGTGTGTGCGCATAGAGGATAGGGAGCATTGTCTGGGGTTCTTAGCAATTGTAGCATGAGTGCCTTCGAGTCTGTTAGAGGTCGAAGTTGTTAAATTGACCCAGGTCTGTGCTGCACATGTAAAAATGGTGTCTTTTTAAAGTACTTAAAACATGAGGATTAACTGTTGATAAACCCACCAGAACCTTCGATTTATGAAATTCAAATTGTGTAGGTTCTAATTTTGTAAGTTGTCAGTACATGGGAGGAAGGTCACACTGAGTGATTTGTCTCCTGGTGCACGTCTAAGATTTGAGGACGGTCCTGGGAAAAGAAATGGTCATTTCTCAGAAGAAGTGCTCCCCATGCCTTCTTTTCTTCTGAACACATTATGAGCAGGAAAGACACAGGAATAAGGGAATAGAAGAACAGAGATTTCGACAAGAAGTTATAGAAATGCTGTTAGAGTAGCATCATGAATCTCGGGGTTCCCACCCGCAGCACCTGCGGTGACAAACACCTGCGACAGGCTCCGCCCAGCTCTCCACCCCTCCCCGTCCTGCCAACGCCCAGAGTGCTTCAGCCCAGGCTAGACACGTAATCTCATGTGTGAGAGGGAAGGTCTTCAACATGGGAAATAAATTAGGAAGACGAGGACTTCCAGCCTAGTTTTTGAAATAGGAAAACCCAGTTGAAATTTCCAGCACTCCAAAATCACTTACCCTTTAAGATCAGGTTATTCATCTTACCAGTCTAATCAATTCATTTTCTTGACAGGTTCCATCCCTTGGACATCTTAGTTTAACTTAAACAAATGTTTTTCTCAATTTTTTAACTTATTGCATAATTGAGGTATGTAGTTTTAAACTAATATGCTTGCTTTTTTTCTTATAGTACAAAACCCCATGTCCTCCAGTGGAAAACCTCGCTGAGTTTGGACAAAGCCAGCCGAAACCAGCACATGGCATACCTGAGCCAGGCAATCCTGGACCCCTTCCACTTGTCAAGGGTGCAGCGGGACCTGCTGAAGCGAGGCAAGGAAAGGATGGCAAAAAAAGGCGAGTTTCAAGTGACGTTTGATTTGACACTGTCACATGCCTGCAGGATTTTTAGTTACAATAATACAGATGTAGGGACGGAAGTTAACTGGTTCGACCTCCTACCCAAACACAACTGCAGACTTGTCAGGAGTCTTGCATTTGAACACATCTTGTGCTGAGGAAAACTCCTGTGTTATGAGAGACAAATGCTATCATTTTTCCCATTTTATTAAGTTCTTTCCTGGCATGCAGGGGCTGGCGGATTCGCTCGCATCTTCCTGTAACAGGACGAACGGTTGCCTTCGCAGCACAGACACTTGCTCTCTTGTGCAGTAGTCCGTGTCCTTGGCAGGACACCGAGCGGATGCTCATGGTCACTCATCTTCCCCTGTCCCCCGGCTCTTGTCCCGGAGGCAGGAGGGGAGTACGGGAACTGCCTCAGGACACTAGGGAGTGTGCACGTGAGGAGGAGGCCGGGACTTACAGTGAGGACATTTACAGTTTTGTACTCATAGTAGGTGTTCCCCATGTGTGTTGACCAGTAGGTTGTTTCCGAGTCTAGGAAATGAAATGCCCACATTTATCAGACCCCACACTCTGCTGTCAGTGCTCTTTCCGGAAATGGCTCCTTCCTTCCACCCTCCCAGGTATTCCCTCTTCAAAGGAAGTCTTTTAACTTTTTAGGCCCTCTTCCCTGCCCCTCCCCACTCTGGGATTTCACTGAGAGGACTAAGCGTGCTTAACTTCCTCCTATAGGATATGGAGGCCTCTGATAGGGCTCCTGGGGCCAGCTTAGAAACTGCAGGAAAAAGGAGTTTGAAAGACCCCTGCAGGGTGTAATTCTGACCTGAGATGTCGGTGACTTACCCAGAACAGTCAGTTCAGCAGCAGAGGAGCTAGAAGTAACTCTCACGTGTCCCCGACTTTTACTCTATTTGCTTATATTGTGGCAGAATATCTTGCTAGTTTAACTAAATGCCACTGAAAATAATTTATTGAAAATACTTTCATAACAGTCTCCCTATACAGCATGATACAAATGAAAAAGGGATGGTTCTAAAACAGTTAAAATTTATTTGACACTTTGCCTGCTGTTTTTCACAGGCGGAGACGGCGAGCTGGGAAAGAGCTGCAAGAACAGCAATCAGAGAAACTAGGGACAAAACCAGATGAGGATTCAGAAATAGCTCCACAACCCAAGGTACGCACAGTGCTGCCCTCCCTCTCCCGGTGTGCACCTGCGGTGTGTCCAGTCCGCTGCTCGCTGGAGACCTCTGCCTGTGACTAGCGGGTTCTTTGCGTCCTGAAGTGTAGACAGAGCCCCTCCCTGGCCCCTCCCTCCGGGAGTGGCAGGCACACGGTTGTGAAGTGGAAGCAACTTGAGGGTCAGTCCAACTCTGTGCTTTAGAGCAGCTGCCCAGGTGACTTCCTTATCCTTGAAATCACTCTGCTTTTTTCTGTGACATCTTAATGCACGTTATATTGTGCACATTATAATGCACATTATATGTTATTTGGGTTTCTCTTATTTCAGTGAACTTACATCTTTTGGGTTCCTCTAAGATGCCCCCAATATGGGTTTATTATGTAACCAATATTTTATTTTATTTTTTTATATTTCAGAAGCATATTTACATTTTTTAAACCAAGTCCGTATATCTAACATTCCACTTTGTATTTGTAAATCATTGAGATGATACAGAGCATTATTTTGGTAAATAATGTGGTTAATTAAGTATTTTATTTTATTTTTAAAATTTTATTGTATTTTAATTTTTAATTTTATTTATTGTACTGCTGTTCTCGTATAGTCGTCCCAATGTCCCCCCTTCCCTCCCCTGCCCCAACCCCTGCTCCCACGGTCAGTCCTCTCCCTGACTGTCCGTGGTGGGTCACTTATATCCGTTCCTGACCCTTCCCTGTCTTTTCCCACATGCTGTAACCTGTGTTTTCAACCAAATCTTTTCAAGCATTCCTTCTAAATTTGGCAGCCCTATTTACCTATTTTTGCAACAACAGATTAAACTGAAACAGTTTTGTTTACATGAATTTTTAAAAGGTCCACTTTCTCATGAAGTCCTCCAAAGCGTGTCTGCAGGCTCAGTTGCGTGCACGAATAGTTTGGTGCGACGGGGGTTCTGTCTGGGTGTTAAGACTGCTCAGCAGCAGAGGATCGCCCTTGGGAATGTAGTTCCTGCGTTGAATTGGGAGTGCTCTTTTTTCTGTTGCTTGACTTGTGTGTTTTGTGAGCTCCTTCGTAGAGTTACTTTGATAGAGTAAATAACTTGATAGAGTAAATAAACATTCCTAGAATTAGGAGATTTGAGCCTATCCCTAAGAATTAATGGTTCTCTTAGCTATTATGTATTTTTTTCAAAATAATAAATGCCATTGAGTTCATCTTAGATTGATCGTTTGGGGATTCATTTAGGAGCAGCAAGAACAGCGTGGTTCCCAGACCCTGGACGACTTCGAAATCCCCCTTGGTATGTATGTGCATGATCCGTGTAATGTCTGTGTTCAGAGTTAACCTCAGCTTCCCAGAGATGTAGACATGTGTAGATAACCATGGGACCAAGTGTTCACAGTATCGCTGACGAGATGGAGTGTGTGTGCTGGTGCGTTCCTCTTGACAAGCTGTGGCCCGCAGGCCAGATGCAGACCGTGCCTGTTTTCTGAAGCCGAGTTGTACGGAAACACAGCCGTGCCCTGTAGTTTACGGCTCGTGTGACAGTGCCCGAGCTGCAGTGGGGCTCCCTCCTTGCAGAAAGGAGGCACCACGTGGCTCATGAAGCCTGAAACACCTCCTGTCTGCCCCCTAGAGAGTCAGTTAGCCAGCCGCTACCGTAGAGCAATGGACCAGTTAGGGTTGCACCCTGGTGCAGACACAGAAGGCCTGAAAGGGGTTGTGGGAAAACGTGCCCAGGGGCGGAGTCGTCATAAGAAATGCACGCACATTAAAGTGAGGCAGTCGGTTCAGAAAAGGTGACTTGCTTATGGATGGTAGATAGAAAGAAATTCTCTTTCTTCGATTGGTCCGTTTATTTCCTGCCACTGAATGAGTGTGTGTATTCCCCAAGGCTTTCTCCTCGGGCATTTTCACACACGTACCCACAAACACTCCTGCACCCGGGAGACCGTTCGCTCTTGTGGCGCCGGCTCCTCAGTTATTGGGGTGACACTCAGACACACACCTGCCCTCTCTCCTCTCTCTGTTCTACTTGCACCTTAAATTCTGCACATCCTGATTCTAAGCTGACATCTTCCCGTGAGTGATGCTGCCTTCTCCTTTTGGCTGGGGGAGTCAGCCCCGATTCATCTGCCACCTCCATTGCCCCATCTCTTCACTTGGTGTCTGACTGGGCCCCACCCCCCCAGTGCCACTGCCCGGCACCTGGCCTCTGCTCTAAACCACACGACTGTCCCCTAACGAACCTGCCCGGCTCCCGTCCCTCAGCTTCCTAATCCGCCTGTATTCTTCTTTCCCACTCACTTGTCTTAAAGCCCCTGTTCATTCTTAATAACATTATTTTTTGCTTATTAAAGATAATCCTTGTTCACTGGAGAAAATTTAGAAAACACACATAGGGAATAAAAAGATATTTAAATCTCCCACAATCTTTCTGTCTGGAGATAGCTGGTGTTACATTCTTTAGGGGTTGTTTTCTGAATGCCCCATTCACATGTACCTGCAAATACATCGATGTGTGTGTGCATCGATTAGTACGCACACCATGTACTAACCGATTGCACCACTGGGCTCCTGTATGTAAAGAATACCTCTTCTACTAGTTTATAAATTACTTGTTCTCACATACTAGTAGTCAGGTAGATGATACTCTACAACGTCCTGTTCAATGACTGCACCGTACACCAGTGAGTTCGTATTGTGTCATTCCAAACAGTAATTCTCCAACTCTCTGATACCAACCGGGTGTCATACAATTAATTCAGTTTAATTCCAACACAGACCCCACGGATTCAGGGCTCAGTCCTGAAAGACTCCCCATTTCAGATACTTTGCTGCGTGGCCAACTGCAAATTTGGGGGTTCCCGTGACCCCCTCTCCCAGGTTTGCTAATTGGCTAGAACAACCCCAAAGCTCAGGAAGGGGACTCATTTATGATTGCCGTTTTGTTCTAGAGGATGCAACTCAGGAACTTCCGGATGGAAGAGAGGTGTAGAGCAAGGCGTGGGGGGTGGGGACGGAGAGCTCCTACAGCCCCTACACTTGCTCATCAACCTGGAAGCCCCCTTAGCCTTGTTGTTTCAGGGTTGTTTTTTTTTAAGTTTCATTATATAGGTATGATTGCTTACAGCCTTGGCCATCGATGATGGAACTCCACTGGCGGGGTGGGGCGGGGCTGATTGTTGTAACCCTCTGAGCACGCGGTTGGTCCTCTGGGCCGGTCCCACCTGGAAGCTCTCCAGGGGCCTGCCAAGGGCCACTGCAGTAGCATGCGCTCAGCTGTGACCAGCTGTATCCACTCATGGTCAATACTGACCGAAAGACACTCCCATCGCTCAGGCCTTTCTGATGAGGGCTTAGGGACTCTGCTCGCAACCAAGGACAAAGGCCAAATGCGTATTTTTTGTTATATTACAGCATAACCATAATCGATACTGTCTCTTTCTGCTTTGTCTCCCTGGGTGGTCACCCAGGAAAACCCACACTAAACCCAAACTCCCGAAATAGACTTTGGACTTGGATCCTACTTCCTGCTGAGCTCTCCCTCCAGCTCCTGCCTGTTCCCCCTCCGTTGCTGGGTGCTGAGGCGCCCTGTGCAGCAGCTCCTTGTCCATGCGCTTCGCTCCAGCGTCACCCTCTCAGAGCCACTGTGCCCGGTCAGCTGCGGCGGTGTTTCTAGGACAGCATGCCCCCTGTCACTCCCCCCACCCCCCCAGTGGCCCCTGGGCGGCCCTCAGCCAGAAGGGCGGCTGTGTCGAGGTGGGGCCCCCGGAGTCCTTCAGGGCTCTGGGTGTGGTTCCACTGAGCTGCCGCCTTTGCGAGTCCACTTAGAGGCCACCTCTTGTCAGCAAGTGCCCTTTGACAGCGCCTCGGCGCCCACCCCCCGCCTCCCGGGAGTCAGGACCCCTGGGGGGCTCCCGGTAACCGCTGGCTCTCATTGCTCCCGGTTTCCTGTTGTGTTGGAGAAATGCTGCGAGAGGACCTCACCACGCCGGCCGGGCTGCACTTCATGGCCTGCGTGAGGCGGACCGCGCTGGGGCGGCAGGACGCGAGCACCAATACAGACCCAGGTAACACAGGCTCTCTCGCCGTCGCTGTAAAAAGTCACGCGTTTGCAACGTCTGATATGTTTAGACATTTTCTTGACAGTGACTTAAAGGGAATTTTAAATTAAGGGGTATTGCTGACTCATCGCAGGGTCTTGTCCCCAGCCCTGGTGCAGACTTGACACATTGTAAACTTAAAGTCAAATTTCAAGCGGAATTTACGATAATTTACAACATAATAGAGAAGTTTGTCCAAGAGTGCCGCGGCCTGTGCCCTAACTCAGCAGAAGCGATGCTCTGAACTGGGGCCCTCAGTGTTCTCCGTGGTCTGCCCTGCGAGGAAACGCACGTGTGTGACCGAGAGGCCTGGCCCGTGGCTGGCCAGCGGAGGCCGGAGGCGGGCCAGATCGCGCCCCCTGAGGGGAGGGTGTGTGACTGTGCCCCAGAGCAGAGGCACTGGGTGTGGGAGAGGCTGTTTGGGACGTGGTCGGGCACCTCTCTGCTTTCACAGACTCCTGTGCAAATGCCAGTTCTCTCTGCCCTTCGTGGCGCAGTGATTCTTACATACGTGTCTGGAACTTCGTGCCTCTTTAGACCTCTGATTTTATATCACTGTACAGTATTTATTGGTTCTGAAAATAATGTGTGATCATTGTAGAAGGGATAATGTAGCAAGCTATGAAGATGAAATTAATTGTAATCACACCACTCAGAAGTAGTGTTTTGGTGCTTTTTGTCTTCTTGTGGGCATGTCACCTAGATGTGACTACGCAGCACTATGAACCCCTCACCGTCTGCTCGCCTGACCTCCAGGGGCGCTGCTGTTCTCCCCGAGGGGCTACCCCTCCCCGGGCCCTGGGTTGTTCGTTTTCCAGGTGCCTTGGGACACTTTCCACTGGGAGTGTATTCTTAACGTGTTCTTTCATTATTTGTTCACTTTATGGTATTATACTGGCCAAAGAGGTCATTGGGTTTTAAGTAAAAAATAAAAGGCACACTTTTCACTTTTCACCCATGACTTCGCTGAACAACATATTCACTGTTTTGTCCCACTACCTTCTGCCGTCTTTCAGGCAACTTCGTATTTCCATCTTCCCAAAACTTTTTATCTTTTTGAGCAAGGAGCTGTTCCAGGTGTTTTTTGCAGTCTTTCTTCCAGGGACTTGACATTTTTTCCATGAAGAGAATTTTGTAAAGACTGAAATAAACGGAAGTCTGAAGGTGCCGTGTCTGGTGAATACGGCAGATGAATCAGAACTTCCCAGCTAAACTGTAGTGGTTTTTGCCTGGTCATCAAAGAAACATGTGGTCTTGCATTATCCTGATGGGAGGTCATGTGTTTTCTGTTGACTAACTCCGGATGCTTTTCGTTGAGCGCTGCTTTCAGTTGGTCTGACTGGGACCAGTACTTGTTGGGATTAATTGTTTGGTTTTCTGGAAGGAGCTCATAACAGAGGACTCCCTCCCGATCCCACCACATACACGGCCTCGCCTTCTGTGGATGAAGACCCAGCCGGCCTTTGCAGTGGTTGGTGGTGGTTCGTTTCACTGGCCCCACGATCTCTTCTGTTCCACAGTATTGTAAATACTTTTCATCACCTCTCACAATTGGTTTTAAAACCGGAACGTTTTTGTTAATTTCAGTGAAGAATTGCATGTGGAAATATGGTCAAGAAGGTTTTTTTCTCACTTAGCTTATGTGGAACCCAAACATCAAAGTGATTAATGTAACCAAGCTGGTGCAAATGATTTTCAGTGCTTCCTTTGGCTATTTTGAGTTTGTCAGCTATCTGTTGCAGGGTATAACATTGATTGTTCTCAATTAATGTCTCATTTTTGTTTTTGCTTTTTAAAAAGATTTTATTTATTTTATTTTTAGACAGAAGGGAAAGGAAGGGAGAAAGAGAAGGAGAAATATCCATGTGTGTTTGCCTCTTGTGTGCCTTCCACTGGGGACCTGGCCCATAACCCAGGCATGTGCCCTGACTGGGAGTCGAACTGGTGACCCTTTGGTTTGCTGGCAGGCACTCAATCCACTGAGCCACACCAGCCAGGGTGTTTAACTAATTTCTTATTGTTGAATGCATTAGTGGTTTTTAGTATTTTTCTCCGATAAATAATGCTTCAGTGAGTTATCTTGTGTAAGAGCCTTTTTTTTTTTTGTCATCACTGTGATTTAGCTAACTCTTTTGTTTGAAAGGTCAAAGATAGGCTGTTTTTTAATTTTTGTTTCTTTCTGAATGAGCTTAAGCATGTATAAGATGTTCTGTGATGAAATAATGAATATGTATTTGAGACATTCTTTTTATTTTAATTTTATTTTTTTCAATTACTGTTTACATTCAGTGTTTTGTCTTAGTTTCAGGCGTGGTCAGGCAGCACAGTGGTTAGACAGTCACGTGCTTTACAGAGTGTCCCCCTGATGATTCTAGTGCCCGCCTGGGCCCCGTGTGTAGCTGTTACAATGTTACTGACTTGGTTCCTTCGCTGTACCTTGCTGCCCTGTGACTATTTTGTAACTACCAATCTGTACTTCTGAATCCCTTCACCTTTTTCGCCCCTCCCCCTGCCGGCCGGCCCTCTGGTACCATCGGTTCTCTGTATCTGTGAGCCTTTCTGTTTTGTTCACATTGTTCTTTAGATTCCGTGTATAAGTGAAATCATTTGTTATTTGCCTTTCTCTGACTGGCTTATTTCACTTAGCATAATACCTTCTAGGTCCATCCGTTCTGTTGCAAATGGTTATTTTATATACGTGCCTTTACTTTTTATCCCCTCATCTGTTGATGGGCACTTGGGTGGCTTCCATAACTTGGCGATTGCAAATGACGCTGCAGTGAACATAGGGGTGGATATATTCTTTCAAAGTAGCGTTTTGGGCGTCTTTGGCTGTATACTCAGAAGTGGGATTGCTGGGTCCTACGGCAGTTCCACTTTTAATTTTTTTAGGAGTCTTCAGACCGCCCTGCACAGCGGCTGCACCAGTCCACCCCCCGCCCCCACCCCAATGGCGCCCGAGGCTTCCCTTTCCTCCACATCTCCGCCGGCACTTGTTGTTTGTGGGCAGCCGTTCTGACGGGTGTGCGGGACGCCTCACTGCAGTTTTAGGTGGGCACCTTCTCGTGCGCCTGTCGCTCACCTGCAAGACATTCCTAACAGACTGCGAGAAAGCCCCTGTTCTCCATGGCTGGCTCGGCCTCCGGAGCCTGCCGCCTGCTTGCTGGGGTCTGGCATTCATCCTGGTCATCAGGCATCGGATCCAAATAATAACAAGATCTGAAATTATCCTTAATTTTTATCATTAATTTTTAAAAACTAAAATTTTAAGGTGTCAATCTACTTTTTTACTACCTTTTTTACCCAATATCTAAAAAAATTTGCATTTATATACTTAACTCTTTCCATGTTTGTGAAATCCTTTCTGTTTTCTCTTTTTGCCTCAAATTTTCTAACTGGTTACAAGATAAAGAAGCCGCTTCTCAAGAGATCATTTCTGATTGTCGTAAAAACCAGCAACCCATTTCTTCCATATCAGGTGTGATTTCTTTCATTTACGTATTTTCACTTTTTCCTAGTTTTATGGTTGTCATGTGGTTTGCATTCAGGGCCTGGTACTGAGTGTCTGGTACTCAGTGTGACAATGAGTTGTATTTTGCATATGAAATCTGAAAGGAATGCTCTATTAGAAACAAAATGCTGGGAAATGAGATTAGAGACCATTAGACTGTCTGCTGGTCTGCTGTGACTGGTGTCTTTATTTTACTTTTCAATAAAAAGTTAATGAGTTTTATAAACTTTAGATGGTAAATATTTTAAATGGTAAAATATGGCCATGGGCTCTGGGAATTGACTAAAAACTACTGAATTGCACCCTTTTAAAGGATGTGAATTGTATCTCAATAAAGCTATTAAAATGAAAAAAACAGATAAACAATGTTGAAAGTAAAATAGAAATTAGTTACAGGTTAATTTCCTAAAATCCAATTTAATTGAAATTCTCCTAAACAAACATTGACAGTATTATCTGAAATGAAAATAGGAAATGCAGCATTTCTTTTTTCTTTTTCTTTTTTTTTTTGGTCTGTATTCTTTCTTTTTTTTTTTTAATCATTGTTCAAATACAGTTTTCTCCTTTTTACTCCCAATCCAGTCCCCCCTCCCACCCTCCGCACTTCCCTCCCATTACCACCCTCCCCCTTAGTTTTTGTCCATGTGTCCTTTAAGTTTGTTCCTGTGAACCCTTCCCACTGTCCCCTTAAATTCCCTCTTCTCTCCCCTCCGGTCACCATCAGCCTGTCCTCTATTTCAGTGTCTTTGGTTATATTTTGCTTGTTTCTTTGTTTTGTTGTTTAGGTTCCTGTTAAAGGTGAGATCATATGGTATTTGTCTTTCACCACCTGGCTTGTTTCACTTAGCATAATGCTTTCCAGCTCCATCCACGCTGTTGCGAAGGGTAGGAGCTCCTTCTTTCTCTCTGCTAAATGCAGCATTTCTTGACATGACTACATAATTTATTATTCTTGCGCATGACTCCGTATGAGGACAGCAGTAGTCGGCGTGCATTCGGTTAAGAGTCAGTCTGGCCCCGGCTGACTGAGCGCCAGCCTGCAGACCCACAGGTCTCCAGTTTGATTCTCCCACTTGCTGCTTGGGGCCTGGCCAGGGCCCAGTGGGGGCGGGTGAGAGCAACCCTCACACCTCAAGGTTCCTCTCCCTCCTGTTCTTCTTCCCTCCCCCTCTCTAAAAATAAACAAAATATACTTTTTTAAAGAAGTACTCTAGAGTAAATTATACCTGTGAAAAAATCTACTCAGATTTGAACAAATACGTGTTGTTGTTTGTTGCCAACTTGTTGTTACAAAGTTAATGACTTAGAGCTATTTACAGATTTTCTTATATTCCTGATTTTTTTTCTTTTTTGATGTTCAGAATGTGAGCCTGTGAGCATCCCTCCACCAGCGGCTCCGGAGAGATCTCTCCATCTCAGACTTCCTGCCGGGACAACAGAGAGACCCTTGTCACCTTCGGCCTCGGACACGGTGCTGGATCTGGTCTGGGTTTTATTCAGAAGTTTTAATAACGCCTTTATGCTGAAATTCATTATGGCCATCCTCATTAGTTACTTGTGCAGGTGAAATGAGACTACAAAAGCACCTGTGTAGCTTTGCTGAAAAGGCCAAACAATTAAGATTTAAATATTATGCCTCTGAAAGTATTGTAAACTCAGATCCTACCACGGCAACTTTCCCTAAAGGAGGCCCACAGGAGCTCTTGCCTTCAGAATTGAATCTTTTTATGGGCGGTGGGGGTGGGCAGAGAGGCCATACAGAGTGAAAAAATGTAGCCGTCCTCGGTTGCAGGCCGCGGCTCAGGTTGGACACACGTACATAAATGTGATCGACATTGAAGCGGACGACCTCCAGGAGTTACCTGTCAAAGAGCCTTCAGGTGATAGCCCCGTCAGGCAGCACCTGGACGGCCCGTCCTCCGCGGAGCTGCATTGCATGGCCTCCTCGGTCACGGGCGCTGTTCCCCTGCGCAATTTTCAGAGCCACGGTAATACATTTTTCCTACTTTTTAAATAAATTTTTAAAACATTTTGAAAAATTCTTTAATATAGCACTGTTAACCCTCCCTCCATCTCCTGGCTCTCCCGAAAACCCACTGTACTTTTGGAAGTTTTGGGACATAGTTAGAAGTGTTCTGTAATCTTCCAAAAACCTCATTTAGAATTTTAGAATCAATTTTTGTCTGCCTTTCCTATTCTTGCCAGAGTCTGCCCGTCCGGCCGTGGACTTGCTGTTTAAACCTGCAGAAGTGTCGGCATCCTGTTTGGGCGGGAGAAGCTGGGGAGCAGGCAGTCCAGGAGCGGCGGGGCCTGGCGTTACCCGACCTGCGCCGTCAGACAGAGAGTGGGACGGAGGTGAAGGCCCTATGTGTCCCCTCAACTCTCCCCCCACTCCCACCCCCCAGGCACTGCTGTACTGGGAAATAAGCACAAAACTCGATGATTGCGAAATAAAGCAGAAAAAGGCTTTTCCCTTGCTAAGGAGAATGGGGACAGGAGGCAGATGAGAGAGAGTCGTGGTTCAGGTCTGGGGCCCAGGGATGGGCTGCAGGGAGAACACAGGTGCATTTGCGCCTCTGTCTTTTCTTGGTGAGGTTAGCAATAAATATCCTGTGGGATTTCCTGAGTTCGAGGTGTTAAAGAGGAATTCTTACTTAAAAAGGAAGGAAATTCTGGAATAGCACATAGAAGTACACAGGCATGGTGGCCAACAGTACTTTGTTAGTAAAATATTGAGTTTTACACTCATAAATCAGGTTGCATTATTGTAACATGTTTGGGAGGTTCAATGTTTGCTTGAGATCCCCTGAGGAGTGGTCTAACTTCTACTGTGTGACCTTGTTCGTTTTCAGATAGTTTTAGAAAGTCAAAAAGATACAAAAGTTGCTTTTTGATGAAGGATATTTCTGTAGCAGAGGCTAAAAGTAACACTCACACTGCCTTGTGTGTGGAGGTTTGCGGCCGCACTAGCACTGTTACAGATCCGTCCCTCCCGGCAGAGACAGGTCTGGGAAGTCGGGAGGCTGAGGTGGTGTTTCTGAGTGTGTCGGATAGAAGCTGATTTGGGAGGGAGTGCTGGGCCGACTTCAGCCGAGATCTTCCCAGACGTGAGATCATCAGCATCTGCCTCTCCCCGAACTACAGTGGATCCTGACATTGCCCTTGCTAATGTTCAGAAATGCCAAAGCCAGGCGTGCGGTGCGGAGAGCAGAGCCCGAAGCCAGACGCTGCGGAGAGGGATGAGCTGCGGGACTACCTGCTGCAGGAGCTGCTGCAGGGCGTCTCTGCGGCTCCCCCCGCCCCCGCCCCCGCCCCGGGCGCTGCCGCAGCCGGCCGGCTGGAGCGGCTCACCGCCCAGCTGCGGAAAATGGACGCGCAGCTGCTGGCCATCGGCAGGATCGCCGCGGACATAGAGCAGGACTTCCCCCAGCGCGGACTGGCGGACCTGCCGGACCTGCCGTGCCATAAGGTGGGCTGTCTTTCTGTCAGGTTTTGTTTATTACCAAGGGTCTAGCAGGCTGGGTGTGATATGATTTCACAGACACTGATTTTTCAAAAGAACGGGAAATTCAGTTTCTCTGGGCTCGGGTCTCCCCACCTCAGCACTGGCGGCGTCTGGGCGGATGATTCCGTGCTGCGGGCGGCTGGCTGTGCGGTGCTGGGGGAGGCGGGAGGCCGGCTGTGCGTCCTGGGTGCTCACTCGCATTCCTGGTCAGTGCGCACCCCGCCCCGCTCCCCCCCCACCCCCACCCCCCGCTGTAACAACAGAAAAGGTCTCCAGGTGCTGCCAGATGTCCTGGGAGGTGGGGGGCAGGGGGCGGCTACAGCGCCTCCTTAAGAAGTGCACTTGCGCTTCCCACTGGGGAGAGAAATAGATGAATGAGGAACAGATGTGGGTTAAAGCAAACCCAGTTCCTAATTATCATTTTCCACAGCGAGATTTGTATCTTTAAAAATGGTATTGACCTTATATTTGGAATCCTTAGTTCTTTTAAGTATTTTATACAATGGATTAGTAGTTCTTAGAAGTTTTCTCTATCTTTAAAAAGTATTTACAATAAAAAGAGTAACGTTTATGTGTATTGGTATTTCATGGTAATTAAGACAACTAAAAGGGAAGTTCCAAACATTAATTTATTAATTACTTTGTACAAATATCCTCTTTTTTAAGGAAGTAAAATCTATGTGAAATAAAGATTAAAAAACAAATAGTGAAAAACAGTTTGAATGTCTTAAAGCCGCATGTTGGGACATGCAAATCGGTCTGCGAGACGAGAATTCCATTGTTGACCTACCTGACACGTACTCCAGGTGGCTGGCTGTTGGCCTGTTAAAGCTGTGTTTACCAGGTTTATAGTGTTTCTTCGATCCAGATGCTCACCACACATTAGAAAGTGGAGGTTACACAGATGAGAAACTGCACGGAAAAGTCACGTGGGGTAAGGCTGCAGTCGGCTGTTAGGGCACGATCGGGGTTAGTCGTCCACGGTGACTTCTGGGAAGGAACCAGCGTTGCCTTCAGTGCCAGGCTGGCCTCTTGGTTTACGACCTCGTCATGCCGCCGCGAAGCGCGCACAGACGCCAGGGGTCGGCTGGCCCCGCGTGGCGGAGAAAGCAGCGTGCGGCCTGGAGCGGGCGGAGGCGCGCTGTGGCCACGCCCCACCTCGCCGGAGCCTCGGCGGCCTGGGTTCAGGTCCATGTCCTGCCTTAGAGGGTTGCTGTCTGTCTCCGGGCCTCGCTCGCTCGTCTTCGCAGTAAAAGGTTTTGTCCAGGTGGTAGTTAGCCTCGCTCCCCATTCTAAATTCCGTGATGCTTCCCCCCCCCCGCCAGCCTCTTAAAAGGCTAAATCAGTCAAACTACAAGTAAGTAAATCCCATGTCTTTCACTGGTTGCATCAGTGCAGATGTTCATAATCTACATACAGTTGTTTACAGTATTTTGAAATTACCACACTGTAAAATCTGTAACGGTTCCTTTGTGGTGTGTGTCTGACTACAGGTTGAGTCTGTGGGTCACACCCAGTTGTCTTCGGGCCCTGAATCTGAAAGAACATTGGCTTCCAGAACCATCAGCCTTTCCAAAGAAGGTTTGTGGGGAGTTGGGGGAGTGGGGGGGAACGGAGCGCAGCCCGAAGCCCTGCGTTGCGAGAAGAAGCACGTGTGAGCGAAGCCCTCAGCCCCCCAGTGGTTAGACTGGGGTTACTTTCGTGCTGACGTGACTGGCTCCCACATCAGGCCTGTTTCCCCCGAGCACCCAGTGCTGTCACCTCCTCCGGGCGGGCAGTGTGGGCTGGACCCTCGTTTTCGTGAGCGCACCCTGCCGCCGGCCGCACTGTGGTGCTGTCCGTGTGCTGTCCGTGTGCTGTCCGTGTGCTCTCTGTGTGCTGTCCGTGTGCTCTCTGTGTGCTGTCCGTGCTGTCCATGTGCTGCCCATGTGCTCTCTGTGTGCTGTCCATGTGCTGTCTGTGCTGTCCATGTGCTTGCCTGTGTGCTGTCCGTGTGCTCTGTGTGCTGTCCGTGTGCTGTCCATGTGCTTGCCTGTGTGCTGTCCGTGTGCTCTCTGTGTGCTGTCCATGTGCTCTCTGTGTGCTGTCCGTGTGCTGCCCGTGTGCTCTCTGTGTGCTGTCCATGTGCTGTCTGTGTGCTCTCTGTGTGCTATCCGTGCTGTCCATGTGCTGCCCATGTGCTCTCTGTGTGCTGTCCATGTGCTGTCCGTGTGCTGTCCATGTGCTTGCCTGTGTGCTGTCCGTGTGCTGTCTGTATGCTGTCCGTGTGCTCTCTGTGCTGTCCATGTGCTGTCTATGTGCTCTCTGTGTGCTGTGTGCTGTCCGTGTGCTTGCCTGTGTGCTGTCCGTGTGCTCTCTGTGTGCTGTCTGTGTGCTCTCTGTGTGCTGTCCATGTGCTTGCCTGTGTGCTGTCCGTGTGCTCTCTGTGTGCTGTCCATGTGCTTGCCTGTGTGCTGTCTATGTGCTCTCTGTGTGCTGTCTGTGTGCTGTCCATGTGCTTGCCTGTGTGCTGTCCATGTGCTTGCCTGTGTGCTGTCTATGTGCTCTCTGTGTGCTGTCCATGTGCTGTCCGTGTGCGGCAGCTGAGCTGGAGTGTGAGGCTTTGCTTACATGGCTGGGAAACGGCGAAATGTTAAGCTTTTGCATTTCTCACGGGAAGGATGAAAGTAGGTTAGTTATTTTTAGAAATTTCTATGTACCTGGAGTTGTTTGTATGTACACTTTCTCTCTGATTCGGTCTTGTCAGCAATTTAATGTGTTTTTTAAAAGCAGGCTTTGGTATTCTATTATTTCTTAATTTTCTTTTTCATAAGTTTCTATTTGAGTTTTATTCTTTTGGTCTGCATTTGGGAACCGTTTGGTGTTCTCCTAGCTCCCTCCTTTCTTTTGGAAACGCGCGCATGTGCGGTCCAGCGCGTTCCTGCGGCCCCGACAGCGCATGTGCGGTCGAGCGAGCTCCTGCGGCCCCGACGGTGTTCTCCGGCGCCGTCGCTGCCGCTCCGTGTCGTTCAGACCCGCACGTTCGTCGTTTGTGTTACGAGTTCTCCTTAGCGCACAGAAGGGGTTTTTAGCTTCCAGATTTTGTGGGGTTTGGACCATAGTTTTGTAGTTAATTTCCGCTTTCATTGTGTTATGACTCGATGAGCATATGATATCCATTCTTAGATATATTAGCAGTATGAATATACAGCTGACCCTTGAGCCGCACAGGTTTGAACTGCTCGGGTCCACTTACCTGTGGATGTTTTTCGGTAGAGACGGCACAGTTTCTGGCCCACGGTTGGGCGGACACGGATGCAGAGGGCCAACTGCACGCACCGTCCGTGCCGTCTCACGTGGGGAACCGGGTGTCTGCAGATTGTGGGGTCTGGGGGTCCTGGAACCAGTGCCCCCCACGGAGGCTGAGGGACATCTAAGTTTGGGGAGAGTTGAAGTCGTACTTGGATTTTTTCACCGTGTGGGTGTTGGTGCTCCTAACCCCTTGTTATTCAAGGGCCAGTTGTGTGTGTGTTTTTGATGCTTTTTGTTTTTAAAAACTTGTTACCAATGTCAAGCCGATTTCAGTAGAAGACGGAATAGTGTAACTGACCTCCGTGTACCCAGCTCTCTTCCCACGCACCCACTCATTCTTCCCGTGTTTCCTGGGTTTGAGGCTAATCCCAGGCAGCACATTAAGTTTTTTTTCTTTTATTGATTCCAGAGAGCGGGGGAGGGAGGGAGAAAGAAAGAGAGAGAGAGAAACTGATCAGTTGCCTCTTGAAAGCACCCTGACTGGCCACGGAACCGCAGCCCAGGCCTGTGCCCTGACCGGGAACCCAGCCACGCCTCGCGGTGTGCGGGACGACGCCCGGCCCACCGAGCCACGCCGGCCAGCGCCCGCGGCATGCTGTCTTACCCACAGTGCTCGACACGTGTTTGCAAGAGATGAGGCTTCCCTTTAAACACAAGCATGTGTTTGAAACAGAATATTCACTCCGTACTTAAAAAGCTTACTGCTGTCGTGCATCTAATCACTGGTCACCTGGCACCAGTCGTCTCCTTTTAAAAAGTAGTTTTTTTGTTCTAGTTGGAATCTGAGTGTCATCCACTCGCGGCAACTGGTTGATGGCTTGTAAGTCTCCTTCACCTTCGGGCTTCCTCCTCTTTCTCCCCGTGCAGTTTCTCTGCTCAAGAAATGTGGACGTTTGCTCCCAAGTCTGATTGTGTTAACTGGGTGTGTTTGATGTCATTCAACGTGCTCCTCCGTCCCGTGTGTTTTCTGTCAGGGAGACAGTCCTTCGCTTCACACGCAGTGACAGCGGTGTGACTGTGTTCAGCTGTATCACCGGATTTCATGTTTTAAAACAATTAGACAATTTGTGTTTTACTCACCAACTATAATCAGTTCCCATTCACGGTAACCACTGAGTTACGAGGTGTCGTGTACTCACAGCCGCAAACCTGCCCCCCACCCCCCCGCCCCGTGTTTGTGTGTGTTTCTCTCGTCGTATTTGGGGCTTTTTATTCACTGTGTATTTTTCACTTCTGTCTTTCTTTTTTTTCTTTCCATTGGATTTGATGTTCTGTATTTTCTCCCTTCCCTTCAATTATGCATTATATTTTTAACCTGTTAGTGACTGTTCTCGAATTTTCAACACTCACAATCACAATTTAAGGTGAGCGTATTTACCTCCCAAACAGGGTTAGAGCTTTGAACACTGACCTGCTCCCTCCCTCCTCGGCTCGTTCTGTGTCTTAGTTCTACCTTGTCTTTAAACCTCCCGTTCCTTCTCCCACGTCTCTTATTTGTTAAGTCCATATGTCTTTGAATGTGTCAGCACATTTGCCATTTTCTCTGCCCTCAATTGCTTCTTTTAAAAAATTGTACCTCAAGTCCTGTACATAGGTAAATAGTAAGTCTATAAAACCAAAACACAAGTGTCACGGAGCAGTCCGTACCTGGGTCGGACTCAGAGTGGAACGCACTCGGGCATCTCTGTCCCTGCTGCTGCCGCCGCAGCCGCTTCCTGCGCCCGTTTCCTTGAGGGCAGTCCCCTCCTTCCTTCCGTCCTTAGTTCCCTCGTTTAGTGAACCTGCGAGTGGCACGTGCTCTGTCCTCACAAACAGCTTTCATTTTACTGCCATTCACAAGCAATGGCTTATAGCACAGTATTCTGTGTTAGGGCTTATTTTTCCTCGGCTTTTTAAAGATACTATTCCACTATCTACTGATATGTCTAATTGCTGAGTTTATACCACCTGTCTGCTATCTAATTGCTGTTCTTTTTTAAAAAATGTTTAAAAACTCAGAGGGAGGGGCCTTATTTTGCATTTTGATACAGTTTTTCTAGGTGTATATTTCTTTTTATTTGTTTCTCTGTGGGCGCAGGGATGATTCTGCAGCCTGCAGGTTTCACACTGGGAATTTTTTACCTGCTTTCTTTTGGAGCATTGCTTCCTCCCCGTTCTCTCTGTTCTGTGTTCTGAAACGCCTGTGAGAGGTCCGTCAGACCCTCGCCCTCCCTTCCCTGTCTCTTCACCACGTCCCAATCCCCCCTTTTTATCTCTCAGCGACGGGCTCGGGGTGGTCCCCTCAGGTCTGTGTGTCAGTCCCCCACCTCTCTTCTGCTGTGCGGCCTTTGCTGTAGGGGTTCGATATGTCAGACGTTCTGTTTCTTCTTCAAATCTATCTGTTCTTTGGATATACTGTCCTGTTCTTCTGTTGTGGTTTATATATCTTCCTTTTTTAAAAAGATTTTATTTATTTTTAGAGACAGGGGAAGGGGAAAGAGAAAGAGGGAGAGAAACATCAAGGTGTGGTTGCCTCTCATGTGCCCCCCACTGGGGGCCGTGGCCTGCAACCCAGGCATGTGCCCTGACTGGGAATCGAACTGGTGACCTTTTGGTTCGCAGGCCCGCGCTCAATCCACTGAGCTACACCAGCCAGGGCTGTATACCTCCTTACACCTATATAGTGACCAGTAACGTTTTATGTATGCCCTTTCAGATTGCTTTATTTCTCATGTGCATCTTCTCAGTTACTGACTCTGCGTATTGACTCTTTCGTGGTTGTGGCTTTCTTTGTGTGACGTGTAATTTTTAATCACATTGGTGGGGAGGTTTGCCGAGTTGTGTGTGTTTGTCTTTGGAGTGGTTTTATATTTTCTGTCACTGATGTAGAAAATGTTAGGACAAATTTTTGTATACAGTTTTTGGCTAGGAGTTGCTGTACTACATTGATAGTGTACATTCAGATCCCATGCCTGCTTGCGGCAAGACAGGGTTTTTTTTTTTCAATGATTTTGTTTATTTGTAGAGAGGGGAAAGGAGGGAGAAAGAGACAGAGAGAAACATCGATGTGTGGTTGCCTCTTGCACACCCACAACTGGGGACCTGGCCCGCAACCCAGGCATGTGCCCTGACCGGGACTAGAACCAACAGCCTTTTGGTTTGCAGGGCGGCTCTCAATCCACGGAGCCACCCCAGCCAGGGCAAGACAGGTTTTGATTCCTCAGAGCCAACTTTATTTTTTCTTCCGTCACCGTGCAGGCAGATGGAACATGTCTTTGCTGCTTGTCCAGGGCAGGGTTCTTCTCGCCCCACTGAAGGGCAGAGCGGCCCGTCAGCCCCCGAGGCCATGCGCAGCCCCCGGTCCCCCTCACAGCTCAGTCTCCTGCTCCTCCGGGGCCCTGCCAGCGTCGGCGTCCACTCACCGCCCAGCTTCGAGCCCCCGCTTCCTTTCCGGCACCAGGGGGTTTTTTATGTACAGGGTTTTGTTGTGTATTAACCACTTTTTAAATTTAGCATTTCTTCTGTGTTTTTATAACATGCAGGAGCCTCTCCATTTTAGGAAGTCTGTCTGCCATGTTTTCTGAAGTTGATAACAAATGTAATAGTTTTTTTTTCTTTACTATCGAGGACTGTAAAATTTAGACATCAAATTATTTCATTATACAGTAGGAAGCCATCCTTGTACGTTGCAAACTTGATACACCTGTTGCCGCGTGGACCCGTCAGCTGTGGTTGATACCTTTCCGTGTGATTTTCCCCTCTGCTCTTTTTTTCTCGTTGTAACACAGACTCCGGATCAGCGCATTTCCTGACTCACGTGGATAAGGAAGACCAAAGTGACAAAGAGCTGCCTTTCGAAGCTGAATTTTCAGTAACAGAAATTCACTCTCATCCAAAAACCTGTGTGTTTCCTTCTGCCGATTCCACCGTCAGCCTCTCCAGTGACCAGAATGCAAGTTTTCCAGGTATCGCTCCCTGCTTCTTCCGCCCCCACCCCCTGGGCAGCCACCGAAGGGTGCGTCACAGCAGGGCCTCCTGCTCCCGCAGCGCGTTTGTCGGGGCTGTGGTTATGAGGGATGTGTGAGGCCTTTTGCAGTCCTTACGGATCTTGGATGAGGGGAAGTTAAAAAAAGGCACCATTCCCATGAAGAACTCTGTCATCTTGTCACCTTCGTAAGATGTGAGCAAGCATCTTATTAATGTGTTAAATATACACCTGGAGTAACTAAAACATATGGTTTTCACAAAAATTGAGAAATTCAGACTCTGCCAAGTATGAGAACGTGCGTATCAATTTGAAAACACAGTCATGGCTGTCGATCACGGGGCCTCTGCCGGTGCCCGGCGTTGCTGGCGTGCCTCCCCAGTGCAGCCCGCGGCCCCGCCTTACAGGGAAGGACGTTGGGACTTAGAGAACCCGACTGCCGCTTCTCATTCCACTTCACCTGGAGCTGGCAACTGAATGTGCTTCTTCAGTCCCAACAAACACATTTGGGCATGTGAATAAATAGGTCATAGAAATGCAACAGTCGAACCACTGACAGTGGATTTGAAATTAAAAAATTTTTTTTAATTGATTTCTAGAGAAAGAAAGAAACATTGATTTGTTCCATTTATTTATGCATTCATTGGGTGATTCTTGTATGTGCCCTGACTGGGGATCGAACCCACAACCTTGGCTTATTGGGATGATGCTCTAACCAACTGAGCAACCCAGCCAGGGCTTGAAATGTTTTGTTTTTTTTTTTTGCCAGGATATTGATAGCCAATAATGATGTCTTTACCGAGTGATACAATATGCTTTATTACCATTGTTAATGGTATTTTTTAAATGGCATTCCTGTCATTTTTTTAAAAAAATTTATTTTTAGAAAGAGGGAGGGAGGGAAAAAGAGGAGAGAAACACAATGTGTGAGAGAAGCATTGATTGGTTGCTTCTCACATGTCCCCACCTGGGGACCTGGCCTGTGACCCAGGCACGCACCCTGACTGGGAATCAAACCAGTGGCTTCAGTTCGCAGGCCCACGCTCAATCCACTGAGCCACACCAGCCAGGGTCATTGCTGTCAAAGTAAAAGAAAGGCTATAAAGAAGATGTCACTAAATCTTACAACTTTTTTCTCTTAGTAAAGCTGCCTTGGGTTTAACTTAGATATTTTCCAAAATGTATTACTTTTCAACCATCAGAGGGGTTTTTTTTGTGTGTGTAATTGTTTTAATAAATTGCACTCCAGTATTCTAAACTGTTCTAAGCACAGAAAGATTGTACCTCCTAAATGATATCATTCTGAGTACTATGGATACAAAAGTAATCATCTTAAAATGTGGACAATATTTACAACCAAGTAGCATATTCAAGAGGAGGATAAATATGGTATACATATATACCTTTAAACCAATTTGAAAGTTTAAAGATATTTTAATTTCTGGTTATATAATTTCTAAGTCAGGTTAATACTTGGAAGTAAAAATATAACTAACCTGAAATTTGTATTAATCATGTTTCTTTTTTTTAAGGTGTGAATAACAGTGATGAGTTATTTGAGAGGTAAATATCTTAAGAATTAATTCACAATTTTACTTAAAGTTGGGTATAAATTCTGCCTTCTGGGAACTTGGTTGTTCAGATGTATGTGCACTTCTACAGGACACTGTTTTTGTGGCTCGAAGGAATGTAACTAATTCCCACTGCGAACGGGGTGTCGGAAGAAACCGAGGAGCGTTTAGCGCAGGCAGTAAGGGTCCCGTAGACCTCGCTGGCCGCCCCTTCCTCCGCCGCCTGTGCGCCAGTTTCCGCAGGCGGGGCCGGTGGGGCGGGGCTGGTGGCAGCTGTCTCCTGGGCTTTGTGTTGCTTTTTTTTTTTTTAATTTTATTTATTGATTTTTAGAGAGAGGGAGAGAAAGAGAGAAATATCGATCTGTCGTTCCACTTATTCATGCATTTGTTGGTAGATTCTTGCATGTGCCCTGACCAGGGATTGAACCTGCGACCTGCAACCGTGGCATATCAGGACGATGCTCTAACCAGCTGAGCTACCTGGCCAGGGCCTGTGTTGCTTTTTTAAGGGCACACAAAACCGTCAGTTACTGACGACCAGGCTTTTCCAGGGAGAATTACTGGGAGGAAGGGGTGGAAGGGACCGGAGCTGTATGTTTGTCATCTGTGCACTCATGTCCCATGTCCTCGCTTGCTCGCTGCCGTAAGCCGCGATCCTGACGGCCGTTTCTCTGCTTGCGTTGGCGAGCGAAGCCCGTCGGCAGACCTGCTGCAGGAGTCCGGGCTGGCGGATGTCGCCGACATCATCGACGACCTTCTCACTGAGGGCGGCGTTTCCAGGGAGGAGCTGGGCCTGACGGAACAGCAGGCCAGGAGCATCTCCAGGTGACCGTGGGATAATTCGTTTTTAACCCATTGAAAGTGTTTCCAGTTCAAGCGTATTCAAGCTTGGATGCATTTTAATGTGATTTTTTATGAAACAAATTCAAAGCTTAGAACAGATTTTTTTCCTTCCCAAACACATTCTGTGAAGTTTATGGACCATTCTCCCCTCCCCCCAAACAGAACACAGACTCGTTTGCACTTACCTGGCGGCACATACACATCGTGCGAGTTTCCCAGTGTTGTTCCTCGAAGCACGACACAGATTAACCCTGTTTCTTCCTAGAAGTAGTTGATGGTTTGGTCCCTAGTAGTTTATCCAAATATTAATCCTTGGGATACATTTTAGATCGTCTTGCCTTGGGACATTAGGTTCAAGTGTTTTTTCCTGGCAGCCTTTCCTGGGCCCAGAACTGGCTCTCCATAGCGTGGAGGCTGCTGCTCGTACCTGAGCTCCCTGCAGTGCGTGCACCGGGGCCTGCCCCTGGACGACGGTCGGCACCGTGAGCGGCGGCCGTCCTCCTGCGGCTCCTGGTCGGCGCCTCTCACTGCCTCGGTGGGTGGACGTGCGGTCTGTCATCGGGCTGCAGGGCTATCACCAGAGATAGGGGGTGCAAAATCCCTGCTGACTGCTACGTATGCCTGGAATGATCTGCCGTAGTATGGCCTCATGTCAAGACCTTGTAAACCATAACTTCCTTTTAGATGCCTTTGTCCTGTTTAGAGGAATTTTTGTTCTGTTTTTAAGTTAATGATCGAGCAGTTAATATGTCATCAATAATGCATTACATGTAAAAAAAGTGGAGTAAAAATAACAAGGTTTCTACTCTTGAATGGAGTAGAACTATAAAAAGATCGACACGAAACCAAATTGCATCAGTGCGCTGCGGGAGCTCGAGGGGAAGAGTGTCCATCAAAGACGACAGCGTCACCAGTCATGGTGTTTGAGCTTTACTGCAAAGGATCAGTAGACTTTCACGTGGCTCATAGCTGGAAAAAAGGGCATTCTCGGCAGCCAGCATGTAGCGCGCAAAGGTGTGATGTCGGTGCCGGCGGGGGGCAGTCAGGTGTGACTGGAGCCCCCCCCGAGTTGGAAGGAGGGAGGCCCCGGCTGGGTGTGCTGACGGCTGCTGGGACCAGAGGCACTCGGGGTCACTGCCACTGCAGGCAGCAGGGGGTGCAGCAAAGGGCTCTAAACCTGAAACGGGGGCCGATTGGAATTTCAGCCTAGTAGCCTGGGTGTGAGCCGGCCAGGAAGAGACCGTGCAGGGCAGGCAGCAGCACGCGTAACCCTGGGGCTGATGGGGGCAGTGAGGACGGTCCTCTACTTGGGTGACTGCGCTGATGGCATTTCTTAGCCAGACAGAGATGGATGTCGCTGCAGAGTTAAGGTGCCAGGAGAACATCCAGCTGGTGGTGTGCATTGGAACTTGGTTGTAGGTCCTCCCGGAAGTGGATGCCAAAATGGGCTTCACATGATGAGCAAGAAGAGATTTATTTGGCGAGACGCCTGTGAGGGGGTGAGGGGGAGGAGCCCCAGGAGGTGGAGAGAGCTGCCGGACTTGAGTGCAGCTGTGGCTGTGACCCGTGTAAAGGGTCCCCGGGACCAGTCCAGGCTCAGTGGTCCACTGGGACTCTCAGACCTCCACTGGCCACGCGCACTGCCAGGACTTACTATGGCACCAGGAGACAGAGCAAGACCAGCGCAGGGAACAGGCGCACGGAGTAAATGCCAGGGGAGACCAGGCACGCGCTTCCGAGCATCCTTGCAGGGGAGCCACGCGGGACACACTCAGTTCCTCCAGCCACGGACTGGGCCCGCACGCGTGAAGTGCGGTGTGCCGGGAGGCCCGTGCAGACTCAGTGCCCGGAGTGCTCACCAGGCCGGTCGGTGGGCGCACTCCGCCCGGGACACACCGAGTCCGCACTCCCAGGCGCAGAGAGGTGTTCAGTGCAAAGCACGCCGTCGGTCTCCGTGACCCGCTTACACTTGGGACGGTGCCCTCTTCGCACGCTGGGCGATGAGTCGGCCCCAGATCCCCATCGCACACGTCCCGTTTCCCCGGCCCGCTGGTTAGTTCTTATCCTCCGAGAGGCAGGAGCCAAGATGGGCTTAATGGACACGAGATGTCCTGGGAAACGTGCATGGTGGGGTGGTGGGGGGACGGACGGACTGGGAGTCGGGAGAGGCCTCAGACCCCAGTGCAGGTCTGCGCCCCCCCCCCCCCAGGGGGAGAGAGGCACGGGCAGGGGCGGAGTTGGGAGAACAGTAGAACCGGAGTCCGGTGTAGGTCCAAGGGAGTCCCCCCGGGTCAGTGAGGAAGCAGCAAGCCGGAGTGGCCCATCAGAGGCGTCCTGCGTCTCCTCTCGCAGGAGCGGGCCAGCCACAGCCTCCCCGTGGCTCGGTCCCTGGCTTGGGCCGGCCCGGAGGGCAGCAGGCTCCGAGGTATCTCTGTATTGAGAGTTTCGGAAGCGCTTGAGAGGGTCCGGAAATGATTCTAGACGAAGAAGTCCGAGCAGAGCCTTTGCAGACGTTACTGTGAGGGGGTGAGCACAGAAGGGCGGGCCAGCGTAAGGTGCTGCAGAGAGTTTTGAGAGTTACAAAGACCCAGGTAGGAGGGAGCTTGAAGCAGAAAGGCAAGGCCAGATTGCCAAGTGCGACCGAGTCCGGCAGGATGAAGCGTGCCGAGGCCTCGGGCGACCTTGCTGAGTCGCAGGTCGGAGCCAGGTGACTAGAGGTCCTGCGTGTGCGCTGCTTCCTGGATAGGACACCATCTTCCCAAGCGAACAGTGTTTACAGTCAGGTGACGCCCTGCCCGTGAAATTTTTCAGAATCCGCCGTTCTCCGGATAGACGCCCCCGAAGGACGGAGAAGGAGAGGAGAGAGATCCAGGTCTGGATGAGAAGAAAACGGAAGGAGAGAACGGCGGAGTACCTGCGTCAGCTGGCGGAGAGGAGGGGCCAAGAGCACGACCCTTTCTGCCCCAGGAGCAACCCAGTGAGTCTGCAGGACCCGGGACCTCGCAGGGTGGGTGGTCCCTCCTCGGCCAGGGCAGGGGACGGGTCACCGTGCTTGGGACACATTCCTCATTTGCCAGACAGTTTGCTTCAGTCAGGCAAAGGTAAGAAGTTACAACAAAATACAGCAGGATATCACACAACCTGTGTCCTATTGAACTGTCTTGAGTGAGTATTTTCTCTCCCCATTACGGGTCCAGCATGTGAAACAAATGAAGAGGCCGAGTGATCGTGGGATGATGCGAGTTGTTTCCTTAACGTTCACAGAGGGCCGGTGGCGGCTGGACGCCCGACTGTGTGTGTGTGTGGCGAAGGCATTTGCAAAGTCACCTTTCCGTCCATACGTCACACAGCAGCAGAACAGCGACCCCGTGTGTTTCCACTGCCCTTTAGCCGGTCACGTCTATTTCTGAGCTCGACTATGGGCAGTCCCAGGGCTGCGTCTGAAGGTGAAACAAGGCAGTGTCCCTTTAATAATCACATTACTACGAAATTCCCATTCAGATTACACTTGAAAAAAAAGATTGTATTTATGTATTTTAGAGAGGGGAAGGGAGAGAGAAAGAGAGGAAAAACCTCGATCGGCTGCCTCTCTCATGCCCCCAACTGGGGATCTGGCCCGCAACCCTAGCCCTGACTGGGAATCGAACCAGTGACCTTTCGCTTTGCGGAATGACACCCAACCAACTGAGCCACACCAGTCTGGGCTAGATCACACTTTGATTACAACTGATCTTTGACTTTCTAATCTGAAACAAAATAAATAAAATCTTCATTGTTCTCAGCACCATTAGAGGAACACATTTTCTAAGTGAGTTCTCCAGATAAGGTTGTCACACTCAAGCACCACACGGTGCGAACGCAGGTGAACTGTTGTTTGAAGTGTGTGACGTACTTAGCCGTGTCTGGAGAGAGCGGATTGACGTCAGTCGGACGCTTCGTCGATAGCTGCAGGCACAGGGTGGCGACCTCAGGGCCCCCAAGGTCCAGGACGGGAATCGTGCTCCCCACACTTGGGGTCCGACATCATCTGCGCTGTCAGCCGAGCTAACGCCCGAGCTGGCCCGACTGTGTCCAGACTCAGAGTAAACTGACCTGAGGGTGCGGGGGGGGGGAACTGTTGGGTGTATAGACTTTGTGACACGGCCTTCAGGATCGCAGGTGTTTCTCTTTGGTTTTAGCTTTCACTTAACCTCGTCGGTGACTCAAACGGAACTCCGTGTTCTGGGGTGAGAGGTACGCAGCTGCTCTTGGCTGGGTTGACTCCTGGTGCGTGAGTTCTGAGGAGTTTACAAGTCCCAGCGGGCTCACTGCAGCACGTTTCTGGTGCACATTTTAAAACATCACGAGGGTGGTTTTAAACGTTGGGCGCGTTTCTGCTTCATCGGCCAAGTTCCTGGTGAAATTAACCCCAAGACTGAGTACGACGTACAGGTGTCTCCATCCTTAAAATGTTCTTCCTGTCCCTTGTAAATGCAGCTGATTAGGTTCTCTCCCTTTTGGAAAATACATGAATTTAGCTACTAAAATACATTTTGCATTCCATTTATTAAACTGGATTTTATGTAATTACATGATGCTTTAATATTTTCACGTTTTGCGCTGGAGTCAGAAGGTTCATCAAACATGATGGTATCTTGCACTATTTCCCAAATAACAAAGTTATTTTTTAACCTGTTACAATTGATTAGTGTAATTTTTGCCTTTTCTGTGGACTATGATGGTTCAATGATCTGTACTGTACGATAAGGACTAACTGGGCATGTCTTGTGCAGTTTTACGTGACTTCGAGGGAAATCAGGCTGAGACAAAAGTTGAAGCACGAGAAGGACAGGTGAGTGTGGTGGCTGCACCCTGCCCGGCCCCTGTGGCCCCTGCTTCTCTGCTACGGGAGGTGACTTTAGACTCCCTCAGCCTCCTTGGGAGTTTGCTTTCGAATAGTATTCAGTCCACTCAGTTTCATGACTTGTTTCATTTCTGCCACTGCCCTCCCCCATTCCGGTCCAGATCTGTGATTGCATTTTGAAACTACCCCAAAACTTCCTAATGGTTTTCAGACAGATGAAGTTTAATACTTCATTTGAAGTGCATTTGAAAACCGCTGTAAAACAAATGCAAGGGGGTCTTCAAATACCGTGTTCCTTCTAGAGATATGAACCGAAAGGGATTCCTGTTAAACGCTGGGTAATTCTCTCCCTACAGGCTGCTGCTCTCGGACCACTACAGTCGTCGCATCTCGCAAGCGTACAGTCTGATGAGCGAACTGCTGTCCGAGTCGGCGCAGCTGCCAGGGGCTGCCCAGAAGCCACCGCCTGCCGCCCCCGGAGCCGCCCGGGCCTCCAGACTGCGGCGCTCCCTTTCTCCCAGACGGTGGGTTAGGGTCTGGCCTGGCATCTGGCGAGAGGCACTGTCAGGCAGGATGAGAAAGGTAGCGCTCTGGTGGCCCACGCTCGCCGTGGCTGCACCTGCCCTGTCCAGAGTTACGATGGTACAGTGACGGGGAAAATGGCCCTTACGGTGAGGTTTTACAAGTTTACGGCATTGCCAAGGAACAAGACAGTGGGGTTAGATCTCTAACTGAAGAGGTAACACGGCACTTCAGCTCACCCCATGCAGTTTTGATACCCGTTCAACCTTGTTTCTTTTCTGTCGTTTTTCCTACTATTTCCTCTTGTCACTTGCCCCAAACTGCTCTCCACTGGGTTCTCCTCTTGTGGAAACAGCCCCACCAGCCACCCCCTCCCCTCTGCCGTCTCCTCCCCCCTTCCCGGGGGCTGCCGACTCAACTCTAGATTCGGTCACACAGTTCTTCAGTAAGTGGCCTGCAGTAGGTTTGGATACGAGTTCATTAGGCAAGAATTAAACAGAGAATGCTAAAGAAAAGTACCCAAGTGAAAAGTTCCTTACCAACACAAAATTGTATTTGTCAGTGATTTGTAAGGTGAGCAGTAATTGCCAGTACAGTGTTGTTAAAAATCACTACCTTTGACAAAATAAGTGGTTACAATTATAATCACATAATTTAAGGGCCCAGAGGAATGCCACCCAACACGAAGCTACATGCGGTCAGATCCTTAGGGTGCGTGTAATTGTGGGTGTACTCAGAAGGCCAGATGCCCCTGAGTATTTTCTAGAATAAAGCAGGGTCTTAGATACAGAAATAGCTGCCAAATACAGAGAGATTTGAAATGGATAGAGAGGACAAAAATGGTTTCTTTGAAAAATGGCATTTGAGATACGAGATACAAGGAATAATTTGTTGAGAGTTACTACACACTAAATACATCACTGAGGTACAGAATAAGTGACTGTATTCATCTGGGGTAGAATGGGAGCTTTTTGAAATATTATAGTTTTATCACTGGTGTGAGATTGTAGGACTATATAATAATAATTTCTACTTTAGAGAGACTCCACGTGGCCACAGTTTTCCAGTGAATCGACCTGAAAAAGTCAGATACACATGCAAACCCAGTGACGGCCCCACAGGGCGACCTCCGGAGCAACCTCAAGGCTCGCCTCGGCCACACGGTAAGGCTGAAAGCTTTTTTATCCTGTGTAGTTTGGACCTCTTCCTTCTTGCCTATACAGTTGTACTTTCATTAATAAAAAACTGTAAATCTTAGTGAAAAGCAATACGTATTCAGTAGAACTCAAGAGATTCACAAAGACTTAGCTGTACTGGTATTTCGTTCTATTGCTTAGAAATAAGAAGACCCTACGCATCTTTTCAAACCAAGGGTCTTTTTGTAGTAGGATTTGAATGGTCAGTAAATAAGATACGCCTTACTTGAGATCTGTTTCTTGTGTGTGTTTGGCTAAAGAACTTGATTTTACAAGTCACGTTCTGCAGTGGTGTAAGTACAGCAAGGGCATGCATGTAGTCAGTAATACTGTACTAACTACGTATGGTGCCAGGTATGTACTAGACTTACTGGGGGAATCACTTTGTAAATTATGTAAATGTCTAATCACTATCTGTGTATCCGAACTTAATGTAAAATAATGTTGAATGTCAACTGTAATTGACAAAAAAAAAATGTTCTGGTAGGTTTCAGGCTGAGTACGTCACAGAAGAGGAATACTGAGAGGCCCAGACTGAAATAATACCCTGTTTGTACCCTTTGAACATCCTCTTCCACATTTAAAGATAGATGTTGTTTATTGGTAGCCTTCCTTCGAATTTTGCCAGAGTGGGGTTTTGATCGCTGAAGTAAAACATACTTATTTGTGAAGCGATTACACGGTACAGTGTGTAATCACAGCTAACACGGAGTATGGATGTGCAGCTAAAAATGTGTAACAACAACTAAAACGAACGTGACGAACATGCCAGGGAAGCGCTTAATGACAGCCCCGTTAGGTAGGCGCTAGTGCGTTCCCATTTTAAAGATGAGAAAATCAGGGCAGAGACAGTGGACATGAAAAGTGCTTAAGGTCAGACAGGGAGGAGGCGGCAGAGGCCTGCACAACGGGAACCCACGGCTCCGGCTCCGGCTCTGGAAGCTGTGCCAGGCCGGGGGACTGCCATCTGCGAAGGTCCCGGTCCTCCCGCCGAACCTTCATGGTTTGGTTCCTCTCAGTTTTGATCCACACATTACAGTAAGAAAATACTATTCTTTTAAACTGAAACTTAAAAACAGTAAACATGTTTTTTCTCTTACAAAATTTTATTGTATACCTGATACATATTTCAGAATTCCAAAATATTAAAGATTGGCAAGGACTTCTTACTACCAGGTGGAAAAGTCTTAGGGTATGTGGCAATATGTCTTTCTCCCATCCCACGTCCGACCTGTGTTGTCACCGGGCACTTTCCTGGGTTGAGGCCTCGACCCTCCTGGGGTCCCCTCCCTTGCTGGGCTTTGCCTGCTGGAGTTTCTGCTGCTTCTGGTCCCAGCAGCTCTCAGTGGCCGCACCCGAGCAGGTGTGTCCTGCCCCAGCTCCTGCCCCTGCCCCAGCCCCGGCAGGCAGTCACTCCCCCCCCCGCCCCCCCACTGCCTCAGCCCTTGTCCCCATGTACTGTCACCCCAGGCTGTGCCCCCGTGCTCCCTCCCATTCTGGCCGGGAAATCCCCCCCACACCGTGAACGCTGCCCCTCTCCGTCTTGGAAGACATCCCTCACCTTAATTCTTGAGTTCTCCCCACCTTGATGTAATGACTGGAACACCCGTGCCTTCATTTTACACTGGGGCTGACGCTTCTTCACTCACGGGATGGCTGTGAATAGGAAGAGACAAATGGCAGGCGTGGGACCTAAAACCGTTTTGTTTTGTCCTGGGTTCTTCAGTTCTGGGAACCCTCAGTCACGGAACACGTTCCCCTTGAGGCGCCGCCGCTGCAGGCCTTCCCTGGCAGCCGCCGTAAGTTGGGCCCCACGCCGCGCATCTCATCTCGCACTCACCGGGCACGCGTGAGCACGCCGGGCGTGGCCTCCGCCACCGCCCTGGCTGCACCCGGAGGCCTCTGGTCCCCGGTGTTGCGGGGACGTCCCTGGCAGCGACACAGACCGCCTGGGCCCACACACGGCAAGTCCAGTCACTGCACAGATGGGGAAGTAAGGATTCGTCGGGATTTTAAAATTCACTGCAGTTCACCTGTAAGAATAGCTTTTCTGAAGATACTTGTGAGAGTGACAGCATGTTACTACCTATCTTGTAAGACAGTATGCCGTTTTCCGCTAATTTCTTCAGTCCTGTCCACAAACTATTAGACTTTGGGGTCCTTTGTTTTGTGCCTAGTTATGTCAAAAACAACACAGCGGCTATACTGGTAAGTAACTGAAAGGCGTCACCCACCGGGAAAAAGGTCTCGCTTTGGAATCCTCTAGGCCTCTGTCCCAGCTCTGTTGCTTACTTTGTGCCCTCAGGTGTGTTATTTAGTCTTTTTAAAAAGATTTTATTTATTTTTAGAGAGAGGAGAAGGGAAGGAGAAAGAGAAACAACAGTGTGTGGTTGCCCCTCATGCCCCCTACTGGGGACTTGGCCTTGCAACCCAGGCATGTGCCCTGACTGGGAATCGAACCAGCGGCCCTTTGGTTTAGCAGGACAGCACTCAACCCACTGAGCTACACCAGCCAGGGCCTTAGGTATGTTATATAAAACCTACCTCGTAGAGTTGCTGAAGATTATAAGTAACACATCTTACATAATGTAAACATTAAATGTTGCTATTAATTCTGGAATTTAAGAAACCTTAATCATTCTCTTGATAGAACCTAACTGGACATTTTGCCTTGGTGTTTACAGCTAGGAGGGCCTGCGCCCGACTTGTCCAGCGGCCAGCGGTGCTGTCTGAGTCTTCCGCTTGCCTTTTGGAAAAGGGCCGCAGTGGGGCTGTCAGGACACCGAGTCTCAAAGCAGAACTTCCCTTCCTTTCTCTGTACTTTTGTCTTGCTTTGTTCATTCAGGTCAAACCTGTCTACCAAGAGGTTTCCGTCCTTCAAAGATCTGACAGACCGAGCTGTGAAAAATCTTGTCTTTGCAGGAGCTGCCACTGTCGCCCAGAAAAAAGCTGGGGGAGCCCGAGTGGCCACCAGAAGGGCCGTGCAGTCTCCAGTCATCTTTCAAAAAGGTAGGAAATTCTTGAATTTAATAATACTAAATCTTTTTTTAAAAGATTTTATTTATTTTTTTTAGAGAGGGGGAAGGGAAAAAGAAAGAGAAACATTAGTGTGTGGTTGCCTGTCACGCGCCCCCTCCTGGGGACCTGGCCCACAACTCGGGCATGTGCCTGGACTGGGAATCACACCAGCAACCCTTTGGTTCACAGGCCCATGCTCGAGCCACTGAGCCACACCAGCCAGGGCTAATACTAAAGATACTAATCTTTAAAAGTCATAAATCACTCTTAGAAATTTCAAGTCTAGATTTCAGAATGGAAAGTGTAGCTTTGTGGTCAGAGCAGAGGCTGCCACTCACTCTTCCGCCCGGGGTGGTTCCCGGGCCATTAGCGCAGGCCTCAGTGGTCTCACCTGGGAAGCAGGTGGGGCAGGGTCTGCCTCGGTGCTGAGCGTCACCCGCTCTCCGGAAGGGGTTGCGATAACTCACAGAACACACAGGCCTGTACGCTTAGGCCTGATTTTGCTCCGTCTTTGGATACTTGTTCAGATTAGCTGTGCTCTGATCAACGAGAGGGAGGGGCATTATACAGAAGGATCTGAATTCCTAATGACTCCCCCTCCCCCACCCCTCACCCCATGCTCCTCCTCACGATATAAAAAGTCCTTTGACGTTCCTTCTCCTGTTAGCTCCCTGGAACGACCCTGGTCGACAGTAAGGACCAGGGCCTGCGACACTTAGCTCTGGTTAAGTTAAAGGGGCTGGATACAGGGGAAGCACTTGGCCCACAGAAAATGCCAGAATGTGTGCTGTTGTTACTGTCTTGGTCAGCGGGGGCTCTTATTTGTTGGATGTATCCTTACCTTTGAGTGTATGAAGTTAGGAGAGCTGCAGAAGGCCGAACTTCACCACTGCTACCTCTTCTTCCCCCTTCTGGGAGCCACATGACTGCCTGTCGGAACCTGTGCTTACCTGTCGCTAGACCCCGTGTCCTGGGGGTCCCTTCAGGTCACCGTGGTGAGGGGCGGCTGCGCCGTGGCACGGGCCGTGGGGCGTCAGGCATGCCAGTGCGGCACGCCCCGCGAGGGCCGTGGGCGGAGGAGCGCTGTGGCCTGCTTAGCCGCCTCTGGGCACGGGTGGGGGACGTTTCCTTTCCACGGACAGGGACACTCAGGAAGGAAGGAGGGGGCCGCACTGTGTCGTCACTGCACTCCCCTGACACCTGTGCCAGAGGTGGGTGCCAGCACGAAGCCTGAGAGGAAGACTCTGAAACCGGCAGGCTGGGGGGCCTTCCCAGGACGCCCACGGGGGCAGGGCGGCCCGGCCGCTCGCACCCACCCTGCTCGGAGCCGGAACTGCCCCGCAGTTCTGCGCCGTGGGCCCTCTGCCCTGCACCCTCTCGTCCTGGAGGTTACCGTTGACTTTCAGAATCAGAAGAGGTAGCCAGAATTTAGTTTCCTCCCTTCTCACCGACAGAACAGAAACTGGTAGAACTCTCAAGCAAACCACATCCAGACCTTGTGATTCAAAATCAGGCACATGGTGACTGCCACGGGTTTGATGCTGGCGTTACAGTGGAGAACAGACTTCTAAGTATGCCTTGTTGTTCTCGTCCCTCGAAAGGCTCTGCCGCTCGGTGTCGGGGTCCACATCACGCAAAAAGGCACGGCAGTGCGGGGCCTGCCCCTCCGAGCAAGCAGGCGTGCGTGGAGGACTGGAGGGCGGGGACTGCGGGGAGGCCCTGGCCGGGGCCTCCAGGCATCCGGGAGACCCTGCTCGGCAGCCGCAGTCCCCTCCTGCAGGTGAGCCGGCTGGTTCCCCTCCGTTCCTCCGGGGTTCGGGGAGGGGGTGGGGGTTGTTCGTTTAATTCCTGTTTTTCTGTGGGAGGGAGAGATACAGACAGACTGTTAGATCAGTTTGAAGTAGAGATTCGAAGCAACTACTACTCAGCGTATATCTTTCAGAATTTTTTGTGACTTTGTGTTTTTATCTAAACACCACCACAGTGTAAACAGCACCACGGTGTAAGCACACAGACTCGCAGTGCAGATGTACAGGCCCGTCGTGTCCTCTTCAGATCAGGTGCCACCACCTGGTCGTCAGGGGACCCGGGCGGCCGCCGCCCCGCCTCCCTCCCCACTGCCTTCGCCGGCTGGTGGACAGCAACTCTGGAGTCTGTGGTTCGTGTCCCGTTGATGGTTCTTCCCAGGCTAGAGCTGCCCCTCACCGTCTTTCTCCCTCCGACAGGACCTGTCACCGGCTGAAGAGGAGCCGGAGCCGCCCGCTGGGTCCGAGAGCACCGGCAGCATCCTCAGCCAGCTGGACTGGGGCGCCGTCGAGGCCATGGTGGCCGGCGTGGACGACAAGAGCCCTTCTGTGTGCTGGGCCCTGGACCCATGAGGCCTGAAGAGCACCCCCTGCTGCCGGCCGGCACCCCAGCGATGTCGTTCCGAGGGACGTGGGTTTGAGGGACAGAAGCAGGGGAAGAAGTGAGGTCACTGTACCACCTGGAGCCATATCACCCCCTGAATAAGCCATTTCAACAGGGAAAATAAACATTTCTCAATGACTCGGCCCTCGTGGGAAAGGGTTCTTTAACTGTAGGTGTATTATATGTTTTTGCGTTTGATTATCTTTAGACATAATTTTTTAAGTGATGAAAAATAAAATGTACCTTTCAAGTCAAGTTTACGTGGAATTTAAGGTCCTTTCAGTAAAAATCTTCTATCTTGTCACCTCCTTTACTTCCCCAAATTTGAGGAAAAACACTTACACAGGTACACCTGACAGGAAAAAGAAAGGAGAAGAAAATCAGTCTTACCTGAGACACTCAGCAGTGAACTCCACTTTCAAACACATCCGAAGTTCACCTGCGCGGGGCCTGGCCTAGGAGAGAGGAGGAACCAGCAGCTTCCCACCGACCCTGAACTTGTGAAGGAAACTTCCACGTAGGCCCGACGGTGCCCCGCCTGAGAAGCTGTCGAGGACAAGCGGGGTTGGATGCTTTGGGTGGGGGAGAAAGGGACGACCACTCCTGACTGCAGAAGGATCGCGGCAACTTGGTGAAACCACGGAGCCCGAGGACTTCCGGTCCAGACGGCAGAGTAGGTAGGTCAGCACTGTGCTCACCTCCTCCCGTGGCCACACCGTTATGACGACTGAATTGTAGAACAGCCATCACCACTGAGAACCACCTGAAGACCAGCTGAACAACAGGCCTACACGGACATAAAGCAGCAGCCGCGGGGGGGCGGGGCGGAGGGGAGAGAGATCTTGGCTCCAGAGCCCCTCAACCCCCGAAGAGCAAGGGAGTCCCGGTCCCACATGGCTTTCCCCAGCCCCTGGCTCTCGAGCCAGGAAGAGGCATCCCCATCACACCCGCCTGAGAACCCAGTGGGGGGGGCGGGGGGTTGCGTCCACGTGGGAGGGAGGCCTGCTGGAGACCCAGGCGCTGCCGGGCCCGTCGCAGACTCACGAACACACAAGCCCGCCCGCTCCAGGCTCCAGTGCAGAGGCGGCACCTTGAAAAGCATCAGGCACACACAGGAAAGTGCTACATTGATTAGCTTCAGGGCACGGGCTGGACAGGAAGGGTTAGGGCAGCTCTCTCCAGGGACAGAAGTGGTAGCAGGCGCCATTGTTTCTTTGCTGAGCCCTCCCCCGACCCAGCCAGCCCGGCGCAGGCAGGTGCCAAACCTGAGCTCTTCGCTTCCCTGGCTAACGCTAACGCTGGCAGTGGCTGGCCTCGACTACCATGCACCTCTGCCAAGCTACTCCCAGTCTGACGTAAGCAGAGACTGGGTTCAACTTACATTTTAACCCCCATCAAGTAGCCCCAGGCCGGCATAAGCCGTGACCACTCTGGGCTTGGAAAGTAGCCTCAACTAAGCGGCCACAAACCTGGTGCAAATGCAGCTGGCCTCAGCTCACGTGGTGGTGCCCACCACAGGGGCCCAAGCCCATCACTACCAAGAGCCAGCCCTGGTTCTCAGAACAGGCTATACCAGGCACAGCACAAGTAGCAACCAACCTCAGATAACCTTGTAGAATTTACCAGACAGCCCCAAGCTGGGCACAGGTGGTGGCTGACCTTGACCTGCACTGGAGCCCCTCTGAAGAGGCTCCAGAACCAATAACCCAGTGGCCACATTCAGACCACACAAGAGCACCACCCAACCTGCTCCTCAGACTACACACACCTAAAGGGCACACCTGGCTGGCACTAGAGCCCCACGAAAGCAACTCCTGCTCACAGGGGTCAGCCCCTGCACAGCAGTCTGTCGGGTGCAGCCATGGCCAGCCAGCCTGGGCGTCAATCTTACCCACTGAGGTGCCAACAGCAATCAAGGTTCAACTACTGCAGGAGAGCACACACAATCCATATGGTGGTACACCTGGAGTGCCCAGCTTGGGGGATCGGGGAGGCTGTGCCACTGGGCCCCACAGGACACCTACTACATCAGGCCACTCTGCCAAGAACAAGAGGTACAGCAGATCTACCTAATACACATAGAAACAAACAGGGAGTCAGCCAAAACGAGGAGTCAAAGGAACATGGTCCTAAAATGAAAGAAGAGGACAAAACTCCAGAAGGAACTGAACAAGATGGAGGCAACTGATCAGATGCAGAGTTCAAAACACTGGTCACAAGGGTGTTCACTGAACTTAGCTAAGGAATGAAGTCACCGAGAACCTCAACAAAGAGGAAACATAAAAATGGGAGTTAGCAAACAAAAAAGAACTAGTTAGAAAAGAAAAATACTCATAAATGAAGAACACATTAGAGGGAATCAAAAGCACATTAGATGAAGCAGAGGACTGCATCAACAATTTGGGGACTTCCAGCAAGATGGAGGAATAGGTAGACGCACCGTACCTCCTTGCACAACCAAGATTAGAACAACAACAATTTACAACTAGAATAACACCCAGAACTGACAGAGGATTTATCTGAATGGAAGTCAGACAGCCAAGAAGTTGAAGTAGACCTGTACATCCAGACCAGTAGGAGTGGATGAGCCCAGCGGGCCTGGGTTGGCGGGCGCAGGTTGGCGGCACGCAGAGGTTGGGGAAAACTGGGCGCAGAATCGGCGCGAAAGCCATCCGGGGCGCAAGAACACAGCGGGGTCCCTGAGTACGCAAGCTGTGGCTGGCGGACCCAGTGAGGCAGCGATTGCGGACCAGGGCAGAGCTTGCAGCCAGGATCCCAGAGAAGAGACTGAGATCCCAGGAGAATGGAACTACTGCCATTATTTCCTCCCACCCCTGCTCCCGCCCCCACATATAACGTCACAATCTAGTGACTGGGGCGCCCTGCCCCAGTTAACACCTAAGGCTCCGCCCCCCACCTAACAAGAGCGACCAGACCGGGAAAAAAAAAGGAGAGACAGGGAGAGACATGTTTCCAATAGAACAGATCAGTCCCCCAGGACTCATCCTTTTGAGCGACCAAGAAATAGCCAATCTATCAGATGCACAGTTCAAAACACTGGTGATCAGAAAGCTCACGGAATTGGTTGATTTTGGCCGCAAATTAGATGAAAAGATGCAGGTTACCATAAAAGAGATACAGGAAGATATACGGAGGAGAGCCTATAATGAAGGGATGGAAACTGGGTCTCAAAACAATACAGTGGACCAGAAAGAAGATAGAATCAACCAAGCAGCAAAGCATGATGAAATAAAAATTAAAAAAAAACAAAACAAAAACGAGGAGAAGCTTAAGAGCATCCAGGACTTCTTTAAACGTTCCAACATCTGAATTATAGGGGTACCAGAAGGGGAAGGGGAAAAGCAACAAATTGAGCACGTATTTGAACAAATAATAATGGAGAATTTCCCCAATCTGGCAAAGGAAATAGTCTTCCAAGAAATCCAAGAAGCTCAGAGAACCCCAAAGAAGTTGGACCCAAGAAGAAACACACCAAGGCACATCATAATTACATCAGTCAAGGTAAAAACGAAGGAGAGAATCCTAGAAGCAGCAAGAGATAAGGGGACAGTAACCTACAAAGGAATTCCCATCAGACTGTCAGCTGATTTCTCAAAAGAGACATTACAGGCAAGAAGGGGCTGGAAAGAAATATTCCAAGTCATGAAAGACAAGGACCTACATCCCAAATTGCTCTATCCAGCAAAGCTCTCATTTAGAATGGAAGGGCAGATAAAGTGCTTCCCAGATAAGGTCAAGTTAAAGGCGTTCATCATCACCAAGCCCTCATTTTATGAAATGCTAAAGGGACTTATCTAAGAAAAGAAGATAAAGAAAAAGTAGGTATAGTAAAAGGACAGCAAACTCACAATTATTAACAACCACACCTAAAGCAAAACCAAAAGAAACTAAGCAAACAGCTAGAACAGGAACACAACCACAGAAATGGAGGTCACATGGAGGGTTAGCAACAGGGGGGTGGGAGGAGGAGAGAGGGGGAAAAGGTATAGAGAATAACTAGCATAGAATGTAGGTTGAAAATAGATAGGGGGAGGGCAAGAATAGTATGGGAAAAGTAGAAGCTAAAGAACTCATAAGTATGACACATGGACATGAACTAAAGTGGGGGGAATGAGGGTGGGAGAGGGAGTAAGGGTGGAGGGGAGAGAAGGGGGGAAATGGGACAACTGTAATAGCATAATCAATAAAATATATTAAAAAAAAAGATTCATCCACATTGAAAAAAAAATACAATTTGGAAGATAAGGAAGCAGAAAATACCCAACTAGAACAGCAAAGAGATAAAGAATTTTTAAAAATAAGGACAGTTTTAGGAGCCTCTGGGACAACTTCAGGCACACACACCAACATGCACATCATGCGTGTGCTAGAGGAAGGACAGCGAGCAAGGAATTAAAAACCTATCTAAGGAAGTGGTGATGCAGACTTCCGCACCCCAGTTACGGAAACAGACACCGGTCCAGGGAGCACAGGGAGCCCCAAACACAATGAACCCAAAGAGGCCCACACCAACACGTCATAATTAAAATGACAAAGGTTAAAGACAAAGAATCTTAAAAGCAGCAAGAGAAAAACATGCTTACAAAGGAGCTTCCACAGGACTGTCAGCTGATTTCTCCGCAGAAACTTTGCAGGCCAGAAGAGATTTGTACAAAATATTCAAAGTGATGAAAACCAAAGCCTGCAACCAAGACTGCTCTACCCAGCAAAAAGCTATCATTTAAAACGGAAGGGCAGATAAAGAGCTTTCTAGATGAGTAAAAGCTAAAGGAGTTCATTCACTCAACCAGTGCTACATGAAATGTTAAAGGGTCTTTTTAAAAAAGAAAATAATGATAAAAATATGGATGATTAAAAGCTGGGTAGCTTAGTCTGTTAAGAGTGTCACCCTGATTCACCAAGGTTGAGGGTTTGATCCTGGTCAGGGTACATACAAACAGCAACCGATTTAGTGCATAAATAAGGGGAACAATAAAACTGATGTCTCTCTCTAAAATCAATAAAAATTTAAATATGAAATATAAAGAGGCACTATATATATCTCAATCACCAATTACTTTAAATTCAAGTGATTAAATGCTTCAATCAAAAGACATAGGCTGGCTGAATGGATAACAAAACAAGATCTTTACATATGTTGTCTACAAGAGACTCACTTTTCAGTCGGAAAGATCCACAGCCTGAAACAGATGGAAAAAATATTTCATGAAAATAGAAAAAACAAAGAAAAA